ACGTACCATGGCTGCTTCTGCTTCCACTTGTACCAACTGGATTAACAACTTCGCTGTTGTCATGTTCACCCCCGTTTTCTCAAACCAGAGTTCCTGGGGTCTCTACCTGTTCTTCGCCCTGGTCAATTTCACCGCCATTCCCTTTGCCTACTTCTTCTACGTTGAGACTGCTGGTCGTGATTTGGAAGAAATTGATGTCATCTTCGCCAAGGCTCACGTTGAGAAGAAGTGGCCCTTCCAAGTCGCCCAGGAGCTGCCTAAGCTCAGCGTTGAGCAGATCGGCCAGATGCAGATCGAGCTTGGCTTGGCCACCACCGACCACCATGCCATTGAGTCCGAGAAGGTTGAGATTGCTACCAGCAGTGGCGAGAGCGAGAATAAGCGTGAGCTGTAAAGCAGAGGTTGTGTGAGAAGGGAGCGTTGGAAATAGCGTGGTAAATAGCCATCGCCATATATAGTTGTCCCGGGTATCAGTACCCTGCCGGGACATCGGGCTTCACTGCCTGATAGAACCATGAATTGAAATTTATTTACTTCCTAGAACCACCGCTTCCTTGATAAGTTTTGAAGTGCTCCAACGGACTGTGAAATAGTGTATTGTAGAGTGTAGCCGGCAGAGTTAAGCGTTGAGACTATGTACTTGTAGAATCATTCGTATCGAGCTCCTACGTTCACTGCGAAGGGAGTAATATCACAAAGATAAGATTTCCATCCAGCATCAAATTTACAATTAAACAGCTCAACGGGCCTGAACGGTTATTAGATTTAACTGTTAGAAACATTTCATCAACTCTCCCAGAAGACGTCTACTTTTTTTTCTCCCAGCCCTGCATTTTCAAGTGGTGTTACCGCCGTATGATTTATTGTCGAATCCGATATTAGCTTGACAACCATGAAGCTTGTGATCCATTTCCTCGTGGTTTGAGGTCCGAGGTTCAAGAAAATGCACCTGGGCACCTTGGAAACAAGCAAACGACCTCGAAGCATGTGATAGGACAAACATACGGACCATGAGATCGGAGGCTTTTCTAGGGCTTTCCTGAGACAGGGGTAATCAGTAAAAATCGTAAATGTTAAATGGGATTTTTAGCTGCTAGAGCATCACATGTCACGTGGTGAAATTGTTAGTCTCTGCCTTTGTTTTTAGTCACAAGAATGGGCATGTTGTATTTAGTTACTCAGTGAGCATGACCTTAGTGCTGATTGAGCATACCCTGGGTGTTTCCTGGAAGCCCAAGGCATAGTGGTTGTACGCTATCAATATGCGGATCGTGAAGATGATTAAGAAGCACACGAGCCGGCGTCGAAGGGCAGTGTGTAAATCATTATAAGTGCTATTTGATAGGAATCAAGGGAATGTGAGTACTGTCATTCGTCACAATTCTGAAATTCACGATATACATAGACTGGACCCGAGTTATTGGCCAGTTCAAAGTCGTTGAATTCATAGTCTAAGGACATGTACCCTTTGGTTCATCTCGGAGAACTCACAGCTAGGCCAAATATCAACGTTGTAAAGAATATTACTGCGTTGAGTATGTATTTGATCAGTTATGAACATTGAATAAGTTATTAAGACAATTCCATGCCGTATAACTTGGGGACTGGAGTAAATGCGGGCAGGGGAACCTTGGGAAATCTGCCCCGCCGATAAGATCTCAAATTATTTCCGGAGAATTTCCTTCCTTTCTTTTGCAATTGATCTCTCTGCCCTTCTACATTTACGATATCCACCAATACAAATTAAATCTTCAGCAATGGGACCGCCTCGCCGAAAGATGTTGGCTACAGCAGAGGGAACCTTGACTCCTCCTGACGAGCTGTCCGACACTCAGCAGATCGTGCGAGCAATTAAAGCCACCGGAAACAACATCTACCTGGTCGAACAAACAGACAAGAAGCAGATGCTCGTCGAATTACCTGCACGATTCCGCTCCGCTATCTGGATCAAGCGCAGCTCGTACGTCGTGGTCGATACCAAGGGCCAGGAGGAGCGGGACAATAAAATTCGAGGAGAGATTGTCAATATCGTCAGAGACGAGAAGGCATGGAGAAAGGCTCCCTTCTGGTATGTATTTTTGATTAAGATTTAGCCACAAACTCGTTCGCTAATTGGTATTGCTTTTCCCACAGGCCTAAGGAATTCGTGAAACAGCAGGTTGTATTGGCTGCTGACTCTGACGACGAAGAGGAAGAGTCTCGTGTGGGCCGAATGCCTTCCTCCGACGAATCAGACTGAATGATCGCCTTTCAAAGGCACCAAGCGTTTGTTCAATGGCAGTCGCTACGGTACACAGGGATTCTGGGCTATCAACAATGATTCTTGAAATATGCACGTCTCAGTATGAATTGGGGCCAGGGTATCTCTCATTTTTGGACAGTTGCCTTGTCGCGACTGCTTTCCTTGTCACTCTTCTTATCTACCTCGCTCGAGCCATTGAACAACACGCCAAAGACCTGGACCGCGAGCGATAACACCGCAGCCGCCGAGCTTGCGTTTGTGCTGGGGAAAACGTTCCAAGCCCACTCTTGCAGCGCCCATACGGCGTATATAAGAACTGGGTGGATACCTGCGCGCCAGAGAAGGAAGGGGGTCGCCCACGCGAGATACGCGAAAAACTGGTAATGCAAGGACCTGGCGCAAAGCAAGCCGATGGCTAGTGAGCTCAACATGACAGTCATAGTGAAGGATTTTGAGAGTGGAATTGTCTTTTGGCGTCCCTGGAGAGTATGCTGGAGGAAGCGAACCATGTTCGAGCCTGAAGGTTTTACCCAGATTCCGAAGAAGATAGCCAACAAGGATATATGCAGCACCATCAGACCCACAGAGAACTCCCTTGAGAGAAATGTTTCTTCTCCTACAAACCGCCAGTTCACTGTCCATTTGAACATGAATTGGCGGGATAGCTCAAATGCCCGAGAGAGGTAGCCTGTAGTGTTAGTCTGGAGAAAGGGAACCGCAAGTAGGACCTGTAATTTTTTGCGTTAGCTGACTCCCCAGAACTCAATTAACCTTCGAAGTACTCACCTGGATAAGAACAGCCATAAATCCAAGCGAAATGCTTCGCACCAATCCCAAACTGAGAAGAGTGATGGCCGCAATAGCAGGCACAAGCAGCACGAGTGTCATTTTAATCGCAACCCCAAAAGACCACACCGCAATCCCTGCCGTCCAATTGCGTCTCAGACACAGATATATAGCAAGCCACATAGCGAAAGTCGCAACCCCATCATTGAACATGCGCAAGACGAATATGCTATGTAGCCGTTTGGACAGAGCAAGAAGCGGGAAAAGGTATGGAGGTGCCCCCGTTTGTCTGTAGCAGGCTACTACCACAGCCAATGTAGCCAGGTAGAGTCCGGCGAAGAGCGTCTGCCCGAGGAGAATATCACGGCCTTCATCGGTGAGGTGGTAGAGGAGAGTGTAGATGTATACGTGGGCGGCGGGGTAGACGAGCGGACCGGTTGAGCCTTTGATCAGGGGGTAGTCACGTTCGCCGGAGATATATAGAGAGACCTGTTGCATGTACGTCGACCAGTCAATCTCAGTGTCTGTGGTTGTTGCTTGGTTAGCTGGGTTTGGTTCAGTACGCGACACCTGGACGCGGCCTTACAGGCGATCTTCCATATGACGAAGGCGCAGAGTAGCGCGTCGCCTAAAATGAGGAGAGGTGCAATCCATCGCGTATGTTTCTGGTTAGTGAGCACGTCGTAGACGAAGCTCTTAGCTGTCAATGCCATGGCGAGATACGCTCGATGGTTGACAGGGAGAATAGTCGAGGTGGCCGGAGCTGGCTCCGCCTACTACGTAAGTGTCTACAATTGCATTTAAGTTGGAGGTAACACGTTTTGGTCAAGGCAATTATATACATGTAACTTTTGACTATGTCTAGTCTTAATATAATTGGTATTTGTTTTATACATCTCAGTGTACATAGGGAATACATATGTTGTAGGTTCTAGCTCGCATTCGGGACCCCGAGCATGGTCTTTCTTCTAAACATCCACCGGTCCACCCAACCCTTATAGTCAAAATCCATGGTATCATTAAACAGCCGAGAAAACAAAATGCAAAAGAATCGAAGGAGAGAGTGTGGATGTGCACGCATTATCGGTCTCCTTCTGACAGGGCGGTTTGCTGGTGCTGGCCATTCGCTTGGATGTCCCGGAAGCCCAGCAATTCCCCCAAAACTCCTTTGGGTTTGGGAACGGGGCATTCTCGATTGATGTGGGAGAGTTTCTCTGCTTCCGCCTCCATTTGAAGGAATGTTGAGACCTCCTCGTCCATGACAGCTGGCATGGGCTGATCCTGCTGACTGCCTTCTGGGCCCACTTCGAGATCCTTACGCCGTCTGCGTCGGAAGCGTGGTGCTTGTTGTCCATCGGTTGTCATGGTCATCTCCGAATCGGCAAAGGTGCGGCGTGGGGCAGGACAGGGGAAGACGTGCGGTATTCCGACAACTAGGAGAGATGCGAGGAGGGTGCCGGCGAATAGGCCGGTGGTTGACCGCGACCGGGGATGTAGATGTGGCGGCATTGTGTACAAAGTGAGAGAGAATGATTATTGAAGTTCAATTGAGACGAGGTGGGCGTGGCCGGCTGTTTCTGGAATTTTTCAGGCCATCGGAGGGCTTCGGAGTGGGCTGGCTGGTGTAGTCGGATAGGAAGGGAAGAAATAGTGCGCAAAAGGAGGTCAATTGAATGTTCAGTAAGAATTGTTCAAGTTGACAAGCTTCTGAACCCCCGACAGTAATTGTGAAGGTAGTTCTCAAAGGAAATCGTGGGGAGAGAAGACAGCGAAAGGCTCTGGGTGCATCTAATCTTATCTGGCTCCCGCGTGATTGGATGTTCCGCTTTCTCTCAAGTCTCTGCGTCGCGCATCATAGCTTCGCGAAGATGAGACTGTATTTTTCGGAGAACTGAGCCATCTGATTTCTTTTTGGGGATTTCTCGACTTCGATACAGTTCCCCCTTTCCTTCCCCCTCCCTCTTTCGACAATATGAGTGACCTAGACCGGTATGGCAGCAACCCCTCAACCCTCTAGACCTCCATCGTTCACCGTCAAACTAATGTTTTGTATAATAGGGCGATCGAGCAGCTGCGGGCCTGCCGCCTGATCCCCGAAAGCCAGGTCCGCGAGCTGTGCTACAAGGCGCGTGAGCTCCTGATCGAAGAAGGCAATGTTGTGTCCGTCGACGCTCCCGTGACCATCTGCGGCGATATCCACGGCCAATTCCACGATTTGATGGAACTATTCCGCGTCGGCGGCGACGTTCCCGACACCAACTACCTTTTCATGGGCGATTTCGTCGACCGTGGTTTCTACTCCCTTGAATCCTTCCTTCTCCTCCTTTGTTTGAAAGTCCGATACCCCGATCGCATCACCCTGATCCGCGGCAACCACGAATCACGCCAAATCACAACAGTATATGGATTTTACGACGAATGTATTCGCAAATACGGCAGCGCCAATGTATGGCGATATTGCTGCGAAGTATTCGACTACCTAGCCCTGGGCGCGATCGTGCTCGGCGCGAGCTCAGAGCTAGAACCCTCCTCCAACACAGCACTCTCAAGCATGCCGATTGATGACAGCGAGCTGGAAACAGAAGTACTGAATTCCAGAGGCGAAGTCACAATGAGTACGTATCGCGCGCGACAACGTTCGTCTTCCGATGCATCCACAGACTCTAGAAATATCTCCCCGCCACGAGACATCTCCGCCGCTCCAGGCCAAGCTGCCGCGCCCTCACGATCGGGTGCGCCGGGGACAGGTGCGAGCGGCGATGGCAACGGCAGCGCCTCAACTAGCCGGACTGGTGCGGTGCTCTGTGTACACGGTGGATTGTCACCGCTCATTGACTCTGTCGATAAAATTCGGCTGATTGACCGCAAGCAAGAGGTGCCACACGAAGGTGCCATGTGCGATCTGCTCTGGTCAGATCCGGATGAGATCGAAGGCTGGGGATTGAGTCCTCGTGGAGCTGGGTTCCTCTTCGGCGGTGATATCGTCAAACAGTTCAATCATCTTAATGGCTTGTCTCTTGTCGCGCGTGCCCACCAGCTTGTTATGGAGGGATACAAAGAGATGTTTGATGGCGGTATCGTCACTGTCTGGTCTGCTCCAAACTACTGCTACCGCTGCGGCAATGTTGCCGCTATCCTTGAGCTGGGTGAAGACGCAAGTGGCGGCGGCACTGTTGCTCGCAGTAACGGTGAATATGGTCGGAGCAATGGAATTGTTACAGATAATAGAGTTGTCAGTCCTGGAAGGAGATATCGTGTCTTTGAGGCTGCAGCGCAGGATACAAGGGGCATGCCTGCGAAGAAGCCTGTCGCTGATTATTTCTTGGTAAGCTCTTTCTTTTCCGTTGTCGACTGATATCATTTTGCTAACATCCATGCCATGTAGTGATACCATCCCACGCACCTTTTTTCTTCTTTTTATATGGTTCTCTTGGAAGTAGCATTTTGCGCCTTGGTGTTGGTTTTTGAGAACTAATGATCATCTATGACAAATCTTTTGATACTTGCACCTCTAAATGTCCTTGTCTGTAAATTTATCATAAGATTTCAAACAAATTGTAGATGGCATAACCATAAACGCCCGCACAAGACAAAAACCCCCTAAAGTGGTATCAAAAATCGAATGAGATATGTTCCCATAAATCAAAATTCACGACGTCCATGCGTTATTTCCACCTATCCTATCCCCATACCCAGTCTTGTCATTGGGTGACCCAACTGTCGATATTCTCCCGGGGGCTTGGGGCTACTCATCGCCAGGACTAGAATGCTGAGCAACAGACATGAGGTTACCATCCTGATATTGAATCAGAGAAGGCTGGTTTGGGGGAGGAGTATTCCAAGTACCACTACCACTCCAACCATCCATGCCAATGCCATACGCGTTAGCATTTCTCGACCACCAGTCCTGGCTCTCTTCGACCAGGTTTTCGGTTCCATCATACCCAGACACGGGCGATGCAACCGATGTCGGCGTTGCGTTTTGGGGTGAAATATGCGCCCCAGAGCCATCGTACCACTTATTCGAATGGGGAGAAGAGGGAGCTGGAACGGATCTTTGGAGGGGGGTGAATTGGTAGGCCATCTGGGGCCGGAGATATGTTGGTTCGGGAGGGGCAAACTCGGGCCGCTGGGTTTGGTGTGGATGCATTCCTTGCATTGAGGGGAACGGTATTGGGGCAGCGGCGAGGGGTCCATATTGAGGACCCATCGGTGGATCAACCATGGCGATGGGTTCGGTGTGAGAATGTGGGAATGGGAGCACGGATGGTGAGAATTGGCTTGAGCTTGTAGCGGGTTGTAACATGGTTGCGATGGGAGAGCTGTCGGATGTTGAGGGGGAAGTCGCTTGGTCCCAAGAGCCCCAGGATCCCCATTTGTTATGTGTTCGTTCAAAGATGGAGATTGCTTCGGGCGGTAACTCTACTTGCCACTTATTTGCAGATATGTCGAGGATACGGAGGGTACGTCGAGCACAGAGCCAGCCCTCTGCCATTTCTTCGAGATTCTTGAGGCCGTGTATCACGTCTCTCTGGGCATTTTTGTCGGGGAGGTTGAGAAGATGGACGGTGCATGCAGTGTGGGCAATATAGACGGCGATGTTGCAGATCTGTTTCAGTCCATATCCTCGTTTGTATATACGCAGCAGCTTGGAAACAGTTGCGGCAGCCTGAGTGCATATCTTGCGAGGTGAGACATGGGAAGGAAGTGGAGTATTGGCCTTGGTGTACTTCAGGAATGGTCGGTACAGATGGATTATCTGGAGCTGATACAGCATGCTGAGATAACAGTTAGCTAAAGTGACACCATGTGCATAGTTTTGTGTCAACTTACTGCATGACAAGTACTTGTGGTAGCTGTCCTTCTTTTGCCATCAGTTCCCTGGGCAATTTGTTTTTCCACGCCTCAAGTCGGGTGTGAACATCGCTCAGTTTCTTCAGTTCCGACTGTTTAGGCTGGGAATTTTCAAGTTCGGTTGGGTGGTAGAAGAACACAAGCACATCGCTGCTGATCTCACACAGTTTGGATATTTGGAGCGCGACAGCCCTGGTTCGTGAAGCTTGCGTGTGCTCATGACCAACTCCAGAATCTGTGTAGGGCGACCATAGCTCTATTTCTTCTTGTGGCAACACATCAAACTTGGGCACGTTGGCGTTGGTTGAGGTCAGCTGGGGTTGACGACCGAGGTAATTTGACCAGCATCTGTAGAGTATTAGAGGTGCGTTAGAGATAATAAAGGCAATGGAGACTGACTTGTCAATGAGATAGCAGCCCCAAAAGGTGATCCGCCGAGCATCAATCTCTTCGTCGCTGAGACTGTGCGCCCCAAGATTTGCCGAATCGAGATTTAACCCTAGATCAAAAGCCATGCGGAAACTGAGACCACTATAGACCCAGCCTTTCCCTTCACGGCCACATCCCGCCTCTCGGACAGACATAAGTGCGAATGCCTGGACGGTGCATAGCTTTGCGTTCTCATGTTCGTCATTTTGCAAAACGAGTCGCTTCGCCTCTCTGAAGAAATGATTTCCGGCTGTTGCAAGATTCTGGGGATCATCAAAGGCACCTTGCCATGAGCTGAAATGGCAGCCCAGAGCTAGGATAGCATTGACGAGTAATGCAGAGCAATATGAACTGGAAACACCGCGGATGTAATCCCGATAGAACATATTCTTGGACAATGTAGTGAAGAAGGGATAGTGCCATGTAAAGTACATGGTCATCAGATGGCTGATTAGGGAGTCGTCGTCTGTGACTTCGGTCCACCGGCTCACAGCGTGTGTTTGGTTTTCGGTATCGAGGTTGTTTTGAATCGAAGCAGACTCGTGCAGCTCGGATCCTGGCGGCAAGAAGATGAGGTTCGAGGTACCTCCAATAAATTTCCGAGAACCATCAAGCATGAGCTCACTCATTTTGCCAGCCAGCTCTGACTCGAATTGATCTATCTCAGCTGTGTTCTCGTTGCTGGCTGGCTCTGCTGCTTTGTTCGTAGACATAAGCCCCTTCTCCTGGGCGATCACCGAGGTGGCTACATCTTCAAGATCGTCGCAAGAGCGAATCTGACGTACTAATTCGAAAGCGTCTGCTTCTTCGTAGTTTAATATTGCCTGGATCAATGTCTGTAAGGTGGTGTTTCGGGTCCGTAATGTATCGGTGTCTTTCTTGTAAACACCTTTGCGACGGTGATCCGAGTTTGGATCATATACACCTACGAAGGGTTAGCAATGATAGTATTGCTCTTTTGTAAAAAAGATGTACATACATGGTGTATGGTATACCGAGGAGCAAGCTGCACAGCTGGGCAGGTTCCCGTCACACTACACGCAGATATTATTAGTAATCTGACATCTCAATAGATACCTAGGTACCTGAATATGAAAGTCCAACCTTTGACTTCCTTTTGCGGCAGGCGACACAGGCTGTGCTGACGCATCGCCTTTTGGACGGTTGGGCGCTCATAATTTCAAATATTTTGATAGGTGCGATTCAAGAAGTGAGTATGACGGTTTCTCCGCGGGGTCTCTTCGCATGCCTAGTGGTCGTGTTTGCCGGTGACTGGTCCAAACCTCGACATGGGATGTCCATCTTTTAGAGTACAGAGCTCGTTAATAAAACATGATGGCTTGCTAGATCGAGGGTGCACACGGTGGCTATGTCGGCATGTTAGTCTCCCGGACCATCCATGGCGATCCGGCCCATCTAGCCAGGCGCTAAGATCGGAGATTGCGCCTTACAATGAGGAAATGTCAACGCACCAGCTACGCTTGAAGATCTACACAGGCCGGATGGCAATTGTAGAAGGAATGGAATACCCCACGATTGCAATGACCCGCAGTGGAGATGGGGACGAGCTCAGTGCAAAACTTGGTGAGATTGGAGATTGGTGACGCCCTCGAAATGATTGGATGCAAACAGGACGACGCAAGATGTGGTTATCGCCGGCCTCTGGATGGCTGTGCAGGTGTTGGATGTCCATTTTCGATAAGCGGCTGACTAATGTCTTCATGTGGGGAACTACCCGGTGGACAAAACATATGATTCTTCATTCCATATGATTATATTGCTGTAATTGTTATAGAAAATGGAAATCTATTTAGATGTATGCCAAGTGATTCTTAGGATATTATCTCCGATACATGTTACGGATCCCACTTGAAGGATTCAAGCCTTCAGTGGGTTACATAGAGGGATGGGGGTTACATGGATGTTTGTCTATCGTACCGTCCCCTCCAGTGGGGGGTTTCTTATTAGAGCTGCCGCTTTAAGGAGGGCGGACTTAAGTTCTCAGAGTAGATGTCAGCACGGGTTCAGTCACGTGCATGACAATGGATATTCAAAGGTTATACCCTTTTTACCGCCTTTCTATACATCTAAAAAGACCATCTAAAAAGATAACAAGGCTGCACAAGCGGCCAACTATTCTTATCCGATATAACGAAGATAACTTATCCCTTCCTACCATACGGTCGCGAAAAAAAAAAAAAAAACATTACTAATTTACCGATATTATAGGAAGATCAATACTCCGAATCTGCTAGTAGTCCTAATATGGCATAGTATCTTATGGCATTAGGGTTCGAAAAACAATCGAGGAGAGTACATGATGACGCCAGTCCTTTAGGATAGACTTTCCCATATATTACGCTGTGCTTGTTACAGTTACGAGACAAAAGAAGCTTAATGTGTTCAAGATTTGATTTGAGTTGAATAGATATCTTAGGTAGTGATCGAAATCGATCCGAAAAAGAAAAAGAAAGCAGCCATAGAAAAAGCATAGCGCTGTCAAGGTAGAAATGGGGGTATGTAACAAGAGAGAAAATACCTGCACCGAGCAGGAAACCGTCCTAATCCAACGCCGCGCTTGCAGAGGATAACCAAAGATAAAAGCAAAAAGCAAAGTTGTATGTACTGAAGTGAAGTGACCAGAAAAGATGTATCATGCCATATCTTGCGCTCTGCGCTAAGACAAGACATCCATCAAAATCTTTATTTCACTGGGCTGAGATGCCCACCCACCGGGACGGAATGGCATTGTCATCTCCGTCGTCGTATTGTCCCGATAAGTGGTAATTTGTCTTGCGCGCGGGCAGCCATATGCGCGCACGTGCGGGGATGTCGTCACGGAGTTTGCCACTACGTCGCATGTTCATTTCAAGAACGACCACGCGCAAGAAATCGCTGTTCTCACGAATCTCGCGCTGGCGTGACATGGATGGGACTTCCGGGTCGAAAGTGATGTATTTCTGATCCTTGCTCGCGATGTGGAAATGGTCTCGCCGGTTCCCACGGCCGCCGGCTCGGCGATATGTCTGCATTTGGATCGAAACAGGGCACGTAGTGGAGGTTTGTGGCTTGTCATGGGGATGATCATGATAGACATACATCTCTGCCGGTGACATTGGGGTTGGGTTCATTGGAGAGGGATTCAGGTAGCGTCGTAGTGCTGGAGAAGGCGTTTCTTGCATTGGCAAAGGACGGCGATCATCGGTCATCTCTGGTGTGATGGTGAAGAGAGACCGGGTGAGGAAATCCTCTGGTTGAACGGAAGGGGTGGCAAATGTCGAGACTGACTGGGCAGCGGATTTGATGGCCCGTAAAGATGCTGTGAGGTTCGACTTGAAAGTAGATCCAAGGCGCCCGAATGATGCAGCTCGCTTTGCGGGTACTGTGTCGGGTGTGGTGGGCTCATTGCCGTTCTTGATTTCGATAAATTCACATTCGTCGAGTTCGGTTACGAGGAGAGGGTGGTCCAAGGCACACTCCTCGCAATTCGAATACCGAGGCTGTCGTCTCTCCACTGGACTTCGATGGCTAGAAGGACTTGGCGGCGAGAGAAGACTGGAGGGCGATGCGAGGCTATGTTCTAATGAGGGCATCGAATCACTTGATGTTGACCTCACTGAAAGTGGTGATTCGTGCTCGGAATCGTTGCAAGGCAGGTGTTTCTCGTTATCGTTATCGGGTGGGCTGAGAAGGATGTCGAGAGGCGAGTAGGCGGTCCCATCTAGAAAACCATCTTCTTTCGACTTGATATCTTCTTGTAACATGCGCCTGAAGTCTTCTTCATGATTTCCGCGAGGTAGTTTCCGAGGTTTGCGGGTGCTCCAGTTTCGTCGCGGAACAGGAATGGCTGTTGCATCTAACATCGAGGTGAATGACGTAGGCACCGGGCGGTCGGTGGACGAGCTGGAAGACCGGCGAGAGGATTCCGAGGTTTTCGATAAGGTACGTGGACGAGTTTCTCGACGTGCTGACAGAGTCCGCGAGCCACGCTTTGGAGGAATTACCACTGGGATAGTGTTCATCGATCCGCGGGTCTCGGTAGAAGTGGGGAGACGAAGGCCAGAACGATCCGCTGGGGTGAATGGCTCCATCCCATTAGACTGAAATGGTTTCGGCGGCGCCGAGCTGAATAGGAATGCTCTTGGGACCATCATTTTGACGGTTGTTTCACCACACGAGCACAGTTACTATCGAGGCTTTGACCGGATGAAGCGCTCTGGTCGAGTGTCTGGGCGAGATACATGGATGAAGGAGAAAATCGTGGGGAGGGAGAAGCTCCCAGGGAGTCAGATGAGAGAGGACCGGCAACCAATCCGAGTGTGTATGTGTTGGCCCAAAGAGATGTAAGGGAAGCGGATAGGGCCGTGAGACAAGGGTATGCAGGCACACACGCGAGCGGATAAGGTGATAGAGAAGGGCGATAAGGTAGGAAATTTGAGAGGAAGATGGATAGGAAGTAAACGGATATTATATGATCAGGAAAGAGGATAATAGTGAGGAATAGAGAAAGAGATGTAGAAGTCAATTAAGATCGAGAGAGAGAGAGAGATAATGGGGGAGAAAGTGGTGATCTCAGATAGATAAGCCGTATTGGGCAGGTAAACGCATGTAAAGATCACGGGAGGCGTAGGACAGTAATTTATTTTACGGTGTGAGTGATTGGTTGTGCGGGGGACAATGCCGGGATCCGGGTTGTGTCCGGCGATTGAAACGATATTTCTGTAATTTTTCAATACAATTACCATTACTCATGGAACATTCCGCCGGTGGAGTCCGGAAGGGAAGGAAATATTTTTTGATATTTTTAGTTATTTAAGTGATTTGATTATTTTTTTTTATGATAGATACGTATATAATCACATACAATATATATACTCTACAACGTATGATTAGCTCAATGTAGTAAGACATACATATGTATCCCCTCTGCATATATAGTCATGTAGTATTATAGATAGATGTATATGAAAACGAATCACAGCCATCTCAACCTTTTTGATCAGTGTTGAATAAGATGTGTGGGCCGTTTAAGGTTGCTTTTAGTGCGGTGCGGGCAGATGCACACCGTTCTCCCCAGAATCAAAACTGCAAAAAAAAGGGGAAGATCGATTTTCACATTTGGATCATTTGGACTGATCTTGGTTATTTGCTTATGTTTTACGGGAAAAGAAATGATAAACATAATCATATATTTGAGTCACTTTGATAGATCGACAGGAGCTCCGAGCCTCCCTCCGGCTCCTTCAGATTTTAAGGGGAAAAAATCTTAAAAAAATATTAAAAAGGAGCGGGTGGCTGCAGTGTCCCAAAACGTCAAGTCGACGAGACCCTACGTGGCTAGTGGACCGCCTTTAGCGAAAAGAATTGCATTAATAATTGCGGTGAACCCCCTATTTTCCGGCTTATTTTCTTTATTTTCTTTTTTACTGTTTTCTCCCTTATATTGGTGGCTTGTACGGAGTAATCGTGGCTTAATAATGATATTTCGACTCATCGCACTTCCCGGTTTGGATCATTGCTTCCGAAGCACTCCGTAAACAATTGCCTATTTAAATAGTATTCCATGTCAACCGTGTTATACATGTAAACATCGAGATAGGCATTGAAAATCAAAACACCTTGAGACCCACCTACAGTGTTACCTAAATATCCTTATTTGACCCGAGGAAATTTCAATAGATCTGAATTACACACATCAAAAATGTCCACAATCCCAAAAAGCAAAGTTAAGACGTGGCTGGTGGAGCGCCTTTAGCGAGGGTAATTGCGGTGAACCCTTATACGAGGTATAGATGTATACTGTGTCTTTTTTTCGGTCTTATTGTGAGGTTAGGCAGTCATACATTATTACATGGATGGTTTAATTGTGATTTGGCCTTATCTATTCGGTCCTGTTTTTCTTGCGGCTATACAAGGCACGGAGTATGGAATAATATACCGGATAATGCACCTCTTAATTTGGAGTAAAATTGTGCACCCTATTATTCTATTACAACATTAAAAAGGACTGGCTTCGTTATCGTGACCGTTCGTTCTAAATAATATATGCCTACGGAGTATATACCCGTGGACCGGCTTTTTTTTTCATAACCGTGAACGACAGTCCAGCAGTCAATCTCCATCCTGGCCAAGGCCATTGCTTTATAAATTGCAATTTTTGTTTTCAGAAACATCGTCCCGGTTGTTAGTCGGCTATGGCACTCACCGTAACGTATCCGAAGATAATGGGAAGACTGTGGTCTACAACGTACGGTCCACGTTGTGGATCATGGCCATCATCAATAGGTTGATTACAGGCATTGTTATGTTGGCTTATTTGTATGATAGTTACACTGAGGGAATTCACCAGCCCCCCAAATCCCCCAACTCCCCCAACCCCACCATGATCTTTTATCCGTTCATAATCAAAGGTGATACATACAACATAGAAAAGTCTCTTACACAGAATATGCTTTTTTACCGTCTTCGTGTACACCTGAAAAGAGCATCTAAAAAGAGTACTCAAAGAATGTCTAAAAAAACCATGTAAAAAACCACCCTCAAAGACCACTCGAAAGGCACGACAAGGCCGCATAAGCAGCCGACTATTCTTATACCTACTAGAGACAAAACATGTGAACAAATCAGAATAACTCGAACTATTCCACCTCCTCCGTAGTAGGACCGTCCCGTTTCTCATCGTTAGTATCAGCATGACCGACCGGATACTTCTTGCCCCCCATTTGTGCACCCAACCCAGTACAAATATATCTATTAAACCTCCACACCGGAACCTGTGCCTGGAACATCTCATCGATATTTTCCAGCGACCTTCCCTTTGTCTCAGGCACAAAAAACCACACGAAAACCAGCGCCGCAACTGAGAACGCCCCATAGATAAACGTCACACGGCCGCCGATACTAGCCTGCACATAGGGGTTGACAAAGTTGATCGGAACGGACGTCAAAAAGCTACCCATAGAAGCGAGAAAGATGGTGCGCTCACGCAACTGGCCCGTTCCTACTTCACCGGTGACGATCCAGCATCCCGGTCCCCAAGTAAAGCCATAAATACAGTACCAAAGAATCAGAAGGGCTGCACAAGCATTCTTGGCTTGTAGGGATAGATTGGCTACAATATTGCTTGATTCGATGGCACCACCTGTTGATATCATTGTCGCTGCTAGCCCGATCGAGCCGAGAATCAGTGACCAGCGACGACCTAGTTGGTCGAAGGTGATGAATGTGATGATGTGGCTGGCGAATGAGCATCCGGTGACTAGGACGTTTGTTCGGAGGGGATCCGGGAAACCGAGTTGTTGCATGAAAGTAACGATGAAGTTTTGGATAAATGAGACACCTTGGGCTTGTTGTAGGATCTGAACGCCCATGCATGCGATTGTTCGGGGAAGGTTAGTCCCTTGGAAACAGTCCAACAGGGAAGTAGCTTTGTGGAGTTCTCTTTGTTCTTCGATTTGGAGTTTGAGTATTTCGACTTCTTGTGCGATGTTGTCCTTTTTGTAGAGTTTTCTCATCACCTCTTCTGCTTCTTGATATCTTTGCTTGTAAATGAGGTATCGCGGTGATTCGGGGAGGAATGGTAACGCTATGAAGTATCCGAGTGGGACAAATAGTTGACAACAGATGACGATACTATTTACTATTTTAGCTATATGTAGAAAAAGGGTGGGAAATAAGGGTCCTTACAGATATTGCCATTGATCAGTGCGATTCCGCGACAGGTACACCACCAACGTGGCAATGAACACCCCGAGTGAAGTGAAGAATGAGTAGATCGCAAGGAATGCTCCTAGGAAAAAATAACAAGTTAGATATGGCCACAACAAAGGTCAATAGCGGCAAGGCATGACAAACCTCGAACACGTGGTGGCGAGCACTCAGATAGATACATTGGAACAACATTTGAAGCGAGTCCAATGCCAGAATAAACAATGATTCTACCAACAACAATCTGCCAAAAGGAAGTCACAGCGCTGGCTTCCAGCACAACACCAAGCGTGATGAGTAGTGACAGGACCAGGAACCCAGCCTTGCGACCATATTTCGAGGTAATAATTGGAGAAATTATGCAGCCAAGAATGATACCAGCTGAGCCAGTGCCAGTTCCAACAGACAGCTTTTCCGATGGGATGCTCCATTCATCCAATGTCGGATTGTATGAGCCATATTTGCGCTTGAACTCGGAGAGTCCTAGAGCACTACCCCACCATCCATTGTCATAGCCAAACCCAAGAGCACCGAGGGAGGAAGTGAATCCAACGAATGCTAGACCCCAATTCAAGTCTTCGTATATGGGGATATTTCTCAAGGCAGCTAACATATTGGGTGGATGGAGAGATTGCGACTGGTGAGCCGAGGGATGATTGATAACAAGATGCTTTTATATACATTTCAACCCCACACTTTCTTTGGATTCTGGGGATTTACCTAGGTAGATCTAGCTTTGAAACCTTGATCTAGTAAACTCCGGAGAATTCGCGGGGAAATAGGTGGAAACTATAACCGCGGGCATTCCCAATGAAGCAATGGGAACCACACCTTCCTGTCCTGATCTAGTTGGGAACTAAAGAGGATATACAAGGCGATGATAGATCTTTGTCCTTTTTACAATATGTGATTTAAGTAACGCACCACATTTTGGGAATGGTATCAAATTATCTTGATCACCTCATGCAAAACCATGCCATCCCTCGTCACCATCATCGTTCAATCTGCTACCCTCAAAGCATTCGCCAACATCACTGCTCAAATACTACAACAGTTGAAATCACCAACACCCATTCCACTCGACTGGAATCGAGTCCTTGAATTTGCGGTGTTTGGAATCGTTTCTGCCCCTCTCATCTCATTGTGGCAGCGGGCTCTGGACGAGACATTTCCCACTCAACTCGCAGTTCAGTCTCAGCAACGAAATGAGAGGAATCCCCGAATAAATTGGCCCAACGTCCTCCTCAAGCTCCTACTGGATCAAACCATCGGATTGTTTGTGGCGAATGTTGTCTTCATCATATGTACTACGGGGGCAAAACTTCAAAGTAGCACTTTGATTCTGCAAGAGGTACAGGCTCGGATATTTCGGATTTTGTTGGCGGCGTGGAAGATTTGGCCGGCTGTGTCTCTTGTCAATTTCCTCTGGGTGCCGTGGCATTCACGAGTTGTGGTTACCTCACTGGTTGGCTTTGGTTGGAATATTATTCTCAGTGTATTGTCTAGTACGTGATAGAATTAGAGCAATTCAGGAAATTTGTTCACATTTCGCTAGTTTATCCTCTTCATACATTGGTTTTCGTACCCCTTTTGCCATGTAAATATTGTTCAATTGTAAAATGAGCCACCTACGCAGCGAAATTGCGTTTGTATACTTCCCCACGCTAGCCTCCCCACCCCCCCACGTTCACCCCGTTCACCCCCCTCGGCATTCCGGCCGACGAGAGAATGCAATTAGCCGTTTCGTGCTTCCAGACTCAATCCTAAAACGGCATCTTTAACCACCGACTAAATAGAGGTTGAGAATGGCCTCAAACCAAGTATTTAGGAACTGTAAATTGAACATATTCTCATTCCTCTCTTCATTCATAAATTGGTGTCCTGATAGCCAGCAAAAATGCTCCGCGTTGCCGTTTGGCTGTGTTTGGGGACACTTTTGGCAACTCTCACACTCTGCGCCCAATCAACCCCGCAATGTCACCAGAAACCAAGCTCAAAGCCACGTCTATTCCTTTTGAGTGACATCGCCAACGAGCCAGATGATGCACAATCGCTCGTGCGACTCCTCCTTTATTCAAACGAATTACAGATTGAAGGCCTCGTTGCTACAACAAGCTTTTGGCTCAATGATACCACCCGCCCTGACCAGATGCGAGGTATTGTGCAAGGGTACAAGGAGGTGCTTGACAATTTGAAGACTCACGCTTCGGGATGGCCGGAGCCAGAGCACCTTTTCTCGCTCATTGCCTCGGGATCGACAATCTACGGCATGGAAGGGGTAGGAAATGGCCGTGACAGTGAGGGCTCGGAGATGCTTGTCAATGCAGTCGATGCGTCTGATGAGCCTTTATGGGTTCCTCTGTGGGGTGGAGCAAACACTCTCGCCCAGGCACTATGGCATGTGAATGCAACGAGACCGGCAGATATTGACTTGTTCGTCTCCAAATTGCGGGTGTATTCCATCTCCGATCAAGATAATGCTGGTCCGTGGATTCGACGAAATTGGCCTAATCTATTCTATATCTCCAGCGTGCATGCTTTCAATCGGTATGGCAATGCTGCTTGGGGAGGTATGTCTGGTGATGACTATTATCACTTCCCTAACAATGCAAACAAAGAAGTCATTTCTCCATCTTGGATTAGAAATAATATCCAAATTGGACCATTAGGTTCGAAGTATCCAAACAGTGAATTTATTATGGAAGGTATATATTTATATATCCCTCCCGCGGGTGTTGAATTTAACCTAGGTCCAATGTTAACCTTGAACCACAGGCGACAGTCCTTCTCTGTTATATCTTATCCCCAACGGGCTATCAGATCCCGAACAACCCGAATGGGGTTCATGGGGAGGCCGGTACGGCCCTGTTGCATGGGGCGAAGGTCACTTTGCTGACAGCATTGACACCCTTGTTGATGACAACGGTAAAACGATGATGGGCTCTCAAGTGACAGTCTGGCGCTGGAGAGAGGCCTTCCAAAATGATTTCAAATCGCGGATGCAGTGGACTATCAGATCACACTTTGAACAAGCCAGCCATGCACCTGTTGCAATTGTGAACGGCAGTGCTGGTCGTGAGGTGCTCCAATATGTTGTGCTTCCTGAGCAAAATGTGGTCCTTGATGCATCCAAGTCATGTAATCCAGATGATCATGGTGCACTTTCGTTTAAGTGGTGGCAATATCTGGAGCCCAGTTCGAACCTTAACACACCAAAGCGAGATGTTACCTCTCTAAATCTGCAGCAGAGCAATACAGCCACGGTAACGATCGAAATTCCATCGGCTGAGACTCTGATGAGGGCTGGCAGGGGTGTTCATGCCGAAGCAGACAAGCACTTACATATCATTCTGGAGGTCTCGAATGGAGGGCAAATCGCTTATCGCCGAGTGATTCTCACGATAAAGGGTAACACTTCGAGCGAGAAAACCGAAGGGAGAGAACAAGAGGGTCATGATGAACTTTGAATAGCAAAAATGGATACTAGGTATAATTAGTATAATCTATTTTTTTTTCGCGACTGTATCAATTTAGTTAAGGTAGGAAGGGATAAGTTATTTTCGTTATATGGGACAAGCATAGTCGGCCGTAGCCAAGCGATAATCTGGTGCCTATCTATGTATGTACTATGAATTAACTATACCAGATAGCACGAATAGTGACTTACACTTGGGCGATACACCTGGGCATAGCTTGCTTGCTTATATACTCGTGGCCCTGCTCATCATCACATTCAGCCTGTCAGCCTACTAGGCTACCAGCCCCAGCTTCTTCTGTTTAAGCCAACGTGTATTGGCTAGAACAATCCGTATCATACTAGGCTGTGCCCAGGTGCGTATCGCGTACTCCGTATATATGGCATTGAGACGAGCGCGGCGAATAAAAATGCATCGTTAAGCGCGCTTTGGAAAATTCAAGGCGCACTAGATATTCTTGGCAGCACCCAGCCGACAGTTTTTAGCCCCATGTCTTATTAAGACATGGGTAGATGAACCGTTAATATTTTATAGCCTAGCGGTGTCGATCTGAATAAGACCTTGTCGTGCACTTACAGAGATGTCGGCATCTTCTTTGTGCACATCCACTGAAAGGCCCGTATATATTCTTCTCGCAATCCTTGTCGCTCTTCCACTTGTTCGCGCAGATGGCTGGGATGACTTTTCGAACAATCTCGCAACCGATCTCGCGCCGTTTCTGTCCCTCTTTGGTGAACAGATAACGAAGCAATACCTCAGCGAGAGCATTACTGTGATTGATTATTTCATTTTTGCAATGGCGCCAATGGGTATTCTCACTGCGGTAGTTTCTGCAATTCGTGTGTGTGGGACTCCATCGCTACGTGCCTTCATCGGCAGAGCTCAAGAAGGGGCGGGAAACGCAGAGGCTGAGCTATGTTCCTCTACGAGTCGGGACGTGTGCGAGCTCTACAACAGTGGTGGCATTGCCCGCGTCTTTGGCCGCCCAAAGATTCTAGAGGTTGTTCACGATCCTGATCACGATTTCAGTGATCCAAATGATGCCACAGCGGGAATATACACATTCCAAGATTACATTCTTGGAAAAGGTAAGGACTTGTGGAAAGAGGAAAAGCCAAAGATTAAGCCAAAGATTAAGACAAACGACGCCGAGTCAGCCCGCGGATTGGATCCTCTCCGTGAACCGGATACTGCCTATACGCCGTTTGCTCCAAATCTCTCTCTGAACATCGGAATCAAGAAACAATCGACCGCTGTTTCCCTCGCAATTGCTGTAGTTGGCTTTCTTCTGCAGGTCGGTGTTTTGATTTTCGCGGGCATTGCGACATACTACCTGAAATGGGATAAGGATGGTAGTCCCCCAGAGTCCTATGCATGCCCACTTGTGATTACTGGGACTGTTCTTGTCTGTGGTGGGATGTTTAATTGCGCATTTCTTGTGGGCCAGAGCACCAAGGAAGATGTCTGGCATCGGGAAGAGAATCACACCGCCAACCCATCTATGTATTGGATACAGCCTGGGGGTCAAATCATTGGAGATCAAACCTTTGATGCCTTCTCCTTTACCGACCATGAGAACAAATTGAAGAAGTATACGACCTCAAGGAGAGACGGGTCCAAGGAATCGAAATTTGAAGTCTGGGCAGCGATTGGAACCACTATTTCTGGCTTTGTCTTGCAGTTTATCGGCCTTCGGGGTATACACTCGGCAGTCTCAATAGCCCAACTAGGAGTCATTATGGTCATGAGTATGGCAAGAGCTGGACTCCGCATGCAGCGATTGGAACCTGATGACAACTGCTTTGCTAAGTTTCCTGATCAGGTTCTGGGCCACGAATTAGACTGGCTCGCCTTGCGTATTGGCCGAAACGATATTGAAAAGGACGTCAAAAATCACACGGATCACCCGTCACCAAGGTCGGCATCTCCTCCTATCCAGTCACTCACATCATCATATGTCTCGTCATTTTCCGGTCGCAATCTTCAATGCCGTTACTTCTGGAGACTCCGCGGTGCGCCTGAGACGAACAAAATCAGCCGCGAGAATCCATCTGCCCACGAGCCTAAGAAGGCTGCTGCCAAATTATTAGCGTATCGAACCCGTCTCGCATCGCTTACTATTTCATCTCCCACTCCCGCGAGCAATTTCAAGATTGAAATGGTCGAGGTCCGAAACGAGAGTCAGCAGCTGGCTGCTTTGATTGAGGCCACCGCGAAAAAGATTTTCTCAAAGGCCGAAATCAAGAAAGAATGGAAGGATGCCACATCAATGTTTTGGGGCATTGATTGCACTCTCTACAAACAAAATGAAGACCTTACAACTTCTTGGAAGAACCACACAGTTTACCTGGAATTCACTCAAGACCCAGACGATCCAAGAAATCCCTGGATGCTCAAAAGCAAGCTGGAACTAGAAGCGATACTAGGACTGTGGGTTTGGTCGCTGAAGTCTGATCCAGCAGTAGAAACCGAAGACACGGTGACTGGTCTCAAGAGATCCACAACTGATGATATCCAGGCACGGCGGATTGTCCCAACTGACCAGGTCAGGGAACCAGACCTAGGAATATGGCTTGGTGACGACATCAATATTATCACTGAATACAATCTTTACAATACACCGGCTGACATTGGAGACGCTGACATCGGAGACGCGAGTACTGTTTGGACAAAGACAGGCGAGAAAGATGTGGAGTATAACAAGAGGATTTCATCAGCTGGGCAGCGGCGTAGCCTATCGCGGGTGCGCTTTTTTGGTTGGAAAGCTGCTCAGTTGTCGCGGAGTCTAGGCTATGAGACACCCGGCCTTTGGTCCGCTCCAATAAAAGGTTCACTTGTGTCAATGTGTGCTCAAGAAGTATTTGCGTCATTTATCACGAGTATGCTTGACATTGTGGATGGCGTTGGACTGGTTGATGTTCAAGAAACCGAACCTTTTCGACTCGAGAATAGCCTCGTAGCTGATATTGTTGGACTGTTCACGGAGATGGGATTAGGCTCAAGACAGGAGGCTCTATTTTGTGTTATACCTTTGATGTTACCTCATCTTAAGATGCCCCCCACAGCAAGTACCTTGGCGGTAGCACAAAAAGCGCAGCCCAGCGACGACGACGCAAGGAGTGGAAGAAGGCAGAAAAAATGCTACGATGGGCATGGAGCACCTGCACTCAATCCCAATCTACTTGTACAAACCCGGCCTCGGAAGACGGAATTGCCGAGCAAGCAACAATCGCTCTGGGCGAGTTATACCGATGGGCTTTGGTGGATGAGACTGGAAACGCATTCGGCAAGGATGGAATCTCCTGGCTCGGGCAGCAAAAGCCTAGCCAATCGGTATCTACGTGCAAAGTTATCGATCGCTATGTTGATGTTGCGAGTCGATTTGCACAGTATGAAGTCAATGATGCTGGCCTTCTCACTGCGATGGAAAAGGGCTGCTTGACCTCAGCACTGCTTCTTCTCACCCACCCGGCATCTAAGATGGGGAACAAACAGAAAAGAAAGACACTTTTCTTAGCGGCGAAGTACGGATGGGCTGAGGTGGTACTTGTGTTGTTCGAATTAAGAAGCGAACCAGACGTTCAAGACGCAGCAGGCAGAACGCCACTGTCATACGCGGCAGAGAAGGGAAATTTCGGTGTCGTGAGAGAATTGGTAGATTGGGGAAGTTTCCCAAACTCGGCGGACAACCAACATAGGACACCTTTGTCATATGCGTCAGGAGCAGGGTCTTACATGGTAACTGAGCTATTACTCAGAGACAACCGTGTTTCTGCGGACAGTAGAGATATTAAGGGACGGACGCCGCTATCGTGGGCGGCAGAGAACGGATACGACACCGTCGCCAAACAGCTCCTCGAGACCGATGTCGATATAGACGCGGAAGGGGATTCTGGACGGACGGCACTATCGTGGGCGGCGGAGAACGGACATAGCGCCGTTGTCAAACAGCTCCTTGAGGCTGGCGTCGACGGGGAACCGAAAGACGATTCTGGACGGACAGCACTATCGTGGGCGGCAACGAACGGACATAGCGCCGTTGTCAAACAGCTCCTTGAGGCTGGCGTCAACGGGGAACCGAAAGACGATTCTGGACGGACAGCACTATCGTGGGCGGCGAAGAACGGACATAGCGCCGTTGTCAAACAGCTCCTCGAGGCTGACGTTGATATAAACCCGAAAGATAAGGATGGACGGACGCCACTGTCTTTGGCGGTGGGAAACGGACATAGCGCTGTTGTTAAACAGCTCCTCGGGGCTGACGCTGATATAGACGTGAAATATAGGGATAGACAGACGCCACTGTCGTTGGCGGCGAAGAACGGACATGACGCTGTTGTTAAACAGCTCCTCGAGACTGGCAAGGTCGACATAAATGTGGAATGCTATGATCGACGGACGCCACTGTCGTTGGCGGCGGAAAACGGACATAGCGCCGTTGTCAAACAGCTCCTCGAGGCTAACGTTGATATAAACCCGAAAGATAAGGATGGACGGACGCCACTATCGTGGGCGGCGGAGAACGGACATGACACTATTGTTAAACAGCTCCTCGAGACTGGCAAGGTCGACGTGGATGCGAAAGGCAATGATTCACGGACGCCACTGTTGTTGGCGGCGAAGAACGGATATGACACTATTGTTAAACAGCTCCTCGAAACTGGCAAGGTAGACGTGGACACGAAAGGGCAAGGTAATCGACAGACGCCATTATCGTTAGCGGCGGAGAATGGACATGACGCTATTTTTAAACAGCTCCTCGAAACTGGCAAGGTCGACGTGGACGCGAAAGGGCAAGAGGATCGACAGACGCCACTGTCGTTAGCGGCGAAGAACGGACATGATGCTGTTGTTGAACAGCTCCTCGAGACTGGCAAGGTCGACGTGGATGCGAAAGATAGTGATAAACAGACGCCACTGTCGTTAGCGGCGAAGAACGGACATGATGCTGTTGTTAAACAGCTCCTCGAGACTGGCAAGGTCGACGTGGATGCGAAAGGCAATGATCGACGGACGCCACTGGCGTTAGCGGCGGAGAACGGACATGACGCTGTTGTTAAACAGCTCCTCGAGACTGGCAAGGTCAACGTGGATGCGAAGGGCTATGATCGACGGACGCCACTATCGTTGGCGGCGAAGAACGGACATGACGCTGTTGTTAAACAGCTCCTCGAGGACGACGTTAATATAAACTCGAAAGATAAGGATGGACGGACTCCACTGTCGTTGGCGGTGGGAAATGGACATGACGCTGTTGCTAAACGGCTCCTCGAGACCGGTAGGGTCGACCCGCACGCGGAAGACAATAACGGACAGACGTTGCTATGGCGGCACATAAACGCGGAGCTGTTGTCAAACTGCTAAAACTTCCCACTTAGCTTCTACGACCACCTACTATATGCATGTTTGATATTTATCTGTACTTACTACCACAACTAGCAAGATTCCCGCTCACGTCCATGAGAGTCCAATTCTATTTGACTATCACAGCCCTTTTGGTCGCATCACATGAGTAGCATTGAACTCATACAGATGTACCCATATGTATTAAATGGAGTGCCAGGAGTCCAACAGTTAGTATAATTACTTTTTGACTGATCATACCAAGCTACGAGGTAGAGCATGGTCACACTAGGTTGCTAGATGTGGGCCATGCTTTGATGCCGAACAGCGAGCTAGCTACCGATGTCATCTGCGACATACTAGTTAGATATCCATTTACATAGTGTATTAAGTAACAAGTGAATACTCTGCGTAAGAAAAATACAGTCCCTACGATACACACATGTATGTATTGTGTACTACGGGAAACCCAATGTAATTAAGGTTCGAGAAAGAATGAGTGCAACTTGTCAGCCCTGGAGTGTCAGCCCTGGAGTTTCGAGACTTATGTTAGTCATTGATCAAAGTCGCGCTGTTCATGTAGGCCATGCTTCGTGTAGTTATTGTTCCCCGTTCTGGCCATAAGATAAATAGGACAAAAAGGCTATCTAGGAACGTTAGAGATGATATCAGAGAGTGCCTACTGGCTTGGCTATACTTTCTTTGTCAAAGGTTATAGTATATAGAAAAATCTCTTACATAAAATCTGCTTTTTATACCGCCTTCACATACACCTCAAAAAGACATCTAAAAGGACACAAGGCCGTATAAGTGGCCGACTGCCTAGATATTTTTGTACATACCTTAGTACGGAGTAGTAAACTCTTATTTAGGCAACCCCAGATTAACTTTGGACATTCTGTATTGTGACATCATCATGCATCCCACGTGGCCATGGCACGAGATCACCCCGCGTGGCCTGATGAGCCTCAGTCGTTTAATATTGGGCTCTTTGGCCATCGTAATAGCCACAGGGTTCAACTGACACGGCGTTTCTACTCAAACAATGGTTTATTGGTTCAATGGGTAGGTCATTTCGGCTACTCCCGTGTCTCTCCGATTTGTTATAGCTTCGCTGGCTGGCTCAAGCAAAGTCGGATGATCCATAAAACGTGACTTGTTGTAGTCCGTGGTTGATTTCGACTCGCTCACTTTGAAGACATCACGATTGAACTCGGCTCTTGCGGTTCATCACGGAGCTGGAAATCCTGCCACCAGAGTACATGTTAGAACGCTCCGAAAGGCCAAAATTACGGAAATCATGTTACAACTTACTCTCTTCGTCCAGCAAAGTGCCATTTTTCCAACATTCTTCCGCCCAGCTCACACTAACAAGATGCGGCATTTTTACACCCGGCCTCTCGGCCAGAGACTTCCGGAGAGATGATATGTCCGCCGAAGACAGATTATCTGGATCGACTATCACATGTGTGGTGCCCGAGCTCTTAAACGAGCTAGCACTCTCGGCGCCTGCAAACCGGGCTGTGTTGCGAGCGAATTGGAGGCGTTGGTCCTCCTTTCTCGGTTCTCGGGAGGTTGGTTCATCTGGGTGATCTTTGTTTGAGTAGAAGTAGAACTTCAAGCCTCGGAAGAGCCATCCACAGGGTACTGTGTAACCAGCGTTTACCTTTTCCTGGATGCGAGCCTCGACCCTCTGAATGGTTTCTGAGTCCGGGGCATGGTCGAACTGTTTCTGGTTTTGTTCCATTTGGTTGAATATCTGCAAGATCCAATAAACGTTAGCCAAAATCATGGTTGTTTCTCGCTATTTCTCTGGGGGTCCCATACATCCTTGAGCTCGTCCACGGTTGTATCACGGGCATAGCTATCCATGAATTTGTCGACGTTTGCCGCAACTTCTTCCTCTTTGTCCTCTGTCATGAAAAACATGTGTCTATAGAGATCGATGAATATTAGCGCTGTATATATGCATTCCTTTTAGCTGTAAAAACTTACCGTGGCTCGAACGGGAGAAGAAGATCAGGCAGTCCTGCATCTATTTCATTCTGTTTAACACAGTCGATAAGCCAAGATGGTCGAATGATGCTTTGCTCTCCACTCTTTTGTAACGAAGCTACTTTGACCGTTCCTGTAAAAACGTTAGCCTGGACTTATTTTATATCTGTAAAATGAAGCTCACTTCGCTCAGCAATACAGAGCGTGTCTACCGCAGCCGTCCTGGTTTGATAGATCTTGCCACCATTAGCCTTCACGAGTTGTTCCAGTTGAGGTTTTGTTTTCTTTTCTGGTATGGTCGACTCGGTCATTATGACTATAGAAGGCCATTATATTAGTATTATGTATGACAGGAAGGGGACACGATAAAGCCACATACAGAAGTTAAGCTCATCGAAGACATGCCCAGAAGGTCCAAGATACTGGACATCGATATTGTCGTCATATCCAGCAACCGTGAGCGGCTTCTTAGTGGTCCTCTTCACTCGCTTCGTACGAGAGTTGTCAACAGAGAACTCTTTCTCCCGATGTTCCTGCTCTGCATTGGACTTCAGGTCAAGGAACTCCTGAACTGAAAGCGCACTTTTCCAGTCTTTGTCCTTGCGCAATTTCTTGAAACGAGGAAAGCGCAACGTCAATCCCATGCGGAATTGATCACTGATCGCAACAGATGCGGCTTTCACGCACAGAACAATCGAGTCGGATGGTTTGATCCACATATCTGGACGCTCGTGCTGGGCGTCTCCACCCGCCAGTTCGATAAAGGTAGTCGGTGGCTTTTTTGCATCCCACGCCTTCCATTTGCCATCTGTATGATGACGGACCTCCTGGTAGTCAGCAGCAGTAAATCCGCCACCGACCTTACAAAAGGACCAGCATTTCTCTGCTGCTTGTGTGCTGTCGTCGACACGCAGGCCACAGAGGAAACTGGAAAGCGCACCTCCTCGATGGCCAGAGCCATAGTACCCCCCAATCACAACGACATCAAGTGATTCTCCAAATTCGGTCATATAGTCTGGTTTGACTTTCATCCAATCATCGTGGCGTTCGTTCAGTCGATATGGAGAGCGCGGGTTCTTCAACACAAGACCTTCTGATGCTTCAGCGACGACCTTGCGCAGAGCTGCTTCAACTTCTGTGGTCGTAGTGGCTTCCTCGTAAGAGTGAATTTCAAAACGGCGATGCACAGGTCGGACAGTTTTCTCCAGGGCATTGCGACGATCACGAAGGGTATACTTCGTTAGATCGCGCCCATTCAAATGTAAGATATCAAACACGCGAAACAAGGGTCGGGGGCCATTTGAGAAAGGATTCCGTTGTTCCGCCAGCGCCGCGGTTTTGAGCGTGCCAAAGGGAACTATGGCGTCCTGTTCAGGATCCCAGGTGATCATTTCGCCGTCGAGAATAATACTCTGGACTCCATCCACAAAAGCATCTTTTAGATGCCTTGTCAGAGCACCGTTCTCATCACAAATTCCATTTCCATACAGATAGGTATATTCTTTCGCTTTGCGCGACCAGAAACCAAATTTCCGACCGCCTTTAGTTGAATCGTCAGGCGCCATGTGGAGTTGCATACGCTCACCATCCATTTTCTCTTCGATCCAAAACACATTGTCATCTTCTGTTGGTTTCATACGAGCAATTATTTTCTCGAATGAATGCATCTGGAATTGGGCTAGCTGCGGCTGGAAGCATTGCATCAACGCGATACCGCGCTCCTCTCCCTCAAGCCGGATATTGGGATCATGCAGCTCCCAGCAAACACGCCGCAGACTGCTAGAGATGCTGTAAAGATTCTCGGCATCGGGATGCCAAACATCAAAGAGTGTTCGTTCGGTAGCACCAACTTTCATCTGCCGAAGTATAATTCGGATGAGCCACAGAAGCTCTTCGGGGTTCATCCGCCGGTAGAACTCTGTCAAGATTGGCAGCTGTTCATCCTCCTTTGAAGCAGCCGATAGCTTATCCAGCTTCTCATTAACCTCGTCGATGGTCATATCACCCGGCTCGGTCCGCATAGGCCGCTTCGAGAGAACGTCAAAGCATCTTCCAGCAAAGTCGCCCGCCATACGGGTTGTAGTACCCTGGCCTGGAAGCTTCCAATTCAGAAGGTTGTATCCATCTTCTGATTCTTTGTTGATCTTCATGATCTTGACAAGCATCTTCCCGATGGCCTTCTCCTTGATCCCGTACATAGGTCGATCGCGGTCTTTGTCGGGAAGAATCAGCCGAAGGGCAGGATAAATGTCGTCGCCGACATCCTTGCGCCATCGTGATATGAAGCGCTCAATCACATCGCGCCGGCGCTCAAACGGGTTGAGACTCGTAGCACCTTTTCCGTGAGGGCCAACTTTGCGGCGAGCTGGAGCAGGCCCTGATGGCTTTTTTTTCAGCTCACTTAGAGGATTGAATAGGTTGAGGTAGAGATCGTGGAATGGCAATGTTGGGGCCCTGTTATGAGGTCTGTTGGGGTATCTGCCAACTACTATCAGTGTCTACCCAAAATCTTGTTGTTGATAGTTATGGGCTCACTTCTCATCCAGATCTTCTTCATTCTCTAGCTTCGGCAGATCCTGCCCTAGAATCTCGTCGGAATCCATGTTTGGAGAAGTGAAGAACCAAAAGTTGGAAGTTGAACTACCCCAGATGATTCTAGGCTGCACTGCCGATAAGATAAGGGATGGCCCCACCCATTTTCTCTCGAACTATACAGGCAACTATACCAGTCTACATTTATATCACATATCACTTCATATCTTGCGCCAAACTTATATTCACATTTATCCTACCCTTGACGATCAGGACCTCCACCCTGCTCTACCAGGAATGTCACCATTTTTGCTGAACCAGACCGAACGGCGTAATAGAGTGGAGTGCCGAGCCCGCTTCTTTCATTCATATCTATGTACTAGGAACCTATTAGTTTATTAATAAAGGCACGTACCCAATTATAGAGTCTTACCATAGAACCGACCTCCACCCCGAGGTATCTACACGTCCCTTCTATATGTCGGGCACGCATCTCGTCAATTCTCACACATTGGGCGAGGAGAACATTCACATTCTCCCTCTTCATCCGTTCGTACAGCTCAATGATATGTCCAGTATTCTTTAAGCTAGCACAGCTGAGAGTCGTCGCTTTTATTTATTTTATTAACGCTAGGTACATTGCTTAGACCTCCATGCCCATACCATTCTAATTGCCAAACTGCTTTATGCACAAGCCCTGAATGTGGCTTAGCAGGCAGTCAGTTGTGTACTTAGGTTGACAGAAGTGGCATGTTGCGATCGAGTCCTCTAGTCATCATGAATTCTGTCCCGTAGCCTCCTTTATTCCGAATGAGACCTCCTTCTTCCAGAGCGATATATCAGAGGTGGCTATTGTAGGATGTTGAGGAGACTCGAGGTTCTCGGCATGTTGGAGAACGGGTGTGGGTAGTCGAGGGATTGTGGTTAAAGCCCAATGGCCTCTCGAAATAATTTCGGTATTTTTGGCTTGGGAAAGGAACTGCTGGTTCTTAGCGATGTTCCCATTTCTTGATGGCAATCTTACCACGAGGACAGAAAGTGTGAAGGCTTTCTTCACTTGGCCGCGTTCAATCTACGGAGCTAGAATTGAAAATCTGTTCAAGTTTGTGCCTTTTCAGAGCATCTCGCTTCCACAATCACAATTGTGGACCATTTGCGACTTCTACCAATGCACATGTGGGCAAGTCGTTGGGTGCTTAAATCGTGTCTCTTCTTTGTAGTGCCCCCTCTGACTTGCATGGTGACTCTTGGTCTAAGAAGGAAGGCCGTTCTGTTCGCAGCACCAAACATCCAAAATCGTGGTAAAGGGTGCGAATGGCCACCTAATGGGTGGTGGAGTTCATTCTGAGTAGATTTTAGGAGATAGTGAAGTTGTAAGCCCGGGAGCTAAGGTCGGAGGGGTTGTTAGGGGTTCACGAAACATTCGGGGAAGAAACATTCCAAGGTTGAAAGGCACACCCACAGTGGAAATACCTACATATATGTACGACATGATGCGTTTCAGTGCTAACTATCCTAAATACATATGTAAAAATATATATATGTATATTTATATGGGGATAACATGTTTGTGAACCTTATGTCCAACTTACATATTACCAGAATAGTCGGCTGTTTATGTAGCCGGATCGTTTTATTTTTAGATATTCTTTAGATGTCTTTTTGGTGTATACGAAGGCGAAAAGAAATTACGTATTTTATGCAACAGACCTTTCTATGTATAACCTTTGAAGTAGACAAAGAGACCAACACAGACATTAGTATACAGAATAAGAAACGTGTTTATTTGCCGTAGATCTCAGTAAAATCAGACATGCTCAGCATCATGCCGACGATTCTGTTCCCAAGAGGAATGATACGAGCTCAAATCCGCTAGCCGCATCAAAATAGCCACGAACTTTTTCGAAACACTCCACGCCGTCAGGCCCGAAAGAACCTCACATCCAACCCGCAAGACCCTTTCCGGACCCTCAGCCCCACATATATCACCAACACCAGTAATGTTCCCTCTCATAGCATGACCTTCCCTCACAAAAAGCTGCACAAGCTCATCATCGCACGGCCGGTCAAGATGAATGAAACTCGGTTCATGGAGCGGCTCCGCATGCGGACTGGACTCATGGGACGTATGCGGGTGACATGATCCGTACGCCCACAGCATCAGCACAGCGATGAACACGGCGACAGGCTCGTGGAAAGCATTTGTCGAGTAGCGACGGATATGCCAGAGAGTGACGCCGGCATGGATGATTGAAAGTCGGGCTTTGTATTGGTCGTGTTTCATCCAGCGCCAGATGTACTGCCACTCGAGGGTCTGATGTCTTTTGCTCCAGCGCTGCTCTTCTGTTGCCAGGGAGGTTGCGAGGGAGCGCATTTCACGGAACGGAGCGAGGAGGAATAGTCTGGCGGTGTGGAGGTGGAGGATGGTTGGATGCTCAAGGCCGGCGGCTTTGGCTACGGTGCTGTTGGCGGTCCAGTGGAGGATGTCGAGGCAGTCGCATGCGCTGTTGCGCCATTTTGAGTATGAAGGGATCCCTGGGAGCCAGACTGAGCCTATGGGGATGGCGGTCTCGCATGATTGCTTCTTCGCTGTCGGGTTCCAGAAGGATAGTGGGCGGCGGAAGTAGTCTCCCACCTCCCACATTCGGTGGTAGAGAGCGTGGATGAGTAAAATGTGACTGAATTCTCCTATCCCAGGTACTACTCTCTTCTCAATGTAGAGGATTTGAACTGCGTCGTATAAGGATTCGTTGGCTGTAGAAGTTAGAGATTTGTCGGTTTTGGGGTCTGAACATGAGTTACCAAATGATTTAGCCCACAGCGGCTTCCATGCCTCTGCGGATGCAGCTTGCCATAGCTTCTCGTGCGCGGGCAACGCAGCTTGTCCGTCGTCTAGGGAGAGCAGAGGCCGATCATCAAAGTAATATGCAAGAGTGCAATCGACAAGCTATCATCGTCAGTAAAGTAATGGCTTCATGTTTCAACAAAGCTTACCCATATACAATAGCCGGTGCGTCTCCTGACCTCATCTTGAATCCAAGATGCCCAAGCTGCATCCTCTGACGCCTCATTGAATTTTGTTCGCATCGGTGTCAACAACCGGGAGGTTTTCATGAGTGTCACCAAGTCACCAAAGGTGCTCAAGGCTGAGGCCTTTCCTCGCTCGCTTTTACCATGGAAAAGTCCAATGCAGTTGAATAACATAGCTTGCAATATCTCGAGAGAAGCATGACTAGGGCGAGTCTTTTCTTTCTGGCAGTACAAAACAATTAGTTGGAAGCGAATGCATGAGGGTGGGAAGGCCTTTTTCACCTCAAGATAGATACCCCGTCGAATCAGCTCGTGGAAAGCGGTTGTACACTGCTCCATCTTGGAAATGTGGGACGCGTGGCAGCCAAGTGCCACTACTGACAAAGTCAAGAGCCAATGGCTTGTATTGGGATCAAATCTATGAAGATGTAATATCGGATAAACGGTCTGGAATGAATCGAAGAAGAAGGTAATGAACTGGTTGCATTCATCCACAGTGGGGAATCTTTCCGACTCGAACACCTCAAAAAAGGGAGTTTCATTGCAGCATAGTTGAACAAAGTGCCGATAAATTCCATCGTAGGTGGAGGTTTCAATCCGTTGTGCGAACCGGGTTATATCTTCCGATATGTGATCTGTGCGCAGTTCGGAAATGATAGGGAAGTTGAACCGGTGCTCACCATCTTCAATGAGCAGTTGCTTGCCAGTATCCACCAGCTCTACAGATTCGCTGGGCCAAGGCGTGTGTTTCTTTCCGTACTTTGGGAGTCTGGAGGGCGCACCATCGACATAGTAGTCTACCGATCCCTTAGCGGAACCCACTGAATCAGTATGAGGAGAAGGCTCGCTAATCCCGTGAGAATATTGAGTAGGGCTTCTCATGCTGTTTCCTAGAGAAACATGCGCAGAGGGTGTCTGGGAGACCCGCTCTGGTTGCAAAGAACTGGCTTGTCCAGGGTTGACCGATGGTTGCCACGTTGTACGAGAGAAGTAGGTACTTGGGCTGAGAGATTGACTGTATTGCGAGGAAACACCAGTGGACTGCGGGTGGCAATGAGGAGCACCAGAAAGCAACTCACTAGGGAGCCAATTGATGGTGGAAAGCATAGATTGATCAAAGAACGCAGGATCGAATTCTAGTGGTACCCCCGGATTATTCGCTAGGGTCATCTCAATGTCACCTGCTGGGTTGGCCATTCCCGGCTGGATATCCCTCATTTCAGAGTCTAGGTTGTTGGTTGAATCAACAGGAAATACTTTGGGGTTGTGGGAGCTCGAGCTATATGTCTGGTTGATGTCTCTAGGGTAAACCCCTGGTGGCACTGTTTTAGACAGCCCTTGTGTCTCATTCGGGAGATAGAAACGATGACTCGAGCCAATAGTGTGTGCATCTTGTGGTATTCGTTTTGTGATTTCACTGCCGGGAGTAGACGACGCATTGAACGAAGCTTTGGATGATGCCGGCTCATTTTGTAGGTGTATAGAAAACTGGCTCTGACTAGAAGCTGAATGCAACCCTTGGTGCATGGGTTTGAGGTTGTCGCCTTGCACGTAGGCTTCCTGCTCTGAATCTCTTCTGTCTTTTGCTTTAGACCGCCTTTGTGTGGGGTATTGACATTCGAGCGAGCGAGTGTCGCACCGCCCACATGGAGTGCCACCGCTACATCTTACTCTTGCTGTTGCGCAACTAAAGCACGCCCGGAATGTTTTGACGGTAATCCGATGTGTGCGATCTTTTCCTCCTGTACCTGGTGCGTGGTGGCTCAATTCATGTCGATGGAGGGTGTCACTGGGGGTTGATTAGCATACGACTCTCGACGCAAGGATAGCTACAACCCAAGCGCGCATACGTTCTTGAAAAATGCCGGCCGCACTGGGCACACTCAAACGGCTTCTCCTTGGTGTGACTCCGCAAATGTCGCTTCAGATGCTCTGGTCGTCGGAAGGTACTGCTACACACTGAGCATTGAATGTGGCCAGCAACCAGTTCGTCTTGATTCTGATCTGTATCTCGAACTTCGGATCTCCGTTCTGTTCCAATATGAGAATCCTCGGGATCATCTTTACCCGACATGGCTCCAATTTTGCTTCAGAGAAGCAGATAGCATTTTCCCAAGCCAAACTGATATGTAAGTCACATTGCAGATGCAGATGGAGAGGGGGAAGCAAAGCGGAGAACGGGTGAATAAATGGCGGCTCGGTTAATTAAAGTCTGGGGTAAATAGTGTGGAGTTGACGAAGTACAATCGAATTGTTAGAAATCTATAAAAGAGATTGCAGCCATACAGATAGAACATCTGGATTTTTTTAATCGTGATATTCGATTTTCTATGTGTGCTCCGTAAGATATACACACATTTAGTTGCGTAGAAGAAACGTGTACGGTCGCGTGCACGGCCATTTCCCGTCGATATTTCCCCCTAAACATCTCAAGGAAAAAAAACATCATATGAAGGATCATCCTAGTCATCTTGATCATCTTCATATAATCCTTGTTTCAACTCGCATCACCCGCATACTTACCGAACTTTGCGGGGAATCGATTCCATGAATGGCGAGGCCGCTTCCGCGAACCAGCGGTTGGGCGTGGCCCGGAATGACGCTCTCCAAGGCGCCACGCTCGCATTCCAGCACTCCAGGGACCCCTCGCCCAATGTGAGGGCTACCAATGTGAGGGCTAGTTCTTCTGCTGCAATGGCAAGTGATAATCGTCCTCTGAGTCGCCAGAGGACTGGATCCGATGCCCCCGAAGTGGGCTCCGTAAAGGATAAAATTGGGAGATTGGCCAGACCACTTTCGCCTACGGCCAGTACATCATTAAGTGTGAGAGGACGACCCTCAGCCGCCTCTCTCTCCTCGACCTCCCAAATTGCGGCACGGCTCGCTGCGTCAAGGTCCCCTGGGCGGGACACCAGTGTTCCGTCGACAACCGCCAGACTTGGCGCAGGTGCAGTACGAAGTGCGAGTCGGGTGCCACCCTCACCAGAAAAGCGACAGCTACCAGCACCAACCCCGCTGCGCTTGATCCAAGGGAGAGATAGTCCCTTAGATCGCATGCTGCACGAAAATGGCTTAAAGTCCGACTCAGATCTACCTAGCTACGGGCGCTCTCCATCCCAACAATCCAGGGCAACTCTAAATTATCACGAGGGTCGAGAACCGAGCCACCATCCCTCCTTTGAGCCTCGAAATTCATCTGTACCGCCAAATGAGCTGAAACCAAGGCTTCCACCACGTGTGCCCCCATCACGAGGGTCTATGAGAAACCATGGAGCTGTCGCAATACCCAAGCGACCTTCGACACCGAGCGAGGTATCTATATCAAGCCAGTCACATACGACAACAAGTACCTCCAGCCTAATAGATGACTCGATTGGCATGAGCGAAGAATCCCTCTCCAATGCTATTATTGCTTCATCCCTCGCCTCAGCACGAGCATCCCCATCTATCAAGGCTCCCCCGCCGCTTCCTCCGCAGCGACGAGGGGCACGATCCATTCTACATTTGGCACACCAATCCAAGAGTGATTTGTCAAGGACACCAAGTCCACCGAAGAGCATGCCGATGACACTCCGCGGCATGCCGAAACCCACCGCTACCGACCACCGAAAACACAGAAACCCCCTGCACAAACACCCCCACAAACACAAGGAGGGCGACCGTAAGCGCTGGCGACGCGAGGTCACCGAGAAAGAACGCAAACGGTACGAAGGTGTTTGGGCTTCTAATAAAGGGCTTCTCATCCCTCCTGATCCCGATGGAACCGGGCCATGGCCACCTAATGCTTCGGATATGGTTCTCAACCTGGTGGTCCGGGAAATCTGGTCCCGCAGTCGTCTGCCAGAAGCGATTTTGGAGCAAGTGTGGGATTTAGTCGATCACCAACATATCGGACTTTTAGCGCGTGAGGAATTCGTGGTCGGAATGTGGTTGATCGACCAGTTTTTGAAGGGACACAAGCTCCCTGTGAAAGTTCGGGACAGTGTCTGGGATAGTGTGCGGCATATTGCGGGTATTAAGCTACCCCTTGGGAAAGGTACCTAGGTAAGGCCCATGCTTAAGTCCAATGACGAATCGGATTATGCACATCCCTGTGGGTAGTTTGACATCGATCGACAATGCCTAGCATGAAAATGTATTCCAAATCATCTACTCCATAATTATTGTAGCCTATATCGTGAGTTGCTTAGCGATTGGCTCAAGATCCACTCTGTTAAAGAATGATTTGAATGACCTCTCCGAATTATGTCCGAATCTTCTGTTTTGGTTGGAAGAGATCACCGGGAACCCTTCGACAGATCATGTTTAATCTCAATGCCTGCAGCCCTGCACGATAAAGTACATAGACTACCTAGGTAAATCTTCCTTATTAAATATGTGTAGCTACATCATCATGCTTCGATGGCGCAGAAACGGTGGATCCACGTGATCGACTGTTTCAAGTGAGTAAAATTACATGTCTCTCCCACATCACAGTGAATTAATACAGGTATTTATCGTATCGATACGTTCACCTCCGAACTTTGAAATCCTTGGAATATCAGGAATCCCGCTTTCTCTCTCTCTCTCTTTTCATTTACAAGATCCTATCTGTCGAAAGAAAAAAAAATTGACTCTAAAACAGAAAGTATCATTTCGATTATCCTGCATATACACTGCATTCTGACACCATATCTCCAATTTGGGGTTGAACTTGATCCCTCTGTGCTTAGTTGCGAAAAGCAAATCCCGAACCTCCCCACGGCTCGGGATTTGCGAAGATCAAGCAATCACACGGAAGTCTCTATATCAGCGCCCTTTCGGACTTGCGATTTTTATTAAGCCGCAGAATGCCCCATTTCAACTAGTACTTGGTTGCAAAGACACCCAGGAGGTGCAGTTTCAAATTAATGGTTTTGTAGTTTATTTGACCCCATATTAAGTATCACCATGGTTGATACTTTGCACGACTATAACGGACTGGCCTCGACAGCGCCTCGATCGGTTCGCAAGAAGTTTGCTAAACCGCCAGTTAAGGTAGCATGTCTGCCTTGGTGAGCAAACCCCGTGGGAAAAAAAAAGAGGGAACTTCTCCACTAATCTTATTCTAGTCGGGCTTCGAGAACACGGTGTGGCGGCCAGATGCCATGCGCGAATGTACGTTTGCTTTGTTGTTTGAGTGCCTTGAGGAGCTTATTTATTGTGGATCTAAGTTGATCATTGTTCATTGCATAGAACTAACATTTACTTTAGTGTGTTAGCAAAGACAGAGAATGCTCCTATCTACCGAGCAAACGAGGTGGGCCACGCAAAAAGAAGGAGAAGTCCTCCCTGTCACCAGATCAAGAATCGAGACAAGATGATGCTTTGTATAATGCTGTCCCTTCACCCCCGGAGTTTGACGAAGGTACGTCATTGTCCTCATGTCCGAAAAAAAAATGACATACTAATAAAATTCTAGCACCGGGGATGTTCAACCAAATCGATGAACTCTCTCTGCCTGGCGCAGGTTTGAGGCATCTAGATTTCCAATCTGAAGTCCCCTCCATGTTCCAGAGCTTCTTCACTGGCGATGGCAGTCAGTCGCACATGCAAGTGCCCTTGATATCACCACCCTTGAACAGCTCTCAGCCATTCGTAAGAACCTATGGAAGCGAGCCCGAAATGTAAGTGTCTGTCCGCAGTAAATTCCATATATGGTCTAATATCCCCAGATTGAATGCCTATTATGACTTCATTCATAACTATTTCCCCATTCTACCGCCACGGGCATCACCACCGTGCCGAGATCGACCATTGAACTGCTCTGTTCCATGTTCGAGTACATCTGAACCGACAATGATGTACCGGCCCCGGTCGCCTCTAAGTCTTGCCTTGTCTGCAGTCTTGGCATTGATCCCGCACCCAAGTGATCTTGAGCCGTCATCCGCGGCGTCTGTGTTCCAGCGCAGACAATACGCGCATACATTTGCCCAACTCGCTCACTCAACAGTCGAAACAGAGTGTGATCTTGATCTGTCCGCGACTGATCCCGGACAGGCATTGTCTGCCGCTCGACCTTTTGTTGGACGGGAAAGATTTCACTCGCAAACTCCGGTGGACTATGAGAGCCTCCTGGCTCTCCTGGTACTTTCAGTTTATGAATACTCCCAACGCGGTAACTTGCTCAAGATGCGATATCGTGCTGGCCAAGCTCTTGCAATTGCTTTGGATAAGTCACTTCATGCTCAAATGGGGAATGATGAATTTTCGGAAGCTCGACGGAGAGCCTGGTGGATGACGGTTTGTATCCCTCTTTTATTCCCTGGTTCCTAAACTGATTTTGATTCAGTATTATTGCGTGATGCAAGGATCTATTGTTAGCACAACGGTGAGTAATATAGCTCTGCAAACATGACCCGGAGCTAATAAAGAACTAGGTGCCTGCTATTGTTATCAATGACCCGCAGTTCACGACTCCATATCCATCGTTTTCATCGGATACCGAGGTTTGCACTCCAAGTCGCCTTAGTTATCTTCCATCTGTTAACCCGTCTTCAGGGCTGGAGTATTTTTATACAAGCTCAACAAGTGCTTGTATCGGCAACCCAGTTTATTGGTGATCTGAACAAGTGTCTTGCATCCCAATCGGGGATGTACTATATGTTCGAACGAATGCAACAACTTGATGCCTGGACCCAATCTGTGATTTCACAGGCGGAGCTACTCCCTCTTCTACCCCAAACATCAGATTTCGGCGATCACAACGAATCCATTACAGCACAGAGCATACGCGCAATATCCCGAATCAAACTATCCAGGTTCGAGCCAATTACCATCTCATGCCTAGATCAAACTAACAAAGATCCCAGTGCCCAAATCAAAACCCACCGCTTCCGAGCCTTCTCAGACATCCCCCTCTTCATCAAAAGACATTGCGACCTGACAGCAGCAAACCCTAACAATACCCCCACAACCGTCAGCACCAAACCTGCCGGCCTCCACAACGTCACCTGCTCCTGCTCAAACCTAAGCTCCTTCGAACGAGCACCGTCAACAGAATACATGACCCCATCCGACTCCTCCACTTCATCCGAAATCCACCCCGAAATCAACTCATACGCACCCCAGTATTCGCAATATCCATTCGCAGCCGGATTCCCCTACAGCACGCAGCAGTCCGCGAAAATCTGTCTTCAGGCCTCACTCGTCATCTCCCGCATGTTCCACAGTCTGCCCGTCCCACAGCCTCTCCTGGATCCACAGCAGCAGCAGGGCCGTCCGTTGCCTAGAACCATGCCTTCCTTCGCATGCTGTCTGATGCAAAGTAGCTATGCGATGTTCATGATCTACTACAAGGCGCGCGTGGCGAAGCAGCTTGCGCCTGACGGTCCGCATAATGAGAACGGTGGTGATTCAACTGGCCAGCTCATTGAGGAACTCCGGCAGGGCTTAGAGCGGATTATCGGGGCTGTGTCGAATTATTCGCTTGCTTTTGAAGCTTTGGATGGGATGAGAGGTTGGTTTTCTGTCGTCATCTACTATGCGGTCCTCGTGCTAACTTTGTTGTAGATGAAATCGAAGGTGCATATAAAACGGCGTTCCCACTAGCATCTGTTTAATTAAGGGGGTGTTTCCTTTTTTTTCTTCGGCCATTCTAGGCCATTTCTTTTTGGCACTGCTATCTGCATTTTTTTTTATAATGATCCCCTCCTCTCTTCTATGACTGGATTCTCCACTATTCTTACCGCGTGCTCAACCAACAGAATCGGGGCGTTTTTTTTTGGGATATCTCAGGCATAATACAAATATGATTACCTTCGTTGGTAGACAGGTTAATATGATAGAAGTCGTATTTCGTATGCATATTAACCTGTCTACCATCACGGTTCGGTCAAGACCAAGAAAGGAATGTGTGCACTACGAATGTCGTAATTGGATTTCTATACAGATTGGCAGCAAGTACTTAAAGAGAACGTGTATTTCCATCTAATAAACCGCTAATATCAAATCTCCATCCAAGCAAGATACTTTCTAATTCTTCACTTACAAACCTAGCTAAAGCTTCGATCGGATACCTTCTAGTCTAAACTTCACATCTTTCAGAACCTTGCTAGAAGGTTTCCAGTCATCAAATTGCCTCAGCAATTCCATAGTCTCGTCGTGCAACTCTTGGCGCACGTATTCCTCCTCCAGCAGACCGCGCATGGCGAAGGGGAGAATGTACGGGTTCGGCGTGACGGAGCTGCTGGCTCGCTTGACGCTGAGCGCGGATTCTGGGACGGAAGACGTCTCGAGTGCGAATTCTATGGCCATGCTGAAAGATGATGTCAGTTTTGGACGTGGGTGAGGATTTATGACTAGTACATACAAGTACACGGCTTCATCGTCGTACAGCCGTGAATGTCCCTCTCCTGAGTACAGACTTCCTGCTAGCGGGGTGCTTAGTTCGCGGATTAGACCGTGGTCTGGGACACCAAGGTTGCGAAGCTTGAGGGCGAAGCCAACTAGATGAGAGAGGCTGTGTTTTCATATTAGCATTGTCGATATGGGATGGGCGGGGGCATGCTTACAAGCTTGGGGCGTGGACACGGCCATCCACGAAGACAGCGCGGTAAACGTAAGGGTGGGTTATAGGGGAGAAGAGGGAGGACTGACGGGACCAGTTAGCAATTTGATAGATACTTGAATATCAAGATATGTACTCACCTCCAGTGAAACGAGCTGGTCGTCGATACTGCCAATATAAGAAATGCGAACACCGAAATTGAGAGCACATTTAAGAGCAGCTTCGTACTCTTTCGAGACCTTGCTGAAAGGCAGTGCAAACTCAAACAGTTCTCCAGCCGATCCACTGATCCATCGAGAGCGATAATCCGGGAATGGGCCGAGGTTCACGCCTGCCATGGCGCAGATGCCGACTCGTTTGGCGTCAAGACAGCCAAATTGTATCAACTTTGCAACTAGCATAATCGTTACTGGCACACCTTGACTGTGACATGCGAACATGACGAAATCAGCCTTGCGGATCTCCTCCATCCAATTCAGAAGCAGCTTCCACAGGAGATCCACTCGCTCCGTAATGCGGCCTTCTCCTTCCAATGCGATCTTTTCAACATCACACGAGTAGCCATGACTCTGGGTGTACTTCCGGATGGCTTCTGCTGCCATATTGGAGAACCGGATAGATGTCCCCGTGGGCTGTCCAAGTAAATTCCGAATGAAAGGAGCGGGGAAATATCCATGGACACCAATAGCCAAAGCCCGTCTCACATGCGGCGGATCTCTGACCCTGCTCACATGCCTAACCTCCGGTCCTTTCCCATAATGCAGGAGTCGACCGAGACTTTGCAAGATGGAGGGCGATTGCTCAAACGGATAGGTTTCTTCGAACTTTGGCAGTACTTGGTTGGGGAGAATTTGCTGTAATTGTTTTGAGGCGGCGGTGTCAGCTGGCCGAGGTTCAACAGGCGGCGTAGATGTAGGAGTGCCTTCAATGGTGGACCCAAATACATCTTTGAGACGGTTGTCTTTCTGAGATTTGATTTTGATACTGCCTTTCTGGGATATCTTGGCATTGGAATCTGTATTCGGTTCAGGCGCTGCATGTTTTGATGGTGAATTCAGTCCCGCTGACGCTTCAATGACTTCACCTTCCTGTGGTTTGTCAGAAGGCCCATCTTTGTTTGGATCTTTGGACCAGAATGACCAGCCAGATGATCTCGTAGTCCCGACTGGGGTCTGTGATCCACCAGCTGGTTCCGTTGGCTCATCTGGGGGATCTTGTGGTGCCATGTTTGTGTCGACAGCCTCGGTGGAATTATGATTCGTCGAAGGGGATATCGTGGATTCTGTAGATGGTGGGTCTTCTTGCTTGCTCGGTGGGTTTGTACCATACCACATCTGAAGCCACGATCGCTTCTGGGATGCGGGGATAACTTCAACAGCACCAAAAGTGCCTTTTGTCTGGCCTGATGCGGGTTCCAGTTCTTCTTCTCGTGCTGTATAGTCTTTCACGGTAGGTTGATCACCCTGCTCTGCCATTTGGTTTTCAGCTGACGGATGTTCCACGGCTTGTGTAGATTCTGGGACATTTGCAACAACTTCAGGCGTAGCCGATGATCCATAGATCCATGAGAGCCAACCACTAGATTGTTCAGTGCCCTCTGCAGATCCCGCATGCAATATGCTGGGATCGGCGTTAGGGGTGGCCTTCTGTTCCTTGGTTGGTTCCTCTGGCGGCTTGATATCACTATCGTCGGGTGTTTCTTTATCGGATGTTGCAGGTTTTACGGCCCTGGGTTCTTCAGTATCGTCGGCAGCCGTAGTGGAAGCCGAACCATCCGATGCAATGTTGACTCGAGTGGTGGTAGCGTCAGCAGGCAGAGACCTAGTTGAGGCTCCCACTTTTCGTGTAAGTTGAATGGAGGAATATCGATTCTTTGTTGGGGTATCAAGAAGGGAAGTCGATGAGTTCGTGACGTTCGATGCTATAGCTTTGGCCGCTGAAATGCTCTCACAGGCAACCTCGGTAACTGGGGCAGCTTTAGACACTCTCGCAATGGAAGACCAGGACCCAGGGTACCATCTCTATACGAGAGATAGATGATCAGTAAATATGACAAAGGGACTGGCTGGCTATTCTGGTCACAAAGAGCTTACGGCATTGTACCCTCGTGACTGGGAGTCTGATCGGTCTCGGCCATCACCGCTCAGTCCAGCGGGTGAGTCCACGCCGGAGGGGCTGGTCTTCACTCTCTTGCGAGATCCCTTGGGTGTCATGGAGGTAGGGTAAAAACATCAGGTCTATAGTTTAGACGGTCAAACACAAGTGACCAAGCATCTACGAAGCGCCACAAGTGACTTGGGGGGGTGCCTGAGTGATATCACGTCACATGTCTGTCACTGACTTTAGCCTCAGGCAGCAAACCGGAGAACAAGTTCAAAGGCGGTGAGCGATAAGTATTGCAACTTTTTTTTTTCTCGGATCCTCTTCCATAGAGAAAGTATACATTCGTTATATTTCCCCAGTCATTTTAAAAGGTTTTTCTGGTCTATTGAGATCAGCTATCCTTCAAAATGGCGATCCAGAAAAAGGTGTGCTCAGTTTTATCTCAGCTTGCATCACTTCATGTACTGACTATTTACAGCATGGAAAAGGCCGTTTGGATAAATGGTATCGACTTGCCAAAGAAAAGGGTTACAGAGCTCGTGCTGCGTTCAAGTTGATCCAATTGAACCAGAAGTATGGATTCTTGGAGAAAAGCAGAGTTTGTATCGATCTTTGCGCTGCGCCTGGTGTGAGTATCGGCAAATTCCATCTTCTATCCCAAAAGTCTTTCTCTAACAGCCGGGTAGTCATGGTGTCAAGTCGCTGCGGAGTACATGCCTGCGCAGAGTCTTATCATTGGTGTCGATCTCTCCCCCATCAAACCAATTCCTCGAGCCATTACTTTCCAAAGCGATATCACAACGGACAAGTGTCGCGCAACGATCCGATCCCACATCAAGCACTGGAAAGCAGATGTCGTGCTTCACGATGGTGCTCCCAATGTTGGTGCCGCCTGGGTTCAGGATGCTTTCTCTCAGGCAGAACTAGTTTTGGAGTCCTTACGACTGGCTACTGATTTCTTGGGCGAAGGTGGTACCTTTGTCACCAAAGTTTTCCGGTCCAAGGATTACAACCCCCTCCTGTGGGTTTTCAAGCAGTTGTTCAACTCCGTCGAGGCAACCAAGCCCCCTTCGTCCCGAAATGTCTCCGCCGAAATTTTCGTCGTTTGCCGCGGCTTCAAGGCCCCCAAGCGCATTGACCCGAAGTTCCTCGACCCGAAGCACGTATTTGCTGAACTTAACGCTCCCACTCCCAACTACGAAGCGAAGGTTTTCAACCCGGAAAAGAAGAAGCGCAAGCGTGAAGGTTACGAAGAAGGAGACTACACCCAACACAAGGAGCTTCCAGTGACGGATTTCATCAACACTACGGATCCTATCTCTATCTTGGGTGCCTACAACAAACTCAGCTTCCAACAACCACCAGGTGGAGATCTTGCATTGTCCACACTAGAGCGTTTGGAGGAAACAACAGATGAGATTCGAACTTGCTGTGAGGATTTGAAGATCCTAGGTAAAAAGAGTTCCGCAACTTGCTCAGATGGCGTATCAAGTGTCGTGAGAAGTTCGGACTTGTCATCAAAAAGAAGCCAACCCAAGAAGGCGAGGCAGAAGAAGTGGCCGAGGTTGCTCCTATGGACGAAGAACTGCAGATCCAGGAAGACTTGATCCGTATGCGAGAGGCGCAAACCGCCAAGGGCAAGAAGGAAAGGCGCAAGGAGAATGAAAAGAAGCGCAAGGATATCATTCGAATGCAGATGAACATGACCACCCCCATGGAAATTGGTATGGAGCAGCTTGGTATGGGAGGCGACGACTCCACGTTCACTTTGAGACGCGTCGACCGGGAGAATGCCAGAGATGCGGTTGTCAATGCTCGTGATCTTCCCGCCGAGAGCGAAAGTGAAAACGAATCTGAGTCCGAAACCGAGGAGAGCGACGATGAGGAGGACCGCCTCGAAAGGGAGCTCGACCACATGTACGAACAGTACACCGGCCGCAAGGAAGACAAAGATTCGAAGCTGCGTGCTAAAAAGACACGCAAGCAATACGAGGTTGACGAGTGGGAGGGCTTTTCTGACAGAGAAAAGGGCAGCGATGATGAGGAAGAAGAAGAGGAGGATTCCGATGAAGAAACCACCACTACAGATCAAGCACTTGAGGCTAAGAAACTCTCAAACAATGCCTCTATGTTCTTCGATCAAGATATCTTCCAGGGGCTAGAAGAGGGCGAGGAGGAGGAGGAGGAGGAGGAAGAGGCCGAGGAAGACAAGGCCGAGGAGGAAGAGGAAGAAAGCGACAACATCTTTGCGATGGATGAAGATGAGGAGGAAGAGGAGAAGGCCCCTGCCCCCAAGCAAAAGAACAACAAGGACGCAAAGAACGGAAAGAAGACCTCTGAGTGGGTCGATGAGTCCGATGAGAGCGAGGCAGAAGAGGCCGAAGGAAAAGACCCACTAAAAGCGAATGGCCAGCTGGGTAAGTTGCAACGATGCCAAACATGAACAAAGTTCTGACTAACATTTGTTCCTCCCCTACAGATATCGACATCATTACCGCAGAAGCCATGGCCCTTGCACAGTCAATGGCTACTGGAGAAAAGAAGTCGTCTGACATTGTTGACGATGGCTTCAACCGATTTGCCTTCCGCGACGTGGACGGCCTTCCCGAGTGGTTCCTCGATGATGAAGGCAAGCACAGCAAGCCAGTCCGACCCACCACTAAGGCTGCTGCGGCTGCTATCAGAGAAAAGATGCGTGCCATCAATGCACGCCCGATCAAGAAGGTGATGGAGGCCCAGGGTCGCAAGAAGTACAAGGCAGCCCAAAGACTGGAGAAACTGCGCAAGAAGTCCGCACTTCTGGCAGAGGACGATGCTCTCAGCGAGCGGGACAAGGCTGGCGCCATTGCAAGACTGATGAGCCGAGCAACCAAGAAGAAGCCCAAGCAAGAAGTCAAGCTCGTGGTTGCCAAGGGTCCCAATCGTGGTATCTCTGGTCGTCCTAAGGGTGTCAAGGGCAAGTACAAGATTGTCGATGCTCGTATGAAGAAGGATGTTCGTGCGGAGAAGAGACTGGCAAAGAAGAAGTCTAAGAAATAGAGAGAGTGTGTTCATAGTTGAAATGTTTGAATCAGACAATTTACATAGCAAAAATAATTATGATACCCCAGGGTTCATTCTTCCACAGGCACAATCTCAAAATACATGTCAAACTTTCACAATTCCACAATTTCTTCTTGGCAATGTGAATATAACAACGTGCAGAGCCATATAGTTAACTAACTTGACGCCTATAGAAGACTTGGATGAGGCTGTATACACGAGCGCCAAGGGGTGCCAAGGAGCGCGGGATCGCGTGGTTTCCCCCGAGTGGCGCCTTAATCGATAAGCCGTTCTCTTTTCTTTTCGATTCTCCCACCTCCATCTTACTCACATTATACTTCTTCTATTCTTTGGCTTGTTTTTATTGCATACTTTGCATACTTTACATACATCATTTTCTTTCTGTATTAGTTTGTTTATATCTATCCCTATCCATATGGGCTTTTTCGACCACCTTCAGAAAGGAGGGGCCGGGGCCTTCTCTCTACAACCAAAGAAAGCGCAAATTCGCAAGGTCGTGCAGACTCGACCTGCAGCTCCTACGCGATCGGTCACACAACCCTCGGATACTCGGTCACCTCGAGTCCAGCCGTCGACGGAGCGGAACCGGAAGGCGCAGGCGTTGAAATCTCGATCGGTCTCCAGTGATTTAGAAGCACGCCCGGCAAAACGACTCAGTGCTTCCTCGCGCATTCGGAAAAGGCCGACGCCCGAACAACGACTATCGAGTGACGATGACGTGAGCGATAGCGAGGCCTCCTTCGAAGTGCACAAACGTGCGAGGACCAGCGCTAGCGCTGAACCCGACCCGGAGCGGCGCCTCCGCTCGGTGAAAGCGTTTGCGGAGGAAGGGTCTCGCCCGTTTAAAATGATACATGCCGCGGATATAACATCGGGCCAGAAGGCCAGCAAGTTCAAGCCCGCCTTCGGCGCCGAGGGCAAGCCCAAACAGATTCTCCTGCAATACCCCAGTGCTTCGCAGCAGGAGAGGTACGTTACCTAGTTGTACAGTTGATTTCCGGGTACCGATGTGCTAATCCATTGCTTGACCAGATATGACTGTGTGGTTCCCCGCGAAAATGACGAATTCCGACCTATCGACGACATTGTTCAGGTCATCGAAACCGTCTCCGATAATTATATCCCCGATGAGGAGGCAGATCAGTTTAACGATGAGACGACCGGGATCAAGCGTCGATTGCGCCGGGCTCTGGCTGTAACATCCGAGACTCAATTTCGGGAAGCTGTCGATGATTACAATAAGGCTATCCAGCGATTAAGGACCAACGGCAGTCTTGCGAAACATTTGGATACAACACAAGGCCTTGGTTTACCTTGGGTGGAAAGAATTCTCACTCAAATTTATTCGCGCACGGTATCCCCTCAAGTGGAGTCCCTCCGGCAATACGAGAATGGCACGGACAACGTCTACGGAGAGCTTCTCCCTCGCTTTATCAGCACTATCTTCAAAGAAACCAAACTCAAATCGGGCCAGGTCTTTGTAGATCTTGGCTCAGGCGTAGGTAATGTCGTTCTTCAGGCGGCACTGGAGGTTGGCTGTGAGAGTTGGGGTTGCGAGATGATGTCAAACGCATGTGATTTGGCGGATTTGCAGCAATCCGAGTTCAAGGCCCGATGCCGGCTGTGGGGAATTGCACCAGGCAAAACTCATCTTGTTCGAGGTGACTTCCTTGAGCAGGAGAGTATTACCAGCGTCTTGAAGCGGGCTGATGTGGTGCTTATCAATAACCAGGCTTTCACCCCACAATTGAACAATGAGCTGATCAACCACTTTTTGGATATGAAAGAAGGCTGCAAAATTGTCTCACTCAAGTCTTTTGTGCCCGCTGGTCACAAAATCCAGTCTCGCAACCTGAACTCTCCGATCAATCTCCTCAAGGTCGAGCAAAAGAATTACTGGTCCAACAACGTGAGCTGGACCGATGTTGGCGGTACATATTTCATTGCCACTAAAGACAGCTCTCGGCTGAAAGCTTTCATTGAGAATACGCCATAGTCTTCAATGGCTGCTTGGCTTGATATCTTGGCATGGCACATAGATCTTTCGTTTTGTTAATTCTGTACATTACATTGTCCGTTCTTGGATATACTTTCCCTGTTGAGTTTTTGTACGATACCATTTTCTGACAATCTAACCTGTACAAAGCGGATTGTCTCTTCAAGTTCAGGCCCGTATAGTAAGAAGTTTGAGGCTTTCTATCCCTCAATATTCGATCTGAAGTATAAACATTCAATTTGGCGTGTCATGAACCGCATGCGGGCATGGTACAGCGCTTGCTGTTTGGGCATTTAGTGGAAGGATCAGCAAGCCTCGGTGTAGGCCGGATGATCACGTATCTAGCGCTTTCACATTCCATCTAAATAGCTAGCTATCACGATTCAATATCCAAATGCCAGAAGCTATGCTCCAGACTCTTCTAGCAACGTTTCCTTGTCACCTGCTCGATGCATTGGGATTAATCAGGAATACTTTGATGCATCATTCATGGCCTCGGCTTCTTGTCCCATTCTGGCCATCCAACGATCAACCAAGTCTTGGTTCTCATTTTTAAGTCGAGTTGATCGTTCTTCGGCCATATTGAGTTGAAGGTTCAGTGTCGCGAGTTCATCTTGGAAATCCTGCAGAAATGCACATAATTCATGTTAGCCACTTTCCCTCACTCACCCCTGCGTGATTGGAAAGCCTAAGTAAACATCAAAACAGCCTACCTCTAGCAGCTTGGCCTTCCCTTTCAGTTCCGCGTCTCTGTCTTTCAATCGTAGCTTTAGTTGTGCCCTCTCGTTTTCCAGGGCGTTGATTCGCCGACCCTCTTGCGAACTCTTCTTACGAAGCGTTTCCACTTCTATATTCACTCGATTCAAGCGATCTTGTAATTCTGAGCGGGATCGCTGTGCCTCGGACAGGTCTGCACGGGTGGTATTGAGAAGGTCGGTCGGGGTAGAATCCGGCCCAGTCGATCGTTGTTTTCTGGATGGTGGAACTATAGGAGATGGAACAGTGGGTTGAACTTCATTTTGTGCTGTTGCGGGACTGGCGCAGTTTGCTGCTGCTTCTAGTTTGCTAGTACGATCTGCAAGCTGGGCATCTAGATTTGGTAAATGATGTCAGTCGCAATCACTTAACAAAGAGCATGATGGGCTGACAGGCATCGTAAAGAGTAGCGTTTGCTTTCTCTCGTTGGTCTCGAACTGTCAGGGCAGCCAAGTACTCCTCCCTCCAGTGGGCCATAAGCCTTCCCAAGCAAGGGGATGTGCCTGAATGTGATGAAGTGGAGTTGATTGCCGCCTCGGGCGCGAGATGCGGTGCTAATCGTTATCAATTGCCCACCGCCCGCTCCACCGCCCAGGCCTCATGCATCATCGAATCTGGCTGCAACCCGACCCCAACTCTCCTGACTTGTCCTTAACTATCTGTTCTATAAAGACTCAGTAAAGACTGATCATAAGTCTTTGCTTCATATTGAATTACGTGTTTATCCCTCACAAATTTACACTCGGTCACTTGGCCGGTTCCCAACCATGGCGTCAAGGAAGAAGGTCCTCCTCAAGGTACAATCTCCGCACCTGCTCCGTGTGACGGACACCAAATGCTTCAAAGGGGGGTGTTTTTGCTGACTGGTATCTTTTTGGAAATCTAGGTTATCATCCTTGGTGACAGTGGTGTTGGAAAAACAAGTTTGATGAACCAATATGTCCGTTCAACCTCGCCCCCAACTAGCGCTCTGCGGCCGTACCGCAGTCAGTCACGAAGACCTATAACCGCTAACATGCAATTTTCCGAGATCATAGGTCAATAAGAAGTTCAGTGGAAGCTACAAAGCCACTATTGGAGCCGATTTCCTCACAAAGGAAGTTCTCGTCGACGACCGACTGGTGACAATGCAGGTAAGGCGTTGGAGACTAGCACAATCGAGATGAGGGGCAATAACTGACTCGGATGTGTTAGATCTGGGATACTGCAGGCCAAGAACGGTTCCAGTCGTTGGGAGTCGCCTTCTACCGTGGAGCCGATTGTTGTGTCCTGGTCTACGATGTGAACAACTCCAAGAGTTTCGAAGCTCTCGACAGCTGGCGCGACGAGTTCCTGATCCAGGCAAGCCCAAGAGATCCAGAGAGTTTCCCCTTCGTAAGTGGTGTTCCTGCATTCCTTTTCCTTATCTCGTGCGCCACAATAGCTGGCAAGAATGATATATTGGTCCGTGCTGACAGTCATGTGCAGGTTGTCATCGGTAACAAGATCGATGTAGAGGAGAACAAGCGTATGATCTCCTCAAAACGGGCCATGACTTTCTGCCAGTCGAAGGGTAACATCCCCTACTTCGAGACCAGTGCCAAGGAAGCTGTCAACGTCGAGCAGGCGTTTGAAGGTGAGTGAAGTTCAGCCACCCAGCTGTTTTTCTCAAACACATTTCTCTTACAAGGTTGCTAATCAATATTTAGTTATCGCGCGGAGTGCACTTGCCCAGGAAGAGGCTGAGGAATTCAGCGGTGAATTCAGCGACCCAATCAACATCCATCTAGACAATGACCGTGATGGATGTGCCTGTTGATATACCCCTGCAATTCCCATGTTCCAGCGACCTATTTCCTTTGTCTTTCCTTTTTCATACTACTATTTGGTTGGTCTCCGGTCCTGAGTCTGTAGAGAAGACCACGGGGTTTTGATTTGGATAACCTTGCTCTTCCCCTGGTGTCTTGTAGATGTCTTATTTTCACTTATGGAGTTCACCTGAGAGAGAAACATCATACTCAAACCTTTCTCGCTTCAGTTTGATACAGAGAATGTCTTTGTTGAGCTTAACGCAATCCATGGATATCATCTTCATTTTTCCGTAATAGGCAGTTGGTCGCGCATATCAAAGTAAATTCACCAGGGCAGTACCATCAGATGACCCGTGATCATCAGAGCGAATTCCTCCTAATCAAAGCTAATGGACATTTGTACTTATCACATGTGGCTCATGGTACATATCTAATTCTTACCTTGAATTGTACGTGGTAAATGACAGCGTCAATACAGATGTAACATCGGCCGCGACTACATTTCTCCCCACCCGGACCCTTATCTCGCCAATGCTTGGCATCTAGCCCCGTGTTCTCTTCAACCCGCATATCTTTAGGCAGGACGTCTCGTGACAATTATTTGTCTCTGCTGGACATCTATTGCTCGTTGCGCTTTAGATGACAGCAGTCCGACCGATACCCCGTCCAACTCGGCATCCTCGGCTGCAAACGTAGCGATTGCGACATCGGCGACACGAGGTTCCTGACCAACACTACACCCTGTCGAGTCGCGCAAACCAACCTTCTCTCACAAACAACTATAAGTACCATGACCTCGGCCACACCCGAGGCACCCGGCAAGATGCCCCTGGGGATAGCGCGACGAACATTAGGAATCATCCTGCTCCTGGTGGTGGTTGTGCTATGGACAACCTCGAATTTCCTTGGAAGTGTATGCACGCCCTCTTCTTGAAAAAAAAAAAAATTTAAAAAACATTAACCCAAAGGGCATATATTATTGCAAACATTTGGCTAATAACATATTGAACGTTGTACAGACCATCTTCGCCGACAAAACCTACCCGAAACCTTTCTTCGTAACTTATACGAATACCTCGATGTTTATGATGCCCCTCCTTTTAATCGTCGCTCGTCGAACATGGGGTCTTTGGCGCCTCGGTAAACTCGCTCAGATCACTTCGGTAAAGAGCTTTTTGAATCATTTGGATTCGCATAATCCCAAGGATGAGGAGGAGAGCATGCTGCGCAGCGGCTCCGATGAAGAAGATGGCGGACGATTCTCACGGGAGCGACAGGATCCTGCAAGCGGAAAGCTAGGGCTCAAAGCAACAGCTAAACTCAGTATTCAATTCTGTCTTCTTTGGGTAAGCACATAACCTTGAGGTTTGGATACATGATCAGCTGGCTAACCTATCATAGTTTACTGTATGTTTTACACCTCACGATGTGGTAACTTATGCGCCGGGGGGTGAACTAACCGAGGTTTCTTTGAATAGGCAAATTACTTCGCCATGGGGTGCCTGCAATTCACGACAGTTGGAAGCACAACCATTCTGACTTCCACCAGTGGTAAGGATTCACCTGTTTAGATGTGTTGATAATCCCGGTTCTCACTCTCATTCTTCTAGGTGTATGGACCATGGTCTTTGGCGCCCTGCTCCGTGTTGAGAAATTTACTATGCGCAAATTCATGGGTGTCATGGCTTCTCTGATTGGCATTATCCTGATTTCGCGCGTCGATCTCTCCAAGCCAGACACAGGCGATGCTACGGATGGCGGTGAGGGTTCATTCCCACACAAATCATCAGGGAGATTGCCCTTGGTGATGCCATGGCGGCGTTCAGCGCGATCCTGTACGGTCTCTACACCGTCGTGATGAAAAAACAGGTCGGCGATGAGTCCCGGGTCAACATGCCTCTGTTCTTCGGACTGGTTGGATTTTTCAACATTATCTTCCTGTGGCCTGGCTTCTTCATCATGCACTGGACTGGACTGGAACCCTTCTCTTTGCCCGAAACGTCCCGAGTGTGGTCAATTATTCTGGTATGACTCCAGGCTCTGTTGTTCACCTTTGATTATTATTTAGCTAACCCCACACTCACCAGACTAACGCGTTCGCATCATTTGTCTCTGACATTGCATGGGCTTATGCTATGCTTCTTACCACGCCGCTTATTGTGACGGTTGGGCTCAGTATGACCATCCCACTCTCCCTAATTGGACAGATGGTCCTACAGTCCCAATACTCTAGCCCTATGTACTGGGTTGGAGCAGCCATCGTGTTTTTGTCGTTCTTGGTTGTGCAGCACGAAAGCAAGCCCCAGGATGATCTCACCACTACTGATGGAGCAGGCGGGTCCTTCTCTGCTGAGTATAACAGCATTCCCGTTGAAGAAGAGGAAATGCGTTAGTTTGAGTTCTGGGGGGGTCTTTGTATTTATTGCTACACATTTTCGTAGCTTGTTCACATAACAATTTCGGTATCATCTCCAGCTACCCTTGGCTACCTAGCGAAGGGGCTGGTGTCCCCAATATAGATTATAGAATTATTCAACAACATTCTCATTAACTCTACTTCCACGCGTGCATTCCGGTCTACCTTTACGCAGAATTTGCCATTCAAGTGTAGATGGATGATTTCCCGAGTCCTAGTTAACCATAGAAAGAGTCACAAATGTGATCTCTCACATTTGAGATTGGAGGGTTTCAGCCAAGACCGGCCAAAAGCTTGGTTTGACCAAGATAAACCTTGTGATATATAGTCACACCTTGAATATATATATGTGACATCCGAAGAGATATCTAGAATAGCTCTAAATTTAAACTTCCAAGGTTGAATAGTGGTTTTCTTCATAATTAGTTTGATTATATATATTTACATACACAGTATATTTTATTGTGCCATTTTTGTTTACAGCATGAATAGCAAACTACCCACATAGTGAAGAGTGAATAGCTCAATTTTGTCATTCGAACAGGAATCACACCGCAGGAAAGTATTCACACCACGGAGCTCGAATATCTTCCTATTGAGGCGCTTGCAATAGCTGAAATGGCCCTGAAGAGGAACGGGCCCAGACCATACTCTAAATCAAAGAAATCGTAAAAGATTGCATGTCTCCAATAGTTAGATATAACGATTCTAGTGCGAATGTTATTGCCGCGGCACCGTTTGCTGCGTTCGAAATCCTCTCGATGCTTCGCATCTATTGGGCCCCTTGAAGGAAGAGAAACCTATGCGAAGAGGAAGCAGTCACTTGCAGAAATGTCTATCATTGTGACCGAGCCAGCTTGTATGTAACCACCTAGGTACTCGGATGATTGTTCCTGTTCTCTGAAGTATCGGCCATCAAGACCATTCTTGAAGGGAAAACTGGATTGATTGGTACTCAGTAATCTTTGTATGTCTTAAACACCTTTTGGTGTGGGCTACCAATTATCTCTTACTCAATAGGAGACTGGCATTTATTGTTCTATTTTCTGCGATTGGCGTGGAACATTGAGAAATGGGAACCTTTCGGTTTTCTCATTTCCTATTTCAGACGTTCTTGTCCAATGGATGACAAGTCGCTTGTATATGCCTATTAGGGCACTCATCAAAGTTCTCACGAGAGCTTGCGCCACTGCGCCAGTCTTCATGCATTGGACTCCTGCATTGCATAGCCCCGAACCATTAGATGAATCAAATGCATGGTGATAGCGGTTCGTCGAATGATCTATATCGTGTGAACAGGATTTACATCTAGGAGCATTGAATATGATTCTCTTGCTGAAAAGGGGCTGGACGTAATTTCTCTCATCTGTATTATATATTATGCACTAAAGTATTACGGCTTGAGGTAATATGATACATAATAGGTGCTCAATATAGACACTGGAACGGAAGAAGACAGACGACGGATAAGGAAAATGTCAGACTCGACAGTGAGAAGCATGAATGCAATGAAAATGCATCGCCTCGACAAATGAAATCAATAGAGAAGGGTGTTGGAGAAATGGAAAGGAGGAAAAAAAAGCTGGGTAGCTTGGTGATGAAAAAGAAAAACCCCTTCGCCCACAGAATGTGCACGAAGGTACTAACGCCAATCGTTTCTTGAAGACCCGAAGCTCACCATGAGACGAGTGATCAAAATGAAATCATCAACCTGGGTATATTGAAAAAAAAGGTAAAGGTAAGAAATGAAGAAAAGGGATCGCTGAGATGTAGGGAATATGGAGTGAAAGGGAATAGGGATAGGGAGAGCAATGAAACAGGCTCTACACTGTAGCGCGAGAGCGTTATACAGAAGTGCCCAGACCTGGATCTAATCTCCTGCGCGCAGCGAGAATGCTTTTCAAAGAGCCTAGCCAGCGCGCGAGGGACTCTTCCTCTGGAGCGCAAAGTCGATAGGTCTTTTCTTCGGCGATGATCTGCATGCAGAACGTCTTTGATCTCGACAAAGGGTCCACCTCTGCAGCATCAAATACTTGAGACATAGGGAGGATCTTGATAGCAGCGTACTCCGATTCATCCTTGTAGAAGGCCAGACTCTTAGGTCGAAGCACAACCCAGAGTCGTTTCCACTGGCGCACGGTCCCTTGGATGCGCAGCCCCTGCAGGTACCCCTGACAGATGACCCGCTCTGGGTCACGTAGGATGCCTAAGTCCGTTTGTTTGATGGTGTCTCGGGGTAGAGATGCCGACGGCCGGGGTCCAGTTTTATCCTCTGGTGCTGAAACGGACAGTGAATGGATGGAGGGCATAGATCGTAGGCGACCGTTGCGTGTTGGTGCAGGCCCATCGGAGAACTCAGAAAATGAGGTCATTTCGTTGCCGGAGTAATCCTGGATGTAAGGGAGTCTCTGGGCATTTTTGCTGTGTGGGGATAATGCATGGCGTGGCTCGGGAGAGCTGGCGCGGCCAGTGTGATCGAAATCGGAGTGATCGGTTGTCTCGTCAACGAGCTGTTTGTGGATGGCGGGGGGTTCGCGCTTTTTGCTCAAAGCCAGGAAAGCTTGCTCGTCCTCATCGCCCGGGGTCTCGGCGCGAATGCGATCGATCCAGTCCTCCGCATCGCGTGCACTCAGGGCTTCGAAGCGGTAATTCGTAGATGGGGTAAAGACGCCGAAAACATGGCGCCGGGTGGATCGCGGAGACTTGACGGGTGCGACGGCAGTCACTTCAGATAGGGAAATGGAGACTCGAAGGCGGGTGGTTTCTTCATCTTTGTATACGGAAAGGAGGTTCGGTCGGAGGACGAGGTAGGCTGGTTTCCATGAGGCGCGAAAGACATGTTTGTGCTTGACTCGGCGACAGACTCTCCCTGTCTTCAAGACTCGATCGAATTCAAAGCTTCCATTTTCGTTGACTGGCGAAAAGGGATCCAAATTTCCACTGTTGTGAGGGCCTCGGAAATGAGATGAGGGGCCAGGTTCCGGAACTTTGATGGCGGTTCTGCCCTCGGAGAATGAGGGCCTTGTCAGCACTGTATTCATGTTGCCCAGGTGAGGTTTAGTAGAAGGGAAGAAAAGAGGAAAAGGGGGAACCCCACGGTGGTCACTCCATATAGTTTATTGTCATGCGGAGTTATGATGATGGGGGGATGACGGGGGATGATCTTGGCTGGAACCAAGCCTTTTGACCCTTCGGCTTTTCAACAGGCAAGTTAGGATCTACAATGTGCATGGGAAATGATATGACTTTGATATGCAAGTGGTGATATATTGTAACTAGAATATAATTTTGCTCTTGGAAGTCTGTGTTTCCTAGGGGTAACCACGCACACGAGCAAAGTAAACTTTGTATACGTAGTCCTATTTAGGTACTATGTACTCCGTACATCGGCACATATGTACGTCCTGCATGAGTGGTAGGTAAAATATAGGAGAAGTAGGTGAAGTGATATAGGAGGTGATACACAACATATAGGAGAGATAACAAAATTGAACATTATACTCTGTACGGAATACTTCCGTATATGTGTTAATATGAAAACATGAGCCGTCCCAGGGTCCAGACCTTAGTTGAAACCCACCCACGATAATGAAATTTGCAATTTGCAATTTGCAAATTTCTCTGAAATGTGAATTACATTAAATACAATACCGTATTTAGGTCACGTGCATGTAGATCTTATGTATGAGATTGGAAGGACCCTGAATGGGGGATGACACGTAGTATGTATCCGATACCTGATTAGACGCTCCGACTAATATGAAATATCATGTATCGAGTACTTAGACGACTCAATAATAGGCCCATATAAGAGGCTGAATGCGAACAGATAATAGGGTCAGCCGTCCCCAAGAATCATCAGACTCTACCTACTTTCGGATCTAACGGCCAGAGAAAGTTTGGGCCCTCGATCGACATGCGCTAATTCTACAGATTGTATTTGACTACATAGAGACAAGTGAGACAGGTCATCCCAGGAGGGCCCTGACTGAAGTTATCCGGGTAAACTTTGGAATGAGGACCAGTTTAACTAACTGGTACATTCTAGAAAAGCCAAGCATCCATACCCGTACTCATCGCCTATAGTGTATATTATATGTGTCATTGCCCCGTAGGGCCGAGTAATGGTGGATCAAGTGGGTTAGGTACAATAAGCTGTACCATCAGATATTCTTTTGGGATCCAGGTACACGAGTTTGTACAAAGTGCAAAGTACACGAGCACAAGCATAGTCCCAGCAGATGGGATCAAAATGATCGCACAGAAGCTTTCTTGGTTAGCTTGGGGGCTAATACAAGTGGTACTACCGCTTAAAATCACCTGGCCCCCTAGACCACGCCATGGGAAGCCAATCACGGTTCCGGTAAAAGAACAAAGGGGACAAGAGCATCAAGTCCACGTAAGCCCCACATGGAGAAGATATACCCATTGGCAACACTTAAAAAACGAAGTAAAGGAGGTAAATATTTGAAGGATACAAGGATATATCTTGGAAATGTTAAGAAAGCCAAGAAGCACCAGGCCCAGTACGCACAAAAAATAAAAAAAAGAATTACAATGCAATACCATACAATACTGGTTATAACGCCACGAAATAGTAACTAGGGGTAAAATAACCGTCTTAGGGTGACAACTGAGAGGCCACTGGACTTCGCCAAGACCAGGGAGGCGCAAGCAACCTTTGGAACCCATCCCATCTTCCAATTCCCCATCCCGTTTTCTCTCTCCCATCATCCTCATCCTGTTTTGATGTCCCCGATCTCTCCTCTGTGTACCTTGCTGTTCACAGTTGCCCGCGTTACTCCCGACGCTCTCCCCATCTATTTACCGTGGGACTGAGAAAGTTGGGGGACGAAAGGAGGCATTCCTCCGGCCACTCGTTTTGCTGTCATTTTCTCCATTTTCACTTTTCGAGATCTCTTGACTTTCCGATCTTCCTGTGAGCCATACGGTCTGAATTCCGTTTGATCGTGTGCTCACCATTTTCCCCCGGCCCAGGACGCATTTCTCCTCTATCACACCTCCGACACAATTTCTCCGCTATCTCCCTAACAGCCGCGTGCTGTCGCTTGGGCTTGACAGCTGACCTCTACCATTATTCGGGTGATCTCACCACAATCGCACTCATGAGCTTCATCCAACGCATCACGAAACGGCTGCCCAGTGCGCCGAGCCTGCCGTTGGAAGATGCTCCCAACGAGAAAGGCCGCCTTCATCCTAGATTCGCCTTTTTCCGGCGGAGGATTCGCCTAAAGGGCAACTCATCTATTTCTATACCCCTGGGTCTTGTTTTACTATTTCCATGCCTTGTAATTGTGCTTATTCTGCTTCTCTTTGTCCGACACCCTGCCTCTCCTGGGGGGATCTTAATTCCAGCGGGCACTCCGCCTTCTATCCGGTTCGTATCGCCCTCTCCATCGGTGCTGTGTGTGTGTGTGTGTGAGAGAGAGAGAGAGAGATAACTAACCTCCTGCGCTTTATAGAAAAATCAGCGAAAAGCATGACAAAGTCTTTGCTACAGGCTGTATGCCTATTGAGCCCGATGAAATCGCAAAGGCTCCCCGCGCCAATGCCGCCTTCGTCGTCCTTGCCAGAAATAAGGAGTTGGAGGGCGTGATCCAGTCTCTCAAGTCGATTGAGAGACACTTCAACCGGTGGTGGCACTACCCCTATGTTTTCCTCAACGATGGTGACTTCGACGAGGAATTCAAGGCAACGGTGAAGAACTACACCAGCGCGGAGGTTGAATTTGGCAAGATTGATAATAGCATGTGGGGATTCCCCGATTGGGTTGACCATGAGGTTGCCAAGGAGGGAATCAAGAAGCAGGGTGATGCTGCCATCATGTACGGTGGAATGGAAAGCTACCACCATATGTGCCGATTCTACTCAGGGTCAGTCAGCAATGCTAGATTTGGGAGACGTGGTTACAAAGCTAACTCTGTGATAGACACTTCTACAAGCACCCTCTCCTGATGAAGTACGAGTGGTACTGGCGTTTGGAGCCCGAGATCAAGTACTTCTGCGACATCACTTAGTAAGATATCTACTGTGGCATGTCTTTCTGGTTAATTTACTGACTTTTTTTTCTTTCTTTTAGTGATCCATTCCTCAAGATGGCCGAGGCAAACAAGACCTACGGCTTCACAATTGCAGTGAAAGAGCTTCGCGAGACTGTTCCCAACATCTTCCGTTATGCGGCTGCTTACAAGCGCAAGAACAACCTCAAGTCCAAGGGTCTGTGGGAGATGTTCCTAGAGCAGCCACAGCAGCCAGAGACTCCCGAGGAGAACAAGCAGGACAAACTGCCAGATGAGATTCTGCAAACCGACCCCGGTGACAACAATCTGAAGGACGTGGACCCAGAGGCCATGGAAGGCGAAAGCTACAACATGTGCCACTTCTGGAGTAACTTCGAGATTGCCCGTCTTGATTGGTTCCGCAGCAAGGAATATGAGGACTTCTTCACCATGATGGACAGAAGTGGAGGATTTTGGAATGAGCGGGTATGTTATATGTCTTCTAACTCTGCCAGGGAATCTGTGCTGACTGTACTAGTGGGGTGATGCCCCTATTCACTCTCTCGCCGCCGGTGCTCTCCTTGCGCCTAGCGATATTCATTACTTCCGTGACTTTGGCTACCGACACACCACCATTCAGCATTGCCCGGCCAACGCTCCGGCCCGCCAACTCACCCGTATCCCCTACCTCGAGAAGACTACCGATGACGAGAAGAAACGGATCGAGGAAGACGAGTACTGGGCGAACCCTGATCAAGTCAAGGAGAACGGTGTCGGTTGCCGATGCCGCTGCGACACTGACATTGTCGATGTCGAGGGCAAGCAAGGCAGCTGTCTGAACGAATGGGTGGATGTGGCTGGTGGCTGGGCCTCGCCATAGATCTTGACGCTGATGCCATAGTGATCAGTGCCCGCCACATCTTCCTGCGTCTCCTTTTCCCCTGTCTATTTATTCGGCTGTGTGCATCTCTTGAGCCCACCCTTGGGAGGTTCCAGCTGGAGCCTGCATGTTAAGTTGGTCATGGGGTATTCTTTCTGGGCGGCGTTCAACGGATCTGAGCTTTTTTTTATTATCGGAAGATGGTGTCACCATTTCCATCATCACTGTTGACACATTCATCAAGCATGCTGTGCCACTGGGACTGGCTGTTGTGATTTATCTCTTGGTTGCATTTGGAAGAAAACGTGTGCGTCGTCGGCAGTGGAACATTGGTCCCGTACCTTGTGGGATCCCCGAGGCCATCTTGAATGGTCTCGGACAACCTTTATATCCAATGTTGTCTTTAGATTTCATTGCTATATCTGTTCTACCAAGAGCACATTTTCATCTCCGTTGTAGGAGACCATTGATTCGGGGACCGGGAGTAACGCCCAGAGCAACTCCCGCCGTTTACTTTGACGCCTCTTCGCCTCTTTTCTTTTGCCTCCCTATCGGCCACTCTTCCCCCAGCTGCTTTTCCCCATCCCCATCCCCGTGTGCGCAGTTTCTGTGGTTTGTCTTCCAGCATACATTCATGAAATGTACATACCTTTCCTCTCTCCCCACCCGTCCTTGAATCTGTGGCATACACACACAGATTGTTTTCTCGCATTGCCCACCCTTGACCCTCGCAAATACCAGATCGAACATGGTTGTCTATAGAGTATGGAATAATCACCAGGTCAATTACGTGAAGAATGATATCAGTATAATGCACTTTATTTCTTCGGATTTTTACTGTGGCTTGAATTTTCCATTTAAAATAGAGGAGTTCTGATTTCTAGCTGTGCTTCGCTCTCCGCTCAAAGCTCGTAACGTCTCAGGACTTCTTATTAAGATGGGCACCATACCTACAATGCCAATTTACATAGCTCTTTGCCTTCACCGAATAGAGGGTGCAAGCATAACCAAGTTTGGACCATATATAAACCTCGATCCTCCCCGTTTCAAACCACAACCAACTGCCACACATTCGATATAATTTATCATACCCTTGACATGTACAGATCCACTCGCCTTCTCCAAATCAAATGTATCCTGATGAAGCCAAGCCAATCCTTGATCTGATTATACTTTCCCGTCAAATCGATAGAACTTCACTTTCTTGCCAATGGCAAGAGCTCCAAGCAGTCTTTCCGTTCCCGGAGAGTTCGAGCTTTGCGAAAGATGATGAAGGAAATGATTCGGCATGGTATCATCCCAATCTAATGAAGCGTCGGTAGATGGATGTTTGCATAATACAAGGAAGATTGGGTGTTCGATCCACTCGAATGTGACTGCAGGTATTTGGACCACTTGAATAACTTGGAAGGATTGAACCATTGGGATACAATTGTCTGCCAGACGGCTTGGAGTGCTTTTTCCTGGGTTGTTTGGCTTCATCAATAGCATTGTATGGAGGAAGGCGACATTGTTCTTTAGGGATAGGGTAGAGGCCGCCATGGCTATAAAGATCGTATAAACTCATTTCCGAGCAAGCACTACTAAGTGGCTTGCTACTCTATTTAACGTGCCCACAATATATTCAAGCCGACTTTGCTCAAAATATGTGAAGCCAGCTTCGAAGGTCCCAAGGATTATTGCAACAAGCTCTTTTACTTCAATCAACCGACTCAAGTCCTTCCGCAGCGTGTCTAACGCCATTCCATAGTCCAAGAAACGGGCTGCAGTGCCTGAGCCTGTTCTTGGCGACAGAAGACCGACTATTCTCGCACGAGTGGTACTTAGGTTAAGCTTCATGTCCAGCACCGCGATACTCTCGAGTAGGACATCTAGAAGCGTCGCTAATGCCGGAACATACTCGCCCTGGAGTCTATTCTTTGCATCAAGCAGATGTCGTGCTTTCTTAGGTGTGAGAGCCTCTGGCTTATCCAGCACGGTGAGTTTCCCCTCCAACAACTGGAAATTCCTCCGATGGACGTTTTCCATTTCAGCTGCCTTTTGACCAAGATCAACAGCAGCCATGTACACCTCTTCTATCTGGGAAGAAGCAAATTTCGGCTTTTCCAGTGTCCCTATCCGATAAGTTTCCAGTTTATTGCGAATCGAAGAGTTCGTCAAATGACCGACTGCCTTCAAGCTGTCGGTAATGTCGTGTCCGCTGCACAACGCAATCACAGTATCCCCTCCCGGATGATTTTGCATAAAGGTGCTTGCATCGTATACACTCCCCTTGGCTGAAAACCAATAACCAGATTCATCTGAGTTATGTTTGATGAGCTCGGATACAAAGACTTTGTTCGAGCTAGGTTCAGTATCCGGATCCTGTTCATCTTGGTCGAGACAACTGCGTTCCAGGCGCGCCTTTTCCAATTCTTGATCGACCTCGTGCCAGGGCTCTGTCCTGCGCTTGTGGCCCAGACCATTGATCGTTGTGCTTCGCCCAATCCTGAACGAGACAGCGAGAAAGCCGAACACCTTTCGTCGGTGGAATCCTAGTAAACCGTCATTGCCGTGATATGAGGATGTAAAGGTTTTCCAGAGGTCCATTAACTCTCTATCCTTGGAAGCAGCAACATATTCCGAGACTGAAACTTCCATCATGGCTTCGAGAAACTGCCGCCAATGAATAGGATACGTAGCTCGAACAATTTGCGCTTCTTTGCCAATACCGGTAAGATATTCAAATCGTCCGGTAAATTCATCCATCATGTGAAAGAATGGATGTGCTGTACCTGCTGCTCCAACCATGCCTTTCACCCAAGGAATTCCCAAATTCCCTACAGTGAGCGTCCATATGACGGGATCAATATGGGTCTTGTGTGCTCGGCTCGCATTTAGCTTGCTGAGAATCCGGGTGATTTGTTTGGTGAGTGAATGGAGGCTTCGTATTACGTCTTTGAGCGAAGAGGAATCGTTTGCCAAAACAGATCTCTGGGCCTTGATGATTTGTTGGAGAATCGGTATCGTCTTAGCATTTATTTCAACCATTATGCCAATGAATGTGTGCTCTTCTTTGGTACCGACAGTTGGGACGAGTATCTCCAAGTTCTCGAGCATTACACCACTGTGTGACGAACTGGTTGATGTGAAATTGGCTACCACCCCGTCCACATAGGTCAGAGCCGGGGCTGGTCGCCCAAGACGTCTGCACACTACCGTCCAGGGGATCTCAAGCGATGGTGGCAGTATATCGCCATGGCTGTCGTATTTCAATGTGAGAGGCTCGCTTCCTTCCATGCGGACAAACACATGGGCCGTCATTCCGAGGATGGTGGCGGCCCTTTGGAGGTAAATGTCGGGCAAAGCTTCGGGGGATGCATCAAGCAGTGGAATATTGGTGACAGCATCTCGGACGGTTTGGGATTGGATCAGGCGAGGTAGGTCGGCAACAAGTCGGTCCCATGCTGCATGGGAAGGCGGAAGTGTCTTCATTGTTTGGAGTGGCGAGAATCCTGCCTCTTTGGACAGGAAGCCAGCATTTTCATGTCCATTGCGACGGTTTGCCCGTTCTGCCTCTTCGATTATTCTCTCGCAGGGTGGTGTGGTAGACTGTGTCTATAGAATGTGAGCACACGAATCTACATATTGCAATAAGGTACATACGTACCTTCAATGTCACTAATCGCAGGGAAACAAAGAGGAAAATAACCCCGAGAGCCAAGTTAACCACGTAGGGCGACGACGAATCATCTTGAGAGTTCTTGACGATTATACTAGAGTTGCCGTATAGTATCGTGGGTATTTCACTGACGGGAAACATCATAACTTGTTGTGCAATATGGGACTAGCATCGATTTTACAATCAATTCGACACAGTCCATACTACCTTAGCTCAGCACGGTTCATATTCCCTTAACTGGGACGAAACCAAGCACCTTCTTGGGCATCAAGATATTCCTTCCCGCCTTGGCATGTCGCCACATCGCGCTGTTAGTGGCCATTGGCCAATAGAGTGGCTGCAGATGTGGTGAAGAAAGCAATATGAGCTAGGATTACGAATGTACTGATCAGGAATATGGGCCATGCAGTAGTGCTTACTAGTTCCTCACATGTGCAAGATACAAAACCGGCAACTCCGTACGGAGTGCGGAGTACTATATTAAAGCTTTCCTAGCGCCGAGCTAGGGTTATAGCGCTAATCCAGGGCAAAAATGGAGGGAAAAAGACATTAGTATTAACTAGTACTCCGTACATGTAACTTCATACATACCGAGGTACATATGTCACTTGAGACAACCACACGTAATACGCCGATATTATTCCGCTTGGACAGGGGTTATATTCCATCACGAAAGCACAGATTACTGAGATGTTATGTTACTCTAGCTATTATCTTCCTAGGTTATGATATAAGTTAAAGTTCAAGGTAGAATATTAGCACCGTTAGCGTAGATATTTTGTACATGTTGTAGTTCGCCGTATTTAAATCGTCACAAATCGCTCAACATCTTGCCCCTTCATAGCTAATCGTACGAAGTACTCCGTACACTTGTGTACAATGAGAGAGTGAGACAGGGAACAGGGGTCCGCTACAGTTTTGATAAGTCCGCCCCAATTTGGTTAAGCATAGCCAGATGATCCTTGCTATAAGTGTCACCATTTTTGGTGATCACTTCACGCACCCAAGGCCCACGCGGGTTAAACGAAGCCTTGAAAGGCAGGGCCCGCATAACGAGGCCGTAGGTGCATGCAAGTGGGTCAACGACAATCGGCTCGCCGGTCTCCTCAGACAAGCCAGCCTTGATGTCAAATGACCATAGCAGCTGTGCGACGACGATCCAGATGACATTGCGGGCAAAATACCGCCCAGGACAGGTCCGCCTTCCATAGCCGAAGGCAGCAGCGGGAAGGTCCTTGAGAGTTTTGCCGTCCTCACCGAGCCAACGATCCGGTATGAAATCATCAGGATCCCGGCCGAACACGGCCTCTTCTCGGGAAATTGTCCAAACATTGGGTATAATAACAGATCCCTTGGGAATGGTGTATCCATTGTAAGTGGACTCTTCCTTGTTCAAATGAGGGACGCCCTCGGGGCCAGCGGGTCGCCAACGGAATATCTCTTCGACAATCGCGGTGATGTACGGCAGGTTGGGTTTGTCATCTTGGCATGGGAGTCGGTCGTGCCCGACAACAGCATCCAGCTCCTTGCGTGCCTTAGCGACAAAGCCCTGATCTTGGGTGATGCAAGCCACCACAAACCAGATCAAGCTGTCCGTCGTGCCGTCCAGCGCGGCGTCAATAATGGTACCAAGCTCAAAGGCGAGCTCGTTCAATGGCATATCGATGTTATCCTTTTCGACAGTCTTTTTGAGATGCTTTGATATATTCCATGCATTCGACTCTTGGCCCCGCCGGAAGTTTTCGTCGCGCAGATCAAACTTGGTCGTGTAATGGTTCTCAGCCTTTGCCTGCCATGGAGCTAAGAAGCCAGGCAAATTATTAAGAACGGGGAATTGGTCAACAATGTGTGCGCCAACCTGGATAAACTCAGAGAATTCCTCGTTGAGTTTAACAACGGTGCGAAGTACTGGGTCGTTGGGGTCTTTGACACGGAAGCCATACAGCAACGTATGGATGATGCTAGCGACGGCGCGCTGGAAATGCCCTTGGACCTCAGAACTAGCACCGCCCGCGTTCTCTAGAAGATCTTGCATCAATTGCTGTGATTCCAGAGTTTGGAAGGGGAGATAAGCGGCTGCCGGCGTCGCGTTTAACACTGAGACCTGTAGCCTCTGATGTTGTCGGAATTGATCGGTGTAATTCATCATGAGAATATTGAGTCCTTTCAAGGCCAACTCCGTTGCCAACTGCAATTTCCTATTAGCTCATTGTTGCCCATCTAAGTTGAGGTGAGGTGGGGTCTTGCAAAGAGACGAGGTCTGTCTGAAAATGTCGCTCCACGCTTCGCTAGCAGTTCATGGGCTACTTCAGATGTAGACAAAATGATGACTGGCTGTCCGAGCATGTTGACATGAACAATTGGTCCATACTGTTTACTCCATTCGCGATATGTCTGCCAGCCGTGGGACTTTGGAGCTTGGTGGACATTGCCAATTATCGGCAATGGCTTGGGACCCGGCGGAAGGGGTAAAGACGACGTTGATTTACGCCGTGTGACAATATAAAAGCCTACTAACAGCCCGACGAGGGCTATCAATGTCGCTAGATGCATGGTTGGAATTGGAAGGACAGATCTAGAGTGTCGGGGACGGAGGTAGGTTTAACTACCCTGAATGGGTTGTCCACGGAGGAAAGAGAAAACCAAAGCAATCAGGCAACCAGGCAGTCAGACAATCATGGCTCCAGTGCCTATCGTGGCGAGCTTTTTAGAATCCTAGTAAGTAGTTGATGTTGTGTGAGCTCCTAGGGGAATTGGCGCGGTTACTTGTTGAAACCTTATACAGGGGTTCAGTGTAAGACGCCACGTAACCCTTTCATCTCCGTACAGCCCAGGGTATTGAATAGCTTCAGGTCATCAGGATATTCATTGGATGAGGATGTGCGTAAAAGACCATTGGAATATCGGGCAAGTGGGGTGTTTCGTAGATAAACCACATGGGACTACCCGTCTTCCCGGACCACTTTCCACATTCAGGGACACTCCGGTGAACTTGGGAACCACAAGATACAAAGTACCTTACTACCTTACCTAGTCATGTTGTAGGTACATATGTATACCTAACTGGTGCCTGTTATCTGTCAGATTGCTGGGGATACATATTTACGAATGTTGCCCGGTCTTTTTGTACTCTGATTTTAATACAACTTCACTAGTACTCCGTTCTCCGTAGTATTATCCTTGTCGTAAACAGTTAGCATACTAAGCTTTACCGCAGGCGTGAAATAATGTGCTGATTAAGGTTTTAATTTAATTAGAAGGGACTAACTACAGGCATATCTCTCCTATTCCGTACGGAGTAACATGTAACCTTACCCCTAGTTACCTACTGGTTGTTATAGCTGATGACATTGAAGACGTCTCATAACTACCTCACCCCAAATGGTCAATGTAAATCTCCACGTGATTTTCCATTGGCTATCCAATGCCAGATGTAAAAGAAGTCGCATTAATTGAGTGGAGCGGAAATTATTGATTAGCGGTTCAAAGCTCAAAGGATCCGAGGGCGTTGAAACAGTGGGTAAAAGAAAGCGGGCCGTGCATCGTCGATCGTTACATGTGGAGGATCGTAGCTAACTAGTTAACTAAATGTCGATTGTCGGATCCGGACCTCCTGGGTTTCTGTAATACTTGACATATACTCCGTACTCCGTACTTACATTGTAGATCGTGTTGTTTCTATACTGAAGAGGGGTAAGACAGCCATCCCCCTTGTAACAAGACGATCTCACACTAAACTAAACACAGTAGACGTTTCAAAGTACAGAATATCTTACACGTATTGTTGGACCCTCAACACCTTACGCTCGTACGGTGATTTCCCCATATCGGCCAATTCATCTAGTTCAACGTATTCGTGTGCGCGGACCTGTGTTTGATCGGAGTTTGAGGTACCGGTTCCTCCCAGATTAGTTGTGGATTCCGAAAGCTTGGACTTGGTGTGTGATGAGGTTAACAATCCAAAGCGGCTGCGTAAGGATCCTGCATGCTTGGTCCAGAATACATGAATGGCAGGCGTGCAGCTGACCATGAGGACCACCGCGCTTTCGATCACACTAGTTGTGGAATTGTCAGTGAGAGGCTCGCAGGGGGTTGGGACTAGGGTTGGGGCGGTGATGAGGTTGACAAACTTACGTGACAAGCAAAGCATTGGCAAAGTTGGTAGAAGATTGCGTTGACTGCGCTTCCTGAAAATACAGCCCCAATGAGCTAGCTGCGATGGCGCTATTGAAGGATTGCGGTCAGAAAATTCGCTCAAGTCAATAGGGAAGAAATAGCCGAGCTTACAGAAGTCCCGTAGCAAAGGCAAACGCCACTCCGATCTTCCTACGAAGTGGCATATTAAGATTCACGATAATTGGAATCGGGATAATGAATGCAATGACATCGATGGCGAGCGATATAGAACCACGGGCAATGGTCGCGTCTGTGAGGGCGCTGACGCATGAGAGCAAGAATGGTGGGGTTGGCTCATGAAGATCCGGGCTGCAGGAGATGCCAGCATACAACAGCGTGATCACGCCGCCCAGAGTCCCGACGACGATGAGAAATATACAGGTCCAGCGCAACCAATCCTTGATTCCAAAGACTCGGATGAGCATGAAAAGCAGAGGCAATTTCGCGCTGTAAATTGAACTGTTGCCCGAGGCGATTCCAACCGCAACAAGCTGCGAGGGAAATATTAGCAAACGACGCCTGATGAAAGGGGATAACCTGTGTGGAAGTTATCGTAGCCATACCCTTGTAAGATGTTCAATTGTTACATCGTTAGGGTTCGAGTTCAGTACTATTTTGAACTTGGTCAGTCCTTCATGTGTGGGTTCACATCAAGATGAATGAAATCCTTACCATCAAACAGTAGAGAAAAGGTGACAGAGTTCCATATCAGGAACAGGAGCGCGAGTACGCTTAAATCTGCCAAGGTAAGCTTGGCTAGCCATGGAAATTCCCACTGGAACCAGAAGGCTATACGTACAGTCATCAACATAGAGCTTTTGAAGGTGATTGAGATTGGTCCAAAGTCGAAGTGCAATAATGCTGCCAGAAAGTGCACATAACGCGCTCGCCAATCCCACGAAGACAGGGGGCTTCAAGGCGGTTGGCTGCACAATGGCCGCAATAGGGTTCATGCCTTCCATTGTATAGATTCAGCCACGACGTTAAACATATACACATAAATCACTGGTCGTTGGAAGATTGAAATGGATGGTCTCTTGGGGGAGGGCCAAATTCGACAAGAAAAGAGATTAATTAGTCCCAAGCCTAAAGCGTAATTCTCAATATCGACATAATGAGTGGTTATCTTAGATTGGAACTTACGACCTACTAATAGGAGGGGGGTTTCATGTTCTTTTCGCTACTACCCTAATTCAGAGCTAGGCAAGGTTTAGCAAGGGTATGTCATTTTGATACAGGAGGTGGTTTTATATCATGCATGTAAATAACCACATGAGAACTACTCCGTACTCTTGTATAATATTGTTTAATATATAACATGCATATACTCCGCATACGTGCAGATTACACGTAGCTGCCTAAGTACTCATGTACTCCACGGTCTGTAATTTATCCTCTTCCCTGCATATGTATGTACATACTCCCTATGTAGTGTCAAAATGACGATTCGTCACCTTAAACGAGACCGAGGATATTTTTACTAGGAACTTTTTATCCCCCCGCAGAGTGGACATAGCTTTTGGGAGTATTTGAGTAGGAACGGTGAAGCAATATGTCAATCTGGCCTTCTGCATGTCGAAGTGATGGAATGTGCCGAGGTCCGGTCATATTCCTAACTAGTGCTAGCTGAGGGGCGAAATATTAGGCACTAAAGGGACCAGGGCGTAAATCAATGTAAAATATTGCGCAATCACATTGTTGAATCTACTCGCATATAAATTACATTTTTTATCATGTTCTGCCAATGGTCTGCTAGTGGCGCTGATATTACTATTCTCCGCAACGTACCTATTACCCTTTAAAGCCTCTCCGCGTGGTACAACAGGCGAAGGTGTCCATTATATCGTATCAGTAGAATAATTGGCTGTGTAGTAAAGATTTTATGTATTTTGTCTTGTGATTGCTTGTATTTTTATGCCAACGGCGGCTGTCTTATATGCACCTAGCAAGCGCTTATCTCATTCCTTGAAACTCTATATACTTGGAAGTTCGCTGTCAACGGCCTGAAGAGGATCCCATAGTTACAGGTAGTTCTAAATCACAAGTCATCTGTCTACACCGCATTTCAGAATGAGTTCCAAGCAGCAGCCCAACCTTATATGAGACCCACCTTCAGCCAAATATATACTTCGGATATATAGCGCCCTAGAGTTGACAAGAACATTAACAGTCACAACTTTGCACCAGCTATGGCTCTCCTAGACCAGAACAAACCAGTCGCCTGGTCGTACCTGCAAAGTCACCAATTGATCCACCGATACCAATACACGACAACTACCATCAAGCCTACCATGTCTATGGCTCCAACTCCAGCTCCCATAAATCAAGTGATCAGAGGCAACTATATTAGCGAGGCGAATCGGCAAGTTACACGTCTTTCTAAAGTCATTGGACAAGACGATGTCACGCGAGAGAAGCTGTTGCACGCCTTGAGATTTTCTGGGGGTGAATGGTGTCAAAATGCCATACCACAGAAGCTGAACACATCGGCCTGGGTTTCCGACGTGAGCAATGATCACTCACCTTTTGAGTATTCATTAGCTCTATCCCAAGCGACCGGAGCAACTGAACTGCGATTTTTAATTGAAGCTCAGCCCAAGGAAAACAGCCTAGCCGCCCTCCAAGAGAGAACCTCGCGCTTGACTGACGACATCGCGACAGAGTACGGCCCCACAAAGGTCTCCCTGGACCGCCTGAACCTTGTTCAAGATCTTTTTCTCCCTTCAGGTGCCGAGGGTAACCTAGCCTCATGGCACAGCTTCGCTACCTCAAATACACTGGAAAAGTGGAAGATATACCTGAATCCACTAGCCACCGGACGCCAAAACGCTTTCAAGGTCACCCGAGAGGCTCTGGAGCGCTTGGGACTGGCTAGCTCGTGGAAATTATTAGAGAGCATCATGACTGGCGACGACTACCCCATCTATTTCTCGCTTGGCCTGTCGCCGAATCCAGAAGACGCCGAAGTCAAGGTATACGTTGCACACTGTGGCGCCTCTGCAACACAAATCGCGCAAAAACATGTCAAAATGGATCCCAATTCCAGCGTCCGTGCTATTGAACTGTTCTACTCAATTATGGCGGGTGGATCGCTTGGGCCGTACCGTGGTAAACCCGGGCTATCCTGTTTCCATTTCAAGAACAAAGATCCATCCAGGCCAGCGGCCCGTACGGTCCTCTACCCAATGGACAGCTACGCTGTAAATGATGCCGAAGCGCAGCAGCGCATCGAAATGTATATGGATGCCATTTCTGCGCCACAGCTCTACCGAGAGAGGTATAGAAATGCTATTAGTGCTGTGCAGCGCCGGCCGTTGGAGGCTGGTCGTGGCATCCATAGCTGGGTGAGTATGAAGGAGAAGTTGGACGGTACGCGGTCCAACACGTTTTATCTCTCAGCTGAACTGTACGGGTGTCTTGGAGAGGGGGGCCTGTCGAACAGTGGCCGCTGAAATACATTTTCAGGTGGCAGAGTTGGTTCGGGTAGTTTACGAAATCTACGAAATAGCCGTGATGATAGACGATGAAATGCGCATGTTGGTTTTTCTTTTGTTGGCCTTTTTGGAAGTTTGATTCAATAGCATGTAGAGATATATACATGGCATTGGAGACCTTTTCACTTCTATTTTAGTCTTTACGGCGTAAAGATGGTCGATGCCAGGGTCGAGACCGATCTCGTTGAGGACTGTTATCCCTGCGGCCTTGGCTTGGTCTTCGAGTGCCCGGAGGGCGGGCGAGATGTAGCTCGTTTTCACGACTGGTTTTTTATATTTGATGGCGGCTGAGACAATGAGGGCGTGGTGAACGTAGGGGATGAGGGAGATGACGATATCTGTCTGGGAGATGGCCGCGTAGAGGTTCTCCGGCTCATTGACTACATCGAGAGCGATAGCTGTGGTAGACTTGTAGTTTGCAGTGAGGGCATGGGCGGCACTTAAAGTGCGGCAGGCTACGGTGACCTTGACGCCTGCTTCGGAAAGTGCTTTTCTTGGGTTTAAATCGTCCTGCTCCACTGTTACTGCTTGAGATGCATTGGATGATAGGACGAGAAGTGCAGACCATTAGCAATGCGAGATGACTCATGATAGGCTATTGCAGCTGATGACAGATGGCGACATGTGATGACTATCTCTATGGGGCACTTGGTCGAGGCTAGCATCACTAGTGTCGTGTTAAGTAGACTAAGGTATTATATGTTTGTCCCCAGCAGAGCCAAACAATTGGAAATGGGAGACTAGGAAACGTTAGTTTGCGGAGAATGGGCTGCAAACTAGGAACCCACCACATTTGATAGTGAGATTTCTGTATACACTCCACGCGCAGTAATACATCATTTTCACCTACACCGTACATATATCGCCCCAGCCAGCCATCGGACACCACCGCGAGCGGCACCGGTGCAAAATTAACCAACTGCAAGTAATTTTGAAGGCAGGTCGAGGCGCTATATAAGACAATAAATATCTTGGCTGATCCGAGCAGAATGATCAGCCAAACTGGGTATGGAGCGTTGTCGGCGACGGGAACAGACTCTTTCAAATCTTGGTTTGTGAGCCGACATGATGTTTCATCACATACTAAAATTGATCGCTATAGTAACGTAAGTTAGGTGACCACCTGGCAGATACTGTACTTGACTTAGAGGCTGGCCATTCAGCCCTGGAGATCGGCGGGGCTGACGGAATTACCCCAGCCAAGACCTGCCAACCGTGAAGAACCCACCTTACTCCCGCTATCCCATCGCTATCCCAAATCTTCACTCTCAGGATTCAGCCTAGTGTATATCGCCATATCTCACATTCTGGGGTGCATTATCCTCAATATTCCAACATTTAGGCTTAAACAACCTCCGGTCCATTCTGTGTAGTTCCATTCCTGATTCCAATGACAACACAACAACCCCCTTTCCAATGCCACTTTCCCGGGTGTGACCTAAGCTATCAACGGAAAGAACATCTGACCCGACATGCTAAAAGGCACTTTCAAACAGATCGTTTCGAATGCTCCTTCTGTGATCGCGTCTTTTCCAGGAATGACACGCTACGACAGCATGTCCGCACTCATCACAAAACCAAGGAGCTACAATACTCCCGGACAATTCAAGCTTGTACCTATTGTCGCTCACGGCGGTCAAAATGCGATGGACGGTCTCCCTGCGACACGTGCTTCCAGCGAGGAATTCAATGTTTATATACCCGAATCTTACGAGGACGTCCATTGGAACAAAATCGGCCTCGAAATCCCCGCAAAAGCCCCATACCGTCGGTAGAATCGGTCGATGAATTTTATTCTCCTCCGACAGAATCCGCGGGTCCTATCCAGCGTTCAGAAAGCATTGAAAATAGCCCATGCAGAGTTGCGCCATATGTCCAGGCCTATTTCGACAAGTTTCACCCAAAATGGCCATTCTTGCACCCAGCGACGTTCGATCCCGACAATGAGCTACCCTTTCTGGCTCAGTCAGTGGTTATGATGGGCTCGTGGGCAATGATGGAAAGCAATGCACAACAGACCGCAAAGGACCTACATAAAAGACTGACCTCGTCGATATACGAGCAAAGAGTTAGTTCAGTCCTTCTTCTCTCTAAATTTCCATTTTTGTTACTAAAAAGCCATTCAGGGATAATGGGACATATCGAATCACCATTACGAGCCACACTTGCAGCAACATGGAATATCCCCATCCAGCCCCCCACCCTGGCCGATGGCAACATACCAAGGAATCCTGTTGCACCTCATCTTCTCCCTCCTCCTCAACCACGACCAGCTAGATCTGGAATTGACTCAAGCAATCCCCGAGATCCCCTCTCAACTTCTGATTTCCCTCGTGCGCACCTGTCTGAAGCGGCGCATGTTCTTCTATCCCTCAATATTGGCCCAATTCAAACCAGGAGTTGATCCCGATGTTTTTATTTGGCTTGGTATCGAGGAAGCCAAGCGTTTTGGTTTGTCATTGTACAGAGTATGCAGGCATGCCCGAGTATGCGACACCAAACTCTTGGAAGACGCGCCGGATTTCAGCCCTCGACGTGGACCACGATCACCGGATGGAAGCCTTCTTTCTTTGGCAGACCTGCAATTTGCGGTGCCGGACAGTGATGGGCTCTGGCATGCTACTTCGGATTTGGCCGCGAAAATCAGAGGAAATGAAGCTGCATATACCAATGAGAATATTGAAGACAATTGGATTTCTCAGACTGCGCGGGTTTTGCAGCCTCGTGATCAACAATTTCAGTGGATATAACGATGTTTTAATGGAAAGAACATTAATATGAATTTATATATATCTTTCACTTATAAAACTGAGCCTCGAGGTCTTTAGTGATAGTGTGTATATGTTATAGTGTTGCAGCTGTGTGTTTGTCGCCTTGGGAGATTGTTTCCGACTCTGGGATAGCGGTAGCCCTAACTAAGGGGATCCCGTCGCTATCCCATCGGTATCCCATCAGGCCTGCGGGCTTGGTATTCGGCAGCCCATCGCTATCCCAGTGGAATCCTGATAGGACAGGCGGTATCCCATCGTGATCCCAGATTGTAAATCCTAGGTCTGATCATCCCATCTACATTATTCACCCATGATTTTATAGTTTTAGTCATGGTTTTGATTCGATAGATCGCCTCAGGTCAATTGAATTTCTTATAAAATGATATTGTATCCAGTAATTCAAAGAGCATCCATATATCTCGCACACTTTCCCTACAGAGTAGCATCGATCAAGTTGCATAATCCTAGGCAATAAATTGCAATGACTGAACATCCCAAAGGAGATGGTGGTGAGTCGGGGACCCAGCCCGTTCTGGTGGAGGCCCACAACCCCAGCTCTATCATGTCCCAGCTCAGTACGAAGCACACCGGGTCTTTTGATATGGAGGAGAAAGAGGAAGTGCGAGCCATCACCGGATTCAAGGTTTGTCAAATTTATCTGAGCTTATCTTCTCATAACTAATTTTGGAAATATCAGTGGATTTTGGTTGTGACTGCTATCTTGTCCAGCCATATGCTCTTTGCTCTGGACAATACAATTGTGGCTAATATTCAACCGGTCAGTACTTCGGCGTCATGTTAACGACCAAACAACGCTAACTTTCCTTGAATTATCAGGCTATTGTAGCGCAGTTCAATGAAGCTGATCAGATTTCATGGCTCTCTGTCGGGTAGGACTCATATCCGGCCTGGAGTATAGAATATTTCTCACAGATCAATTCTCTTTGCAGATTTACCCTTTGCTCATCTGCAACTGTGCTTCCTTGGTCTAAGGTCTACGCGACTTACAATGCTAAGTGGCTTTATATCGGGGTAAGTCGATGAGGCCCGATTATGCCATCCGAAATAGAACATCGCTGATTATTGTTTAGTGCGTCGTCCTATTTATGGCAGGTTCCGCTCTGTGTGGAGGTGCACCAAATATGAATGCTATGATTGTTGGTAGAGCAATGGCTGGCGCTGGAGTAAGTACACGTTGTCCTAGCTAGATCCTACAACCCTAAACACTAACAAAATTCTCAGGGAAGTGGCATGTACTTCGGCGTCTTGACGCAATTGTCCGTCAATACAACAGTATCCGAACGTCCCTTCTATATCGGTTTGACGCAAGTAACCCGTGCTTTAACTCTATATATATGCTAATTGACTTCCCTTTCGGATAGTGCTGTCTCATGGGGTATTGGAACAGTCACTGGTCCAGCCATTGGAGGCGCATTCGCTGAAAGTGCCGCCACTTGGCGTTGGGTAGGTTCTCAGCAATCTTAGCATATAAACTCATATTATGCTAACCATGCCTAGGCCTTCTACATCAATCTCGTGATTGGAGCAGCCTTCGCCCCGGTGTATTTCCTTCTCTTGCCTTCATTCGAGCCCCTCCCAAATGCTACCTCCAAGGAAAAGGCAATGAATATCGACTGGGTTGGCAGCGTCCTTTTTATTGGTGCCTTAACAACCTTGATCATGGGCATTGACTTTGGAGGTGTGGAATGGAAATGGGGCAGCGGTCAGTCAATTGCGCTCTTTGTAGTGTCAGGGGTGCTCTTCATCGTGTTTGGGGCACAGCAGACCTTCTTCATCTTCTGCAATGAGCAAACTCGACTGTTTCCAGTTCACTTTCTCAAGAGCCGCTCCTTGTTGCTTTTATTTATTCTCAACAGTGAGTCAACCTCTTTACAAACTGCCATCGTGGTGCTCTGCTAATCCATACCCTTTGTCTAGCGAGCGCCAGCAGTGGACTGTTTATTGCGGTTTATTATATCCCATTGTTTTTCCAGTTTACACAGGTCAGGATAGCCACATTGATCTTTATCTATAAGGTATAGGAACTAATACTATTGTAGGGAGATACGGCCGTTCACACGTCGTTGCGTCTTCTACCTTTCGTGTTGGTTCTTATCTTCACGATTATTGCCAATGGCCACATGATGTCCAAGTTCGGTTACTATATCCCATGGTACTTCTTCGGTGCTGCTTTTGAGCTTATCGCCGCTGTTTTGATGTGTATGTTCCCTGGAAAGCCACCCTTGTTCCCATTGGGATGTATATACTTGATACTAATTGAGATTCAAATTCAGATCGCGTGAAGGCCGATACCTCTGCTAGCGCAATATACGGATACACGGCTCTGATGGCGCTGGGCGTTGGTGCCTACAATCAAGCAGGCTATAGTGTGGTACAGGCAAAGGTACCGAAAGCTGAGATTCCATGGGCTTTGGGCTATATGATGGTTTGTAAGTGGACCCTATTTCATATGTCCCTTCTTTGTCTTCGGACTAATGTTCAATAAACCAGCCCAACTGGGGGGCATTGTCTTAGCCTTGGGTATAGCTGGTGCTATCTTCGTCAACAAGACAACAAAAGAACTGCTACGGTTGCTCCCGGATGCCAATCCTGCCGATGTCAAGAATTCTATCGCGGGAACGTCTAGTGGATTCTTCAAGACCTTAACCAAGTCACAACAGACCGCAGCTCTTGACATTATTGTTTCAGCCATCGACAATGTGTAGGTCTCTCTTCTTTGTTGAACTATTTATTCTTCGACGGTGCTTGGTGACTCACTCAATTGCTAACCTTTTCTTCCTAGATATGTTCTTTTAATTGTTGCCGGTGCGCTCGGTGTCCTCCTCTCTCTCTTCTTGAAGGTGGGTTTGCTCTACCATCATCTATTGCCACGCCACTGACACTTTTTCTATCTAGCGTGAAAGATTGTTCATGGAAGCAGCAGCCGGTGGTGCCTAGAATTTATATTTGAAGACTCAAGTGAGAGACTTATTTGCCCCATGAGTCAAAAATTAAATGTTTCTGGCGAAGGAGTATTCCTACTATAGAGTAACTAGAATCTCGTGATAAAACGTTTTGGTTCTTAGGTATTTTTTTGGTCCTTCAACGATGTGTCAAAAGCCGTATGGTCTCTGCACAATATATGTTGCGGCTAAGGGCTATTTCCAAATAAGCCAGATTCATCTCCGATCCGAATTTGCCTAATAAATCATTCATGAATGAACAATTAATCGTTTGAATATCTCTCATGTGTCGCATCACCCATAGTAGTAGACCTGTACAGTCTTCCTCCCCCCCTCTCTTTCATAGCTACACGGCTTTCCAGTATATTCGCATTGCTTCATTGACACTTAATCTCTATTAATCAGTACAAATTCAAACAAGTTCAGTGAGCCTAGGGGCTTGCACACTTCGAAGCAAGCATACGAAAACGCATGACCCCTATATCGATAATTAAGATTCCTAATATTTACCGCCCTTTATGTGGAGTTGTTTTGCTGCCCAAGCCCTACAGTGAAAATGACCCGAGCTGGCGTTCGACCTTGGTACGCGAGGTCTGTACTCAACAAATGCTACTACCGGCTATATCACCACAACTGGGCTGAGGATAGTACGTGGCCGGAACATTCCTTTTGCGCTGTTTGACCAATCCTATGTTGACTTGGGGGTTGACACTCTGGAGGAATAGAGGCTTTGGGATTATCTGTCAACCGTTGGTGCTTCGGGTTTCATAACCGTACTTTGAAAGGCAAGATGATGATGGCTGTAGAGAGGCCATAATTACGGCCGAGGCCTACTTCAAGGACCGGGAAATAGTCGAACTAGCCTTCGCCTATACGTCAGATAGAATAGCAAGCATAGGTGAGCTCGATACCGAGGCCCGTCAAACAGTTCATTTTACACCGGATGCTCGGACGGTTGCCTTGTCAGTTGTAGCCACAGATCACAAGCTTATGGGAAACGGGTTCGAGGTTGAACGGAATGAGCAGGCTCGGTATGAGAAGTTTAGGCTTTCTGCCACTCTGCCCAATGAACTAGCCCATACCGTTGGTTATAACCGGCGAGAGGTATGGTGTAAGGATGATGCGTCTGCGGAAAGCTGCCAGCGGGTGTTAGAGAGTGACAGAGTATAAAACCCCCCGACTGGTTCGAGGCTTGTCGGTATTTACATGCGGTGTCGGGAGTTCTACCATGTCAGGGTATTATATGAGCCGGATGTTTCTCAAGAGACATAAATGGAGCTCTCAAGTCAATCCTTGGATAAGTTCTATATCAGGATCAGGATAAACCGCCATCGATAATGATATTCTCGCCCATGGTGCCTACTTTTCTACTAGACCCCATGACGTTCAGCCGCTCTATGGCTCTAGCTGGAGATAACCGCATTACTCCAACGGCGGTTAACCTGGCCTTATTGCTTCACACATGGCCATCCAGTCACTCAATGAAGACAAGGTTCACCTCCTCTTGAAATCCGATGTCTATTCTGAAACACTATACACGGGCTGTGTCATGCTGCTGCTGTGTAAATTTTGTAAGAAGTCGGTGGATCCTGCGTGCAGGGATCCTTCGGTCATATGCCGATGGACCTTGCTGGGCGAGGTGGGTTCCAGGATAAGAAGACAACGCTTGTAGATGGTTCAATACCTCAAATCGAGTAAGTGAAGCGAATTCAGTCCTAGGTAGGCTTTTGTCAGTGGCACTTCATTTCCATGTAGATTTTTGAATGTATGGAGGATGTAAACATTCGGCGATCATGGTGGGGCATAGTGGAGCTGTACCTTATCAAGTATAGAACCAAGTATAAGAATAGTTTCTTTAGGAAAATAATGAAATATGATAGGTTCCAGAGGTCAGTCCTTTCTTTAATTTGGAGTGCAGTTGGAGTTGTACATCGAAGAGGGGTAGACAAAGGACCTTGCAGTCAGGTATCAATGTTGTACTGGTACCTAGTACTTCCATCACTGCGGGCATCACCATACAACAACCAGGTACCCTGTACTACCCCGCCATTACAGTCACTTTGGGTCATCCATTCCAACTGTTCTTATCGCAACACATCCCGTACATCCCCTTCATCAACTTCATCTACTTCCACTTCTACGTTTCAGTTCTCTTTTATGCTCTTTATCTTCATTACTGTGTTTCTTTGCCCTTCCAATATTCTCACGCCTTTTACCTAGGTATGCCCTTACTTCCAGTCACGCACCTGACTATCCTGACCCATCCGGCTCCCCGCAGACCCACCTTATCACTCTATTTGGGCATTCTGAGTCTCTGCCTAGGACTCTCTGCCTAAGACTCCCAGTATCTTCCGACCCTCCCTTTTCTTTTCTATTTACCTGCTCTATATCTCCGTCTCTGCTTCTAACTCTGCTTTTTTTTTTGACCTTCTTCCCTACGGCTTGGGCTATCCCTAAGCTCCTGTTTTCGCCGCACCCGTGTGCTCTATGAAATTTACATCGACGAAATGACTGACGATCCAGACTCGCCTCATAGGCGTTTCCTCCGTGCACAGACTGCTTCGAGTCTACAATATCCGACTCTTCCACCCCTGACAGCTTCTGTCGAGGAGTGGTTGTCCCGTTCACGGCCTACCAATATGACGTCAGATCAACTTTCTGATCATTCAGCCAAGACCCTGAGTGATAGCTGGGCAACTCTGAGTGTATCTGACATACGCTCAGAGGATGGCAGCCACTCCGAACAAACTGATACAGGCTCGTTAATCGACCAGGCCAGCCCTGACGACGTTTCAAGCCTCGACGAACGCTACAGCGGTAGCGAGGCCGAGGCGCAGGATGAAGACAACCAAGAGGATGATGGGATAGACAGAGATGAAGTGCAGTGCACTGGATCAGTCTCCCAGGAGCTGCCTGCCCTCTTTGCCGCCAGACGAACCACTATTGATGACAGCACCACAACCACAAAGCCCTCCTTCCCCCACACCAGTGATTCGATCGAATTTGTGGAACCCGAGAAGTGGCCTGAGATCGAAAGAGTAGAGCTCAAGCATACTATCCGCATCTTCGAAGGTGCTGCAGCCTCAGAATTAAAGGGTCGACTGCCCTACAATTCAACTGACTCCATCCTCATGGCTACGGTTCAACAGACCATGACGAAGCAGAGCCTCGACCTGGATAAACCTTTCCGCGTGCTCTATGTCGGACAACCTGGATTCCGAAACATCATTCTCGACAAGATCGGCGATGTTCTGGTATCAAGCTCATGTGCTGGTTCAGAGACCAGCTCGGCCGAATCTTCCCGATATCATGTCGTGCCAACCTCATTTGGCGCCGGGGCTGTCCCCAACTTTGCGGAACTTCTCCCGATTCATGTTCAGCTGGTGGTTGATGAATGTCTGGAAGCCACGGCCGATCCCCACGCGGATCGACCCAATACACTTCACCTGAAGTTCAAGAATCGGCCTGTCTGCACCTCGGCTTGGAATGGGTCTGACTACCATGTAACATCTGCAACAGATTGGACTCTACCAGATGTAGCAATTCTCTTTGTCTCCGGCCTCGATGATGCGGCAGCCGTCAAGACCCAGCGCCTTGCCCATATATTCCTAGAACGTCATGGAGTCCCGGCGATGGTGATTTCAGAGGAGCCACTGTGGAAGATGGCCGGAGAGGTGATCCCTCTTAACCACAACAGTTTGCACACATGCTTGGAATCCCGCCATCCAGTTTCCGGGGAGACCGCAGTCCTCCGACGGTATCCTATCGATTTGAAGACTTTTGAGAGCATCACGCCTGGTCAGTTGAATCGAAACCTGGCTTCTCTCGTTGGCTTGTATCCAAGGAAGGCGCATAAAGTTACTGCCGATACTCCCAAGCCTCTTCAGAGACACATATTTGCGGATCTCGAGAAGTATCCTGGTAATTGGCTCCCGCCTTCGTATGCCACACGGGCCCGAGAGTTGGGCCCCACGCTACGTCTGGTTACTTTGACTCTCATTTCGGCCATTGCCATATCTATTGGGTATGCGGCTGTTAGAGTCTTGGTCGTCTTTCTAGTACAATTCTTTGCTGGATCGGCTTTGTCCAATGCATCGTTCCCAGTGGCTTCCCATATACCTCCAACCTCTGTTCTGACTCTGGATCGAGTGGTACAAACCTCAATCTCCACACGGCCGTCAGCTCCTATGCGGATATCATATGTGCCCTCTTGGGGAAATTCAATTCCCGAAGGTGTCAACGTGCCAACTATCTCTACCGCTAAATCATCGGGAGCGACGAACGAATTTGAGCTTCAGGTTGTTGGAGACTGCCATGTTATCATCAAACCCCCACATAAGTTTGCGTCGTCCAAAAAACAGCCACAATTTAATGTTAGCATTCACAGAGAGAACAAGCCTCTTACATACGAGCTGTCTCAGCTGTTTGATGGAGTCTATACACTGAAATTGAACCGAGAGGATGCGTACGGGTTGCTCAACTTGACGATCACAACCAAGTCAAAACAGCCAATCAGCCAGACCATGGCTCTTGACTTCGGAACTCCGTGGCTGAAGATCGCAAACTGGAAGCGGGCAGCACAGGGAATTTCTTCCCAGTTCGCTAAGGAGATTCATACGGCTCAGACTGGCTTGACTGAGGTATGCGGTCGCCTCTCCACCGATTTACAGGTGATCGTGGGAGATGTGGTGAAGAGAACCCATCTCTTGCGCCGCGATGCCGAAAATCTACGCCGTGAAAGTCTAAATGCACGCGATGCAGTTTTATCACGGTCAAAGCAAATTTCAGAGATCTTGACTCGCAATACTATCCAGCGGTTCCGAAGTGTTTCTTCTGTGCTGCAAACGCGGTCTGGTCGCGTGAACAAGGAAACCAAGGGCCTCGTTCATGATGCATGGAGCCGAATTGGGAAGTCAGCGACAAATATTGACCTTCGCAGTATGATGGATCGAGTGCGCAACGTTAGGAAATGCAATGCGCTGGATCGGGCTCAGTCGCGTGCTCGACATGTTATGGGATTACGGCCCGGCAAACCCAGGGATTGCTCAACCCGTGGCTCGAAATGATGAACGAACTTCCTTCACGACTTTGTATTTGCTTTTGATTTTCTCTCTCTATTAATGAGTTGGCTGAGTATTGGTTTTTGTTTATGGGCGATCAGGATTGGTGGGTGGCAACTGTACTGGAAATGGGGTTTCGCGTAAACTATTCAGTCGGCGCAATGGTATCTCTTATTTAAATCGTACTCCAACTTTGGCCTTATCTGACAGTACCCACTGCAATAGAATATTGATTTCTTTTCTTTGATGTGTGTTTCTGTTGCATGTACTCCGTAGTTCACATTTATATGGAGTACACTATTGGCAGACGAGAGCGGTGGCGGGTTCTGCCAGATATGGGACCCAAACTAAGTATTAATTTTTCCCCCCTCATCGCCGCTTTCTCTGATCAACAAACACTATCTCTTACTGAAATTCCACTCTATCTCCCGTGGATCTCTGCCATCTTCCTTTTTATCTTTTTAAACCGATCCTCTTGAACCCCTCGTCATCATGTCTGACATCACCGAGACCAAGCCCGACCCCACCATCTCTGCCTCCGAGACTAAGCCTGAGGAGACCACCCCCGCTACCGGCGAGGGTGAGCAGTCTACCACTGAGGCCGTTGCCGAGACTGCTACTGAGACCGCTGAGAAGGCTGTCGACACCGCCAAGGATGCCGCCGTGAAGACCTCTGACAGCATGTTCTCCATGTTTGGTGGCGGTCCCAAGAAGGAGAAGAAGGAGGAGGCCGAGGAGCCTACCGATGAGCCCTCCGGCTCTTCCAAGGCCCAGAAGGCCACCGACGAGGTGAGTTTAATGCATCCGATGCTGGTGACATGGGTGGTGTTGTTGGACGCGTCTACGATGGGGGCGGGGTCTTGTGCCCCTTTCTCCCGATAGTGGGGTCGTCGCAACTAAGCCAACCTATGCTTACTATACCAGTGCCCGTGATTATTTTCGCTCTGCGCATATACTGACAATGATATTTCAACGCAGGATGAAGTCGAGGAGTCCGCCGATGTCCACTTCGAGCCCGTCATTCACCTGACCGAGAAGGTTGAGACCAAGACCAACGAGGAGCTTGAGGAGCAGACCTTCAAGATGCGCGCCAAGCTCTTCAAGTTCGACCGCGAGTCTAAGGAGTGGAAGGAGCGTGGTACCGGTGATGTCCGCCTGTTGAAGCACAAGGAGAACCAGAAGACCCGCCTCGTCATGCGCCGCGATAAGACCCTCAAGGTCTGCGCCAACCACTACAGTAAGATTACTGCCCAGTCATATTTTCCGGAGAGAGTCCAGTGCTAATATGTGTTTCCAGTCGTCCCCGACATGAAGCTGAGCGCCAACGTCGGCAGTGACCGCAGCTGGGTCTGGAACGCCGCCGCCGATGTCTCCGAGGGTGAGCCCGAGGCTCAGACCCTCGCCATCCGTTTCGCCAACAGCGAGAGTGAGTGTTTTTTATCCCAATTTGATGTTGGTATCTTTACTAACCATGGTTTTAGATGCCAACGCCTTCAAGGATGCTTTCGAGACCGCTCAGGTTGAGAACGAGAAGCTCTTCAACGCTGAGGAGTAAACAACTCTTCTTCTCTCACCTTGCTAACTCTTCGAGGATGAGGGTCCCCCATCACCGTGCACTTGGCATTCCAAGGCATTTGGGGGAATCATCCCGGAGGTTGCTCTTGCAAAATCACCACATTTTTTCGCCCTTTTCACACCGTTCCACCCAATCATCACCCCCAAATTCATCCCATTCCCACCCCCATCCCCTACGACGCGACGAGCGAGGCAGCAGTTATGAAGATGCTCCTCGCATAGCTATTGCGAGCCATGCAGTCTACGAAATGGAGAGCAGTTCCCTAACGTCGGTGGTTCGGAAGTAGATAGACATTTCCCCATCCAATATACCTGCACATCACCCCATACCCTGAAGATATCCGAAGAAGAAAAAAACAACGAAAAAAAGTAATGATGAGTATGCCTAAGAAAAAAAAACAGTGTATGCCTCCTAAAATAATAACAAGATTTTACATTTTTCAAATCAAAAAAGAAGAAAAATCCTGTAGCTCATATTTTCCTTTGACTTCTCAAAGACATAATAATGATTGCAGATTGCAGAGAAACAATGCTAGGACTTAATGTAAATTTGTTTATAGCTGGATCTCTTGTTTGATCTCAACAGTCTTAAATCTCTGTATAATAATATACATATGTATTTACATATAGATAGATAGATATATAAAGAAGTAAATCACGTAGAAAGTGAGAGTGTGTCAAGGTCAAGTGAACATAGTGGGCAACCTTGAAGATATAGCCCACTCTCTACCTTTTGAGCTTAATTCACCGCTTCATCGAATTGCCTTGAGAATATATTTCAAGACCCAACACTATATACGAGTTCTTGCTGCCGATTTACATTGAGGTATTGCCTACACATGTGTGTAGTTATGATTTCCCATGCTCACACCCCCCGATAGACCGCGCAAACTTGTCTCCGAGACGCCCACCTCTCCGCACGTCAACGTCCCCTTTCGGCCTCAAAACCTTAGAACCTCACGATTCCCTCAAGTGACGACCCGAAGTCACCAATAAAATAATCATGCCTGACGTGAGTTTACTGTCCCCTCATCAGATATCGCGAACTTGCATCTATGCTCTAGCACTGTGGGTTTGTCGCTGTGGCCGACACAGCCCAAACCTGCTCTTTTCTCTGTTTCCAGCACAATTAAGCTTGCATACACTAACACTTCTCCTCAATAGGTCAAGCGCACTGTCCGTCTCATCACTGAGCAGAACATTATGTATGCGCACCCCCTCTATCTACCTCTACATCCAGCTCCCCTCCCTTCGCAAACCCCGGTCTGAGAAGAGCGCCTAAAGCTGCTGTCTCCTCCCACGATCTCCTTTCAACGCCATTCGCCACTTCCGTCCTGTAGCTTGCAGGACACGGGGTTGATAATGCGCTCAAGGATGAATGGAGGCGCGATTCGCAGACCACTCTTCTCTTCGGAACCCCCACACCCCATCCCTACACATACACACAAAACACGCTGCATTAGACACATTGACTTACTTGGGCTCTCTTCTCACCCTGCAGAGATAAGCCATCGGAGGTCGAAGGTTTCCCGCAACGATCTTGGCATATTGAGGTCTGGCTCGTGAACGAGAAGGGCGCTTTGGTCCCCGCAAACATCTTCGACAAGGTCACTTACCACCTGCACCCCAGTTTCGGCGAACGTGCCACGCAGGGTATGTTTTGGTCCCTATTGGTGTTTTTGAATTTAGTCTTGGCGACGCCTGGGGTCTCGGTTTCCAGGATCCAACGACCAGCAAGATCTCGTCGCACAGTGCTCTCTGTGTGATGGTTTTCTGAATTGGATGCTAACGTGGGATAATTTCGAATAGTCTTCAAGCAGCCGCCGTTCCGCATTCAGGAGGAAGGATGGGGTGAATTCGACATGTCCATCGAGCTGACGGCCGACAAGTCGTACACCATTCAACATGACCTGAACTTCGCCCAGACCCGTTATGAATCTAAGCATGTGCTCGTGAGTTTTGATTCTGAAATCCCCCCGTTTGGGAGAAAGTATGGATGGTGTGCTGATCAATGGCGCGTTTCTTTTTGCTGGTACAGACTTTCAAGAACCCCAAGCCTGCTTTGATGGCCGCGCTGCGCGAGTCCGGTCCCGTTCCCGGTGACGAGAATGGTATCAAGCACAAGCGCCCTGCTGGTGGCGAGGAGAGCGCCAAGAAGAAGAAGCGCACAGATAAGAATGTGAGTTGTTTCTGTGATATGGGTTCTGAGATTGGTTGGCGTCGCAGGACTAACACGCTCTCTCAAGGTCGACATGGACAAGCTTGCCGACGGGCTGCAGAAGCTGAACGAAGACGACCTTCTGCAGGTTGTGCAGATGGTTCATGACAACAAGGCCGCGGACTCATACACAAAGAACGATGTTGAGCGTAAGTTCCTCTCTATGCTCGAGGTATCTCGGGGGAAAAAAGAAATCACCGGGTTTGCTTGACATTTACTCTGAACAAAACGCTAACTTCTCCTCTTTTGTTTCTACAGTCGGAGAATTCCACGTGGACTTGTACACTCTCCCAGACATGTTGATCAAAATGCTCTGGGATTTCACGGCGGAGCGCGGAGCCTTGTAAAGGACAACCGAGCAAGCGGAAGAGGGGAGAGAAACCAGGGCGTGGGAGTGTCTATTCAGTTTCCTTCTCATTTTCTTTTCTTTTCTCGAGTCTTCGCTTCTTTCTCTCTACTGCTATGTATCCTCGGTCTCTCCACGACCATACGTCTAGTTACTTTCTCATGTTTTTTTCTGTCTTTGACACGGGGAGTTAGCGGACTACCGAAGGAAATTGGATGGCTCTTTTTCATTTCTTTTGTGCTTTCGCTGGTTCTAAAATGCGTATTCTTTTCTCTTGCTCTCGGGGAGGGATATGATGGATTTGATACTTTTTACTCATATCTTGCTTAAAGACTAGTGGGATTTGGGGAACCTCGTAAATGGGTTCCGTTTGATTGATGCTTTGCACTAGATACTATGGTTCTTATACCGATATCGAAACTCGTTGCACTTGGGGGTTGTCTCTCATCGCCTTGTCTCGGTCTACAAACAAGATGTATCCCCAGTACAGACAGAGACCTTGCATATGAGACCGTGGGACTACAGATGTCTACATTCGAGCTTCCCCGGCCAGTAAGGACTCTACTGTAAGACATCAGTCTTAAAGCTACGCGTCGAAAACTTGGAATGTATTGAATATCTAGGTAGAGGGTGTATTCCGTGGGATCCGCCAGTGACTATGGAGCCCAAATGCTCAGCCATGACTTTATCAAAAGACTCGCACGAGAACTGGTATTCAATATTGGTGGGCATCGAGTCTATGGTATGGCTTTCAGCAACTGGGCAATGCTGATGTCCCTCCATAAGTGTGCACACACCATGTGCTACGGGACCCTCCGCCTGCGCTGTCTCGTGGGTGCTACGGTGAGATGGTGGTCAAGAGAGTTGGGGAAAAGAAGAAGAAAAGACGAGGTGCGAGGCCTTTTATATGTTCACGTCCCAGGTACCTTCCCAAAATGGACGGCCGTTTGCTCCTGCCTTTTTTACACTTGAGGGTTTCTGGTTATAGCAGGTGACCATGCAGAACCCTACCTTAGGTGTTTCTTGCAAATGCAAGGCTTACTACAGTCGAAGGAGATTACCAATGAGAAAGATATAGCAGTAAAGTAATAACAGCATGGGATATCTCGAGTAAATCAACATCAAGCCCGGTCCCAGCCGGGTTGGAAATAGCAGGGAGATAATCAGACAAGGAGAGAAGAGAATCACAACGTGTCCAATGGGACACGGCAAGATAGTAACCAGACTATCAATCAACTGAGTCCAAATCCATCCACCCCATTCTAGTGAGCAACGCCGTTTCAAGATATGTTCTTGGTTTTCCATGCAGTAATGCATCCATCAAAGAGATCGGGAACAAAGAGAGACGTAGGAGGAGAGTTTTTGAGAGAGTAAAAGGAAAAGGAGAGACAAGTCAAATCAAATAATGCAGAGATCACGAGGGAACAACCAAGACGCCTTGCCGCTATGCCAGTAAATGTGGACGGCTGAAAACATAATAGCAAAGAAAGTATCATAGCACACGGTGTCTATAATCGTCAATTAGCATACGGTGCAGTATGAAATGAACAAGAGCTCGGGGATACACACAGCTTCAACAAGTCCTCAAGACTGTCAGCACTGCAGCTACGGCCTCGAGGAATGTTGCGCAAGACATCGACAATAGTAGCAAAGACATCGCCGCCACGGTATGCCAACAGAGCAGGGGCCGTGATGTGGTCCATCTCCGCGATATCTTGGTGCATCTTAACGAAGCGGACAGTTGGTTGTCGGCGAGCAATAGTAACAAGACATTCTTCGACGATAGCGCTATCATCAAACTATAAAAACCAAGCAAGTTAGCAATCTCCAACCCCGCAATTACATGCCAAGGAACCAATTTCACACATACCTCGTGGTCATAGATACAGACAACAACAACGGTGTCAGGCGTCACTTTCTCAATAGCATCAAGATACCCCACCGCATCAACGGTCTCAACCGATCCAAACTGTCTCCCCCGAGGACTGGGACGACGATTATTCCGGCCCTGCAGCTCATGCATGCGCGACTGACGCCACTTGCGCAAGAAGCGGGCTTCGTCGTCGTCCTCGCTAGCGGAGGACTGGTCGCCGGGTGTGAGGGGTGCGTCATCACGAGTGGACTTTGAACCGAAGGAGGGGCTGTTGGAGTCTAGCCCCGCGACGCTAAGGAGAGTGCGACGGAAGGACTTCTTTCTTGCGCGTTCGAAAGCCTGGGCATCGGCGATGACGCCCTTGGGACCTGTGTTGGCTTCGTAGACGGTGTTGGGGATGTGGTAGTTTGCGTTTGCGGTGCGGGAAGAGACCATGTCTGCGTCGTCGTCTTCGTCGGAGGAGTCGAGTGTTTGGCGGGAGCGGAGGCGGGAGGAGGGTTCGTCGTCGGAGAAGTGGGGATCGGAGTCGAGGTCGTGATCTTCGGGGTGGGAGGTGAAGCGTGAACGGTTACTGTTCACCAGCTGGTTGAATTCTTCTTGGGCGGACATATTGAAATAGAGGGCAATGGGGCGGGTTTTAGGTGAAAGGGGGGGGCGGTTTAAGTTGGGGGATCTGTCGGACACTGGTATGTTTTGGGATTGACTAGGATCAAGGATCGAGAATATACAGATATTCGAAGATTTGCCCCTGAAGTTGAAACGGAGGTGAGGCTGAGGTTGGAAAGAGATCGTCGTGAAAGGTCGTGGAAGTCATGAAACGGTGAATCCTCCCCCCTTTTTCGTGTTTCAGGCTCCACACTCGAACATCCGAGCCCTAGGGATTGTCAAGGTCAATGCAAATTGTTGGGATTGTTCTTTGTTTTGTCTATTCGGAAATAAATTTATTCTTCCATGTAGCATACTGGATATGTTGTGCATATATCATATATCTTATATCATGAATCCTATATCAAACCTATATCACATACGGGGTATCCTATATCACATATAAATAAAAAGCAAAAAAGGCACGAGGCTATACTTAGCATACTTGGCGCCTTTCAATAGCCTTAAATAGGCTTCCATCGGTCAATCGTATTTATCCCTGTCCTTTCTGAAACGAACCTCTACTACTCCGTAATGGCATTCAGAACAACTCCCGAAACTATGTGACGTGTCTACGGCGAAGTGTCTACTTTAAGGTAGCCCCATTCGACTATGTAGATCTTTCTGTCTCCACCGAATATTCCAGGTCTAGATGTTTCTATTTTCTTTTCTTTTTCGAGGCGCAGTATCGTCGTATTCCTAGTTTAGTTTGATATGCAAGGGCGAAACTTGCCTCCGTAGATCGCGTGGATGCTTATTATAAGGATAACCACAGGGCTGATCCTGTTTGCGTTCTTATTTCGAGTATCGAAGTACCCTCTGACTCTAGGTTTTCCCTCAATTATCGAGTAACTCTCCAGGATCAGTGGTCGATTCTCCTATCCGTCGGTCTTCCGTTGTTTCATGTTTCACTCCAGACGTTCCAAAGGCATCCCAGGTTCGGTGAGCTACATGTTAGGCATCGATGTCCACTTGGGTGAGAATGAGGCTGGATTGATTCAGACAGAAATGTGGACATGCGTGGCATACTCCTAGCCACCCCTCCTAGCTGTGTTGTTCTTCGATATATGTGGAGCCGAGGGTCAAAAATATGTATACTACCTGCTCCATCCTCCCAAATAATTAGCCGGAGGCTACCCGCTCGATGTTGACCCGGCAGGCATGGCACGTTCTACTCTACGGCTGGGCCGAGGTTCAAGACCGTTTATGCATGCCCTGTGTCTGATACTCGCCACGCTCACATGTTGCAGAGAACCAAGCCAGGCAAGAAACAGCATGCCGCCCGACACTATCACCTTGAACCTTGAGTGGGTACAGAAAACCAAGTTGGATCGAGTTTGAAAAAAAGTTCACAAATGGAAATTGGAGCTGCTCGAACCATTATCAAAATCCGACACCAAAAGAACCCCAGAGCAAGAGATTCCAACGCAAAGACAGTTAAGTACAACAGACTCTTTCTTTAGAGACACAAATAATGGGAGATAGGAGAGAAGAGAGAATAAATGGGAGAGAATAATAAGGCAACGCAGAGGTATACATTGGCGAAAGAAATCCTGGCCAGAATGCGGTAACCAGGGTCCTTCTTTTTGACTTCGCCAACAAAATACATGTCGAGACCGATGCGGAGGAAACCCAGAACGAAATGGTAAACTGAAGGGGGGATAAAGAAATTCAAGAAAGAAAAAAAAAAAAAAAAAGAAGGGGGAAAGGGCGTCATCGAGAAGTCAAAGGGGAAATCGAGGGACCAAAGAGGGCGACGGTGGAATTGTCAGATGGATCGACTTGTTCCAGCATTTCCTTCCGCTGGCAGTCACTGTACATCCATCGACAACCCAGGAACTAGTCGTGCTCTCGTCATGTCCAAACAAGTATTGTGTCATCGCTATCGTTTGTTCGCCGGGACAGTATCCCAAAGCGCTCACCTCCACCTCCATCACCTTCCGTATCGCATGCGACGAGGATGTCTGCGCCGCGGGTAGTGTATTATCGTGAGAACCCAAGGGATTCCCCGGTAATTGATTATTATCGTACAATGGCGGAGATTCGAACCATCGAGCCTAAAAAATTTCGAAGAAGAGCATTGCAGAATGATCGACACGGGGTATCTTGCGTTTTGTTTTTGTTGGTTTACCAGGCCCAGACCTTGAGCTGTACGAGAAAAGATCCGAGGTTAGTAGATGCATTTGAATGAATTTCAGGGGGGGATCTTACAAGGGAATCCCAAGATCCAGTGCACAGGCTGATGCCATCATTGCTGACACCGAGGCAGCTCACGCGGTTCTCGTGGCCGCTCAACGAACCAACCTTGTCGCCACGCAGAACATCCCATACCTAAATGATAGATTAGCATTTAATCACATTGTCAGAAGGAAAAAAAAAAGAGGTTCGGCGTACCTTGCACTCGAAATCATCGTAACCTGCGAACAATAACCGGCCAGAGACTGAGAATGCAACGGAAGTGATACCGCACAGAACTTGGTCGCTCTAGAGCAAGAAATTCAAATGTCAGTTTCCGTTAATCAGATCGGTGTCTCGAGTAAAAGATAATTACCTGGTAGGTGTTAAGCTCGCGGTCGGCACGGATGTCGAACAAACGGCAGGAAGTGTCATCGGAACCAGTACCGAAGGCGTTACCGTCGGGGAAGAACTGAACGGCGTTGATGTCGGACTCGTGACCGGCGAATGTCTGGACGGACTTGCCAGTGCGGATATCCCACAGCTTGGCGAAAGCGTCGCATGCACCGGAGACAAAGATGTTCTGGTTGGTCGGGTTGATGCTGATCGACATCACATCACCCAGGTGGTCGGCGAATTCGGTAACCTTGGTTCCAGACTCGATATCCCACAGCATACAGGTCATGTCGCCGGAGGAGGTAATGATACGGCGGTCGTTGATGAAGCGACAGCAGGAGAGATATCCCGAGTGTCCGGAGAGCTCGCGCGCAACACGAGTTGGGCCTTCGCGCGATGAGAGGTTATAAATCGAACAAATATTGTCGAGACCACCGCAAGCAACGTAGTTTCCGCTAGGAGCGTAGGCACAGGTCATGACCCAAGATGAGCGCAAGGGAATCGCATGGACCTTATTTGTGGTGTAGGCATCCCAGATGATGAGCTTTCCGTCCTGTGAAGCCGAAACGAGATGGCGCCGGTCGGTGGACCAGTGCATGGCATAAATCTTGGCGAGGTGACCTTTCAGTGTACGTCGGGGCTTCATTCCAATTCGTGGTAGGGCATCAGTCTGGTTCTGCGCGACTTGACGGACTAGACGGGAAGAGAAAAAGTCAGCAGGGTAATTCAAATCTCCCAGAACAATGCAGCTGACAACATGCTGGGAGAATAAAAAAGAGGAAACCCTCAAAACATAACAATGGGTGATGGGGAGTCGCACGGGAGGTATCGGCCAGCTCATCCTTTCTGCGCTTGATCTTGTCCTTCAACCCCTCGGCTTCGCGCCTGGCCGCAGTGATCTTGGCCTGCATCTGTTCGCCGCTCATATCGGCCATTTTGTCGAAACGGTGCCCCGGAGAAAAACAATTTTGATCGGAAAGATTGGTTGAGGGGAAGGGTAGAGAGGGGGCTGAATGGGCGTGGAGTGAAACAGAAAGAGAATCGAAAGGCGGAAGTTAAAGCGCCTTAGGCTTGGATCATAATATGAGATAACCAAAAGTAAAGAAGAGAAAAAGGGAGGGGGGGAAAGAGCCAACGGGAACAAAAAAGAACAGACCAAGAGAGAGAGGGAGAGGGAGAGGAACAGGGGGTGAAGACCGAGGAGGGAGAGGGAGGTCAGTGTATTACTAGTGGTAATGACCTTGAAATAAGAAGGGTACCTCGACTTGCTATCAATTTATATGAGGCCAGAAGTACCTTCTTGTTTTTTTTTAAAAAAAATGTTGCCAATAAAATCATTATAGTGCTCCATACATTTATTATGCATATGTATGTTGTATGTATTTTGTATACTCCGTAGTCCATCTTCAAATGATTTTCAATCCTCCAAGTTCTTTGTTTCCCCAAATCCCCATAAGTGGAGTTGACTTGCTGTATCTTCTAGTTGGCTACAATACACCCTCAATACACGTATATATCGCTCTCTCCCGGTACCTGATGCCGGTTTCTTTTCTTTTATTGATATTCGAGCCAAAGCTGACGTACATGCGCATACTTAACTAGATATAGAATACTCCATAAGTACATAAGTACTTAGATCCAAGTTTTTTAAAAAAATTACCTCCTGAACCCTCATCTCAGGAGATGAGGAATTGTGGCGTTGAGGATCGGCTAAGTGCTAGGACCACTAGCCCCAAGACTGAAGACACAGTAAATCCAATCAGTTATATAGCGGCAATTTATCTTGATTTGAAGTGTTGAGATTTACCCGCCGGCGGCTCTTGAAAACCACTTGTATGATGACTCTTGACATATCTAGTGCAGTACGCCATACATTCTTCACGAGCTAAATCGACTCCCTTGCGTCCCCCTTTCCGCTTACACAGGTGATTTTTAGGGAGCTAACGGAGATTGGACTACCCTGCATGTCCATTCTAGGTATAATGTCAGTTTATTACTCTATTAAACTCTCTATATGAAGGGAAATACACTATATTCCATACATGAGTCTAAATGCTTACATTGAAACTAATATATCTACTCCGTACGATTCCCCTGATCTCCCTCCGATCCCAAACTCCCAATCTATGCATGCTTAAATAATATACCTACAGGTCCAAGCTTCACACCTGGTGCGTTCGTTCAGGCGCACGGCCCTGTGGCTGACCCATTGTCTTGGTCTGCAATACTCCGTACCTCCGGATCTATTGGCTATCCCAGTGATCCAAATCACTCTTTATTGGATATAATTCTAGAGATATATACAAATGGCGTCTATTGGCGTCAACTAGCGAAGTATACACAGCATTAGCCCTACCCTAGAGCGTGCCATTCGGCTTCAATGCCCGTTCTGGCGGGTCCAACCGTTTCCACCACATTGGTAAGCAGATTTCATCTAAATGAAATAATTGGAGAGCAGGGTTTTTTTTTTCGCCTCCAAAACAATCCGACATCTGCCCACCTGTCTGGGCCCCTTTTCTTTTAACTCCGGCCCAGGAGAATCTTTTGGCTTACTCTTGGCCTCGTCGATCACTATTTGCGATACTACAAAGTCAATTTCATAAAATCGGCTCGACGGAGTAATTTTCTCTGCATGGATTTGGATATAACTTAGTCATCTACGTCGTATACATCGATCTATAGGGACAAGATGCCCTTGTCAATAAATGTCCAAGTGCTCTACACTCTCCAGGCATACATCACAGGTCCTGCCAAGACCTCCACTCAGGATCTTCAATATGGCGTCTGTCATGCAATGCTCATCGGAGATTTGCAATGAGATTACTCCGTAATTACAACATAAATATATATATTAAAGCACGAATGGGCAATTGAGCCAGTATAGTGGGATCCCGAATCTCCTCTCTTGGTAAGAATCCATTGGTCTTAAACCCATGATTACCTGTCGGCCCAGCATGGGTCAATATATACGTACAGTTAGGATCCAAATAATCGACTAGAGGGGTGACCTCGTCTCAGCTCGGGACTGCAAGGCACATGCCAACGCCGAGATGATCGAGATGATCAAAGTCTAATAGATTATTTGAGTCATGACGTGTATTAGAGTTAGAGTCTAGAATATATCTCCACGTACGGCGTTGATATCTCAGCAGTTATATTCTGACTCATTATAAACAAGCACCCACCGGCAAGAAAGCAAATGAATTCGAGTACGAGAGACCGTCAATATGTGTGTCACAGTTCCCACGCCCTCAGCTTCAGGGATGAGCTTCAGCCCAACTCAAGCAGAACCAGTTATAGTTTGTGTCATATCACACGATACAACCGAATCCCTGCACTGAATATTCCGATTCGAGAATGACATGATGGTGATTATCTCAGAAACGGTTCCGAGCCAACCATGGGGCTCTGCTGATGAGGACCAGCTTCTGGCCTGAGCACACACATAGCTACCAGGCTCCGACCTTCTCTTGTTTCTTAAGGAGTGGATGATGCATGTCGATATCATGTGCATTGTGCATCACCTTAGATCTACTCCTGAGTAAATGGCGTATCTCTGGTTACTCAAATGACAGGCGATCGGAAGTCGATGTATGACGAGTGTATATAAGTTTCAAAGGGCACGTTGTCGGTATCGGTATGAGACTATGGGTATAGGTCCAACTCGCAGTTTTAACTCCTTACACAGGAGCGTACCGACGGTCTGATAAAAAAAAATGTCTGAAAGGTAGTTGTACTCGCCAACTATGAAATAAAGAATTTGCATATCAACGGGTGTTGGAAGACATGTCACAAAGGATTCCGGACTGTGCATTGTATCCAAGGGGGAAATTGAAAGCCTAATGCAGCCCACTTGTTGAGATCGGGAAATTCCTATGATTATTTTGCATGAGGACATCTTGCAATGCCGTAGAGTGAATGCCTTCCATGCATTAAAGGCTTACACGGTTTATGCATCTTACCACCTTTGTATCCACTTAAGAAGACATCCCAAAAGACGTGACAAGGCCGCATAGTTATGTATAATTAGTATTTTTGTAAACATATCTTTGAGCTGCTACCCTACAACAGACCTGCCTCTATCCTTGTTGCTGTACTTCGGCAATAAAGTCCGGCTTGTTTGTAGGAAAGGGAGTTTATACGATGAATCGAGCTGTCTCCTTTCTATAAAAAAAACAATCAGAACGAAGATGAATGTACGGAGTATGCATAAGACACAAGTGGGTCTCGCTAGTATTACTCCATAGAAGACCTCCCATAGTGCATACAAGCACTTTTGTAAATCTAACCTTCCAAGACCCCTTGCTGATGGTAGACTGACTACCTGTTCAATGGATTTATTATCCTGAAATCTGTTAATGTGGCTCAGCACTAAATGCCAAGGACCTTTAGAGCCGAGCTAGTTGATGGGGGCTGGGCTTGAGGCAGATATCTACAATGTTATTCCTACCCTAACTAATGGATATAGCCACTATTGGTTGCTAGTTTTCCTCAGGCACTCCTGGGATGAAACGAACAAACTTGAAACCCCAGAAGGTTCGAGGTCCAAACAGGTGGATATGGGATATGGATTTCCGGCAGTTCGCAGGTGTTCTAATCTTAGTTCGTCCGTGCGCACAGTCGCAAGCGCGTGTAAACCCTGTCAAGATGTGATAGAGGCACTTAAGGCCAATGCTATCACTTGTGCGGGGATATTCGATTGGTCCTCGCCAAGTTGCTGACAATTGTCTGTTGCTAAGTTTAAACACATTCTCAAAATAAACTACCCTGTTGAGGGCTGATGAAACGACGTCAGGGAGTATCAAAAAGGTCCACTCGCAATATTACACATTATAGGGTGCAGGCAACAGGGGTTAGAAGGTCCAGGCCAAACGGAATATTTTGAAGATTCTGTTTCACGGGCCGTTTCCACGAAACCTATTTAGACTATTCAAAATGGTTCATTTATATATGTTGTAGGATCAATAGTGACGGAACGTATATCATACTTTGAAGATGTGCAATGAGTAGCTTCAACATACAATATAAATTTAGATTCTCTCTTTGATTTTAAGACTCGGCCATCTAGTCTTTTTGGGCTGTAGACGTTGATGAAATTTAGTTTGTAACACAACTCATTTCTGGTGTCGAATCACACTTGTGATGAGAATTCTAGGGATAGCAACCAACTATAACCGGCCTGCTTCATCTGTGGGGAATTCGGTCTGAACTTCTTCGAGTTAGGACAAAAGACCGAAGCTATTCAAATAGCTCATCGGGATCATTGGTGGGTTGCAATGGTCACTGCTCAAGATCTACAGCCTCCGCTTGTGGTGCCGTCTGTAATATCAAGCGGCATAATCTAGAGGAATTGGCAACGATCGTCTCTCGAGGCATACATATAATATATGTTGTGCATAGTCTGGCCTGACAGAAATCAACCGATCCTGTGGCAAGGATGTAATGGTATGCGAAGCAGATTTTGATCTTTATCAAGTGGCAACTCCGAGGTCGGTACCCAATGTGACAAGAGGGGGTCGAGGACAGATGAAGATGAAGATATTTGCAAAATAGGGAAAATACGATAAAATAAGAGGGAAAAAAAAGAATATAATTATACAAAAATCCCGATAAATTAGTAAAAACAATATAAGGGTAAAAAAGGGAGAAGAAAGGGTACCAACCCCCAAGGTGGCGCCAAAATACTTGTCGGGTACAACCCATATTTGGTAATATTAAGGAGGCACCTGACGCCCTCTCCGCTTTTGCCTTCGCAAAAGCCTTCCTCTTCTCCTCCCCCCTCCATCGACAATCATCATATCTATCGAATACTGCCATAGACGCATCTATCGTCTTGCATATTGCATTTGGTCTCTCTTTCATTTCTCCTTTCCTTAAAAAAAAGTCTCAACCTCTGAGTCTTTGAGTCTGAGTCTGAGTCTGAGTCTGACTCTTGGTTACCCTTTCGCCCCCTTCTGGTCATTGGGTATTTCATCTCTCCGACATCCCAAAAACTCCCATCACCTCTTCATTCACCTGATGTCTTTGGATTGATCCTCTCAGCGCGAGTTCCTGATCCGCAGTGGGCATCCTCCTATCTGCGCTGAATTATACAACATCGTCAAGGTCCTCATCTTTTTTGCATTTGATCCATTCCTGGATGGTATCTTGCATCGATCGATACTACATTTGACCTCTCGCTTTTTCATCACATTCCCGTTGTCATTCATTCGTCATGCGGGAAGTCAATTTTAGTATTCCCAATGTGAATAAGGCCTCGGTCAACATCACCACCACCCTCTATGACCGTCGTGCCCTTGATTGCACATCGACTTTGCCGCTCATAAACTCTCTCAACCATCTTGCATACCTCACAACCTCGTCCGCTCGGATTCGAGATATCCTCACCGTCGATGGCGGCATCGAGCGACTGATATGCATCCTCAAAGAAGGTCGGAGCAATGATTTATTAGAAATGTGGAAATGGAGCCTCGCCTTCCAATGTGTTGTCAATATCGGTGTTCGGGGCTCTGAGAGTGTGAGGACAAGAGTGGTGGAAGCAGACATGGTCCCTGTCATTGCCACCTTTCTGAACAACTACATTAAAGTGGTAGATAAGGTGCGGTCGCGCAACGATCTCGAATCCGAGAAGCAGGCGTCTTCTAGGCAGTCAAAGCCCAGCGGCAACCGAGATATCCCTATGGATGCAGATACCCAGACCGAGTCACACCCACAGGTCGAATTGCACCAACCGCGTCGACAAGCCCCTCCGCCGAGTATCGAAATTCCCCAGCCGTTCTACCAAGACAGCCAACCGGCCGACTCCGATGCCATGGATATCACATCTCCTCCTCGTGCGCCTATGACATCCCCCCGGAGCGTAGTACATTTGGCCAAGAAGCCCATAACCACCGGTTGAACGATGGGCGGTTCCCACGTGCTAGCAATCGGCTGCGGTCAATGCAACCTCTTGCTACAGCAGTTCCCTCAATGGACACCACCGACGGATTTGGATTACGTCCCGTGCGTGACGCCGAGCGTCTTCCTAGCATGCTCCCCGGTCTGCAGACTGGGATCGTCTCGCAGCCCGACTCTCCGACCACCCCAAGTGGCCCCCTCCACTCACAACCTCGCACCCTTCCCCAAACTATTGCCGCCCGTCAACGTCCCTTGATCCGCCAGCAGCAGTCGGCGTCCGGTGAATCGGATGATGCCAACGGCGAAGATTCGACCATGGGAGATGATAGCGCCATGGGACAGCCCGCTGAAACCATTGTTGGACTCCCTAACCGGATGGAACTTGACGGTGTCAACGAGCGGGAAACAACGATGCTAGAAGGTGTCTCTAACACCCATGATCTGACCGTCAATGATCCCTCTGAGGAAGACGGCCCGGAGGTGGAGACTTTCAACATCACTCATCGTTCGACTGTCGACGGCAGCATCATTAATAACGGCAACACACAGGCCAACGGCGGACTCGGTCTTTCTCCTACCCAAGCCACCAACAATCCTAATTCTCCTACTCTCCCTGCTAGCCCCTACGCCATGTACCTTCGTGACCGTCCTGCAGCCCAGGGAGTTTTGACAACCATGCCTCGTGACGAGGATGTCTTGATGTCCCTCCAGCTGCTAGCATATGTCTCTAAATACTGCTACCTCCGATCATATTTCCAATCATCCCACCTTGTCCCCAAGTTGAACATTGATCGTGAACTCCATCTTTTGGATGAGAACGCCGAACCCTCTTCACCAATTGATACTTGTGAGGAGGAAGACGAGTACTTGATTCCCGACGATTTCAACATCTTCCCCCTGGTGGAGAAGTTTACTGTTCGACATCACACCAAGGACATGCAATACTGGGCATGCGTGGTCATGAGAAATCTCTGCCGTAAGGATGAGGCGAGAGGTGGCATCCGCCAATGCGCCTATTACAAGTGTGGCAAGTGGGAAGAGTTCCAGCGTCAGTTCGCCAAATGTCGGCGTTGCCGTCGCACCAAATACTGCAGCAAAGATTGCCAGAAATCCGCCTGGGTATACCACCGGCACTGGTGCCATACGACCCCTTGATACGACCCGATGACCCCATAGGGGTTTCATTTTGATTTCCATGCATACCGACTCGCATAGCATCATATCCGTCTTGCGTCTCCATTCCATTCTGTTCCAAGGTTTCTCTCATGCATGGCATTTCAGAATCTGGCGGCGTTTCCATTTCGACCCGAAGATACCTTTTACATGTCTAGCCTTTTCATATTCCCTTTCTCGCACAGCTTGTCTTCATCTTGGTTCATTGACGTGGGGTCGTCATTTGCAAGCCCTTTTTTCATTGCTCATATCCACATTTGACCATTTATCATGACTGTATATCTGATTCCAACCACCTCATCAGGGGCAATACTCCCTTTTGCCTTTTGTTTATTTTTTTGGGCCATTATGTTTTCTCTCATAACTAATTGCGCTGTCACGAGTTTCCTATGTCAGTAGATGGGCACCATTGCCGACAACTTGGGCCGTGTTATGGTCATCTGGAGCATTTCATTCTGGTGCACATCCCATCTATGATTCTGATTTATGTCCGGGGGACCTGTTTTTCCTGTGTTTGCACTATGCCACAACGGCACCGGCGTTTTACAATTTATTCCCAGTCTCACGAATGACTCTGTTTACATCTACTCAATGATCCGTAAGCTACATGTGGTTGGTAATCCAGGCTTAGCAGGGCGCCAAATATTGAAGTTCTCTGATCCTATCCCCACCCTCACTTCTCTTTAGTAAACCCATATGTAGCCTCCAATCTTGACATAAGATGTTCATGCGCCGTCAAAGGTCTCTTCCCAGGCACTAAATGGCCTGCCCCACCCCCAAACCCAACCTTCCCATCAGCAGAAACACCCCCAGTCCGCTCACGATGCGCAGCAACAATTGCACTAGGAACAGGAACCAACTCCGTCTCATCAACAGGGTGACAGAAATAAACCAGCGTATACCGATCTTGCGGATTCGGGCTCCGCTGCTCAGCAAGCGGGAAAACAACACGGTGCACCGTCGACTTCAGCAGTCCATCCGTCCAGTAACTCAGCAAATCGCCGATATTCACCAAGATCGGCGGGAACGGATATCCCTCGGCCTCGGCCGCGGTGCCGGGCACGATGGGAACGGGCGCCCAGCTGCCTTCCGGAGTTAGGATCTCTAGACCTGGCTGGCCGGGCCGCTGGAAGAGAAGTGTGATGCTGCCGTAGTCGGAGTGCGCACCGGCTCGCACGTCCTTGTCGTGCTTGTAGGATGCGGTTTCCGCTGAGAAGATTGATGGGTACCACAGGTACCGTAGGATACTTCCTGTCGGACCTGTGCTTGGGTCGTGGCGGGTTGTGAAGAAGTCTTCTTGGATCTGGATTGGGTGGTTAGTATACATTGTATATTTTTGTGACCATGCCACTGGTGGCGGTTGTGACAGGTGTATATATATGAATGAGTTACATACCTCTAGACCTAGAGCTAGTAGAGTCAGGATTCGGGTGCAGGTTTTGTTGCAGATCTCGGCAAAGCCATTGATCTCTGCTTCGTGGGGGGTTAGTGACGGTGGCAGAGGCTGTTGGGCTTTGCCGTCTTTGAAGTCGCCGAAGTTCATGGCTCTGGTTGGGTGGTTAGTTCATGGTTGTAAGCACTTCAAGGCTTGTAGATATGGATATTTCATACTCTTTGAAGTCTCCAGTCTATTTACCATATCCGGTGTTAGTCTTCGTACTCCATGCCAGGGAATTGGTGAGTCAGAGCCATTACTTACCCGCTGATGCTCGGGGTCGAGGGTTTCTGTATGCATTCCGGACCAGCCATGGTTCTATAGATGTTGGCGTTAGATCAAATGTGTTTGTTCGTCTCCTTCCAAGTCTTGTACGAACATTAGGCTGGATCCGGCATATCTCTTTCTCCTCTGCGGGAGACGAAAAGAACTTCTTTGACTATAGGGATGGTTAGATGCTGTACATATATGGGTATTAGTTGAAGTGTATGTCTTACCAATCCGAACCCACGGTCCACATCCTCCACGGTGAAGTCGGTGCCTTTGCTGTTGACATATAGGAAGCCATACTTTGCAGCGGCATCCAGCATGGCCTTCCCAACGGCGGGGTCATGCGGATTAGAGATGTCAATGACAGGAAGCTCAATTGGGACTGTGGTATCTGCCATTTTGGAGAGTAGGTATGTAATATGTAGGAATGGGATTTTCGGAAGTTAGGAGTTAAAGATTGGAGTGAATATATAGTTGAGGATGGGGTTGAAACTACTGTTAGTGCCCATGTGATTGGGCCTATCGTGTATCCTAATACGCGTATCCATCCATGGATATCAATATCGCGATAATCAAATAGGGTCCAACCAATCTAATTAGTCATTTAATAGCCGGCCCCAGTGCTTTTGGGGTTAGTTCCGGACTCAGGCGATATCCGACTTGAATGGACCTTTGGACTGTCATTTCCCCCACTTATACATCTGCTCGGGTGAGCTTCGGGTGAGTTTTGATTTAGATATTTAGTAAGAAGATAACCACATAGGTACAAACCTACATGTAGGCATAGCTATAATTGTTCGGAACATTTACTATAGACTCCATAATACATTGTGGATTTGTGGATTTGTGGGACTGTTTTGTTTCTATTTAAACACATATTGGAGATGACTTCATTATAAGTTGTACATTCTTCTATAGAACACAGATAAACAGGTACCTGAGTTCAAGTAGAGCTGAGCATAGAATAACCAAATTCAAATACAGATCAAACAAAATACAAAAACTCCCTAATTCCCAAACAGAAGTGGTTGAAACAAGCGAACAAACTGATGTGATATGCATTAAAGGCAAAAAAACAGAAGGGCCAACTCCAACTCCGCCTTCCCCCCCTCGTGATCTCCCTCTCCCCCATTCCGAAAACCCAAACAATTCCAGCTCCGATTCATCATATTCCTAACGGAGCTTTCGATCTGCTCTTATCTTAGATTTAACCTCTCGTTCCCCACCTTCGGGCTTTGATGCCCGGCGTTGCCGTGCTTTCAGCCCGTGACAGACAGCTCCAGAACCATGCCGAGTACGCAATGCCACAGCTCCACAATCCGCAATCGCATCAGCTAACCTTCTATTTCCATGACTAGTCCGTCCTCTCGATGAATGGGTCATCGGCCGCACCCAGTCCCTGCCCCTCTCCGCGTTGAAGGGCGCCGTTGTCGGCATCGATGCGTCCCACTACATCAACCAACACCTCGTGAACCAGTCAACCCGGGAAGCGCTGCTAGGCGCACTAGGCGGATTCCCGTTCGCCCTGAGGACTAACATCGAGAAGGAATTGCAGACTTTCAAGAACCTAGGAGTCGCTACCATCTTCGTCTTCAATGGATTGGATTTCGGCAAGAAAGAGCACCGCACCCAGCCCGCAGCGTCGCGTTCATTCGAACAAGCTTGGGAACTTTACGACCAGCAACAAGCAGACCAGGTGGTTGATGCCTTCAGCAGTGCTGGTATGATATCCCACTATCTTTATTATGAACTCTCCCCAGTCACGGACCCGTCGAGCCCTTATCGTTACTATTTCGCTCAGCGAAGCTTCCAATTACCCGCTGACACAACCAAACCCTCAGGCACCCCGCCCCCGGAGACCCTATTCAAGTTCCTGCAACGAATTTTGGCCCAGAACGGAGTGGAATTCATCGTAGCGCCATACAGCGCCGCAGCTCAGGTGAGTACCTTCCCCCATGCGACATGGTTGGATTGTCCAGTGCTAACCAACTTCTCCGAACAGCTCTCCTACCTCGCCCGTGGTAGCAACCCTGTGGTCGACGCTGTTTTTGCACCCTCAGAAGCCCTCTTGTTTGACCTTGACAAGCTGGTCACCCGTATCGACACCGAGCCCGCGCAATTCTTCTGGATCACGAAGCAAACTTGCCAGGAGGAGCTGGGTCGGCTTTCCAATGAACAATTCCTGGACTTCTGCTTACTACTAGGATCCCCCTTCCTTCGTTCCTTCCCACTTTTCGAGAACCCTGCTTACCCCGGCAAAAGCCCCACCATTCGTGATGCGTTGCCGATGTTCAACGCAGCCGGACGCAGTGCATTGACACTTTGCGCCCAATTTGAAGAGGATCGCCGTATGCAGGAGCTTCAATACGCGGATCTGTATAAGCGAGCGTATATGATTGTGAAGCACCATGTCTACATTGACGTGGAAGGTCGAGTCGGTCCTATGGATCCAGAGAATACCTCGTCGGATATGCATGAGCTTATTGGGCAGCGCCTCCCGGAGGAGCTGTACTTTTATCTTTCTAAAGGTATCATTGGAGCCGATGTACCTAACTTCCTCACAACTGGCGAAGTTCGCATCTCGCTACCGCTGGGCACCGAGGACACCGAGATTTACCGCCAGCTCGTGGGTGAAATTTTGACACCTGTCCGCACTCAGTCTATTTGCCTTCTAGCAAACTCGCTTCATCGATTCTACCAAACGAAAGCCATTCGGATCCGTCCGTGGTTCGATGAGAACTCGGAGCGGTCAATCAGCCTTAAGGGTATCCCATCAGTCAAGGACACCATCCACCCCTGGAAGATCCACGGAGAACAATTCCCTGAAAGTATCAAGAAGCTCCAGGCGCCGCGTGGATCCTTTAAGTTTGCCGTCCAGAGCTTAACCGACTCCGACTTTGTGTCCAAGTCATTTGCTAATAAAGAAACACCTGTAAGTTTTGCTAATAGATTTGATGTTGCTTTCGATAACTAACAGCTTCCGAAGGTCCTTTCATCGCAAGAGGATATCTTATCTAATGTTACGTGGCGCTTCCTGCAACTCCGTGGATACGTCGACGACAAGCACACACTCACTCCTTGGGGCCAGTGTTTAGTCCAGGCCTTATCAGCTATCGATCCTGTGGACAACCTCGAGGAATCTATATTCATTGCCATTGAGATGATTCGTTTGGGCCTCCTCAACACCAAGAGCTGGTTTTCACATGTATCTGGCGGTCCCATGAGAGGGTCCGAAGATGACAAGACCTTCAATATGCTGGTTTCGCGTGTTGCATGCGTTGCCAAGCTTCAGCACAAGAGCATTGGATATTCTGGACCTCTCAGTCGGCAACTTCTTTGCTACCGCTCTTTGATTTCCGAAGTGCGCTCTGCCCTGAGGAATCTGATTGAGGTTGTACTGGCTGGTCTGCTGCTCAGTGGTGACGCTGATCGGGACCGCAATGACTGGACTGAGATGGCTATCAAGTATGTTCCTTCTAGACTGCTTATGCTGTATCTGGATTGTTGTTCTAACCTATTATTCTAGGCTTCCCTTTATTGATGATAACGACTGTGGACTTGGAATTGCGGTTCGGACCTACCTCGACGACCTACCCCTACAGGCAAATCCGACCTCGCCTGAGGCTCGATCGGATGTGAAGGCGAAGGGTAAGGAATGGTTCCAACACAGCGAGAGCTTTATTGGAAACTTGGATTTGGCATTCAAGCTGTGGGATGCGGTTCGTATTGCCTGATTTCGAATCTTGACCATGACTATGACCAAAAGCTGATTATCAAGATAGGTTTACGCAGGCACACAGAGTACGGGCAAGGAGTTCAAGGAAGCAAAGTTCTGGGAAGACGCAAACAAATGGCTGGCAGAGAGACGATGAGATGGGCAAACTTTGCCAACGAAACAAATCAACCACCGCGGGGATTTTGGGTTAACAAGCGCAGCTTGCAATTGAAGTTTATGCCAACACCTCCAATATTCCCGAAGGAAATGCGATACTGGCAATTCTCCAGTGTATTACTAACTACCCAGGTAGCAACAGAGACAAAACAAATCAAGAAAATGAACAAGAAACTCGATATTACCCAAAAGGAGCATAATTAAAAACATACATATGTAGCATAGCGGAAGTACTTATAGTATTATCCAAGGGATGTCATGTCGTATGATAGATGTCAGCCTTGGAAGTAGATGGATCTGCGGAGCTGTGGAGTCACCAAGTGGCCTCTTCGGCTTTGTTTGTCATCGCCCCCGAGCTCCAACTCCGTCATCCAATTTCTTTTGTGAACTCATACTTTCCCCGAAAGTATACTCACACCTAAATCCATATACACAATGGCACGCTTGAGCTTCCTGCTCCTCGGAGCCCTTTCAACCCTCAGCGGCTTCGCCACTGCAAGCAACTCCGCAGTGAAAGACCTAATCCCCACCAACTTCGACGAAGTCGTCCTGGCCGGCAAGCCTGCGCTGGTCGAATTCTTCGCCCCATGGTGCGGCCACTGCAAGACCCTCGCCCCAGTTTACGAGGAGCTTGCGCAGGTCTTCGCCTTCGCCGAAGACAAGGTCACCATCGCCAAGGTTGACGCCGATGAGAACCGCTCGCTGGGCAAGCGCTTCGGTATCCAGGGCTTCCCTACTGTCAAGTGGTTCGATGGAAAGAGCGACAAGCCCGAGGAGTACAACGGTGGCCGTGATCTCGAGAGTCTGACCGCATTCGTCACCGAGAAGACCGGCATCAAGCCTCGTAGCGCTAGCGCGCAGAAGGTGGTCAGCAACGTTGAGATGCTGAACGATGCTTCTTTCAAGACTGTTGTTGGTGGAGACAAGGATGTGCTGGTTGCTTTCACTGCGCCGTGGTGTGGACGTGAGTTGATTTCCCCCAATTGAGTTGCCTCTGGTCTGGTTTGCTAATTGTTCGTCCTTCGTTTAGACTGCAAGACCCTCGCTCCTACCTGGGAAACCCTCGCCAACGACTTCGCCCTCGAGTCCAACGTCGTTATCGCTAAGGTTGACGCCGAAGCTGAGAACTCCCGTGCCTTGAGCAAGGAGCAGGGTATCACCGGATTCCCTACCATTAAGTTCTTCCCCAAGGGCTCCACCGAGGCCGTGCCTTACTCCGGCGCGCGCTCCGAGGAGGCCTTTGTTAAGTTCATCAACGAGAAGGCTGGTACCCACCGTGCCGTCGGTGGTGGCCTTGACAGCTTGGCTGGAACCATCGCCGTTCTGGACGAGATTGTTACTGAGAATGTCGCCGCACAGAAGTTCGACAAGCTCGTGACTGAGGTTAAGAAGGCCGCCAAGGGTCTGCCCGACAAGTACGCTGAGTACTATGTCAAGGCCGCCGAGAAGTTGAGCAAGAACGAAGGCTATGCTGTTAAGGAGCTCACTCGTCTCCGCAAGATCCTGGCCAAGGGTGGCTCTGCCCCTGAGAAGTTGGATGATATCCTCTCTCGCAGCAACATCCTCCAACGCTTTGTTGGCCAGGATAAGCGCGATGAGCTTTAAGTGCTTCTTATTTTTGGATGTTTGTACTGTTCCTCTTGGATTATTGGCTTAAAGCCCTAGTCACTGCGGTTCTACATGGAGGACGGGGACTGCTACAAACCATGGATTCAATGGAAATGTATTGAATTGTATACGAAAATATTGGCTTGATGCTGTATATTGTACGAATTGAGTACCAACTGCGAGGCTTATGCTTTCAAAAACGCCTATGTGATATATGAACTAGATCTACGCAACTGAATAAAGAAATATAGTTCTTCTATACGAGCATCCTCGTTTGGTTGTAGGGTATCTATGAAATCGTAAAAGCATAAGTATCAGAACCAGACACAGGCCAGTTACATGGCCATTTGATGCACAACCCCAGAAAGCATCATGCATGCCATAAGTAAAGTATGTGTTGGGTTATTGGTACAGGGGTTCAGCAGAGCTGGACAGCCCAAAAATGCAGCGCTCATTGCTCTCCCGCCAAAAACGCCACGTGAAAAAAAAGAATGCAGAATGCACAAAGTCGGACTATGGGTATGGCGTGCGTATTTATTTTGCCTGACTCGGGGCGCCGGCACCAGAAGATGCAACTAGAGACGCCTCTAGCTCATCAAGCCGCTTGGTCATGTCATCCACTGCGTATGAACAAAGGTTAGTATGCAGTCGCAGGTATGTGATGGTGGAGGATGATTGTGGCGACTCACATTTCCCGAACATCTCCGTAGAAACATTGTCAAATTTGCTTTGGAGTTCATTGAGCAGATCGTCCACGGCTGCGGTAAGCTGGCCTTGGGCATCGGAGTTCTGGGGATATTTAGTTGGTAAGGGCGATAAGTGGGGGTTGAGGCTTGTGGGGGTATGTACCGGTTGGGATAGGAGAGACTCCCCCTCTGGTAGAGGAGAGAGCTTGTCCGGAGAAGGAGATTTGGAATCGTCGACCATTGTGAGACTATGCAATCGCTATACAGACTGTTTGGGGCATCTACAGACAGAGAGACAGTTGACAGGGCGGTGGACTCGATAAGGGATCGGGTCATGTGTATTTCCGGGATATTGCTATGTGCGGACTAGCGTGGTCTTATCGGTGGCGCTAGCCTGATCAGGACTGGCGCGATTTCAAAAAAATCCCGTGGATTCTCTGATGCGGGTTTGATAGCAAGTTGCTTTCCTCTTTTCCAATTCCTTTCACATTACAAAAAATACAAATTTGTCTTTGTATTTTAACACAAAGCAACAATGGTCAAGCGCAGCAAGTTACTCCAGGCTCTCGATGCCCACAAGGGCCGCGACTTCGACGCCGAGAAGCAGAAGAAATTGATCAAGGCCGCGGAAAAAAGAAGGCGCAGAAGGCTGCTGCTGCCGCCCCCGAGGACAAGATCGTGGAGGAGGAGAAGAAGGAGGAGGAGGAAGAGAAGGCCGCCAGCTCTGACGCCGAAGAGGAAGAAGAGGAAGAGGTCGACCAGGACGAGGAGATGGAAGATGAGGAGGAAGAGGAAGAAGACATCCCGCTCTCCGACCTCGAAGAAGACGAGCGTGAAGATGTCGTTCCCCACCAACGTTTGACAATCAACAACTCTGCTGCTATCCTCTCCGCCCTCAAGCGCATTTCCTTCATCGGCCCCAACACCCCATTCTCAGAGCACAACTCCATAGTCTCGAAAGAGCCAATTGAGGTCGAAGACGCCAATGACGATCTGAACCGTGAATTGGCCTTCTACAAGGTCTGCCAGGCTGCTGCTACCCAGGCCCGTGGCCTGCTGAAGAAGGAAGGAATTCCCTTCACGCGGCCAGGCGATTACTTCGCGGAGATGGTGAAGAACGATGAGCACATGAGCTTGATCAAGAAGAAGCTTTACGAGGAGGCTGCTAGCAAGAAGGCTTCTGCTGAGGCGCGCCGCCAGCGTGATCTTAAGAAGTTCGGAAAGCAGGTCCAGAACTCCAAGTTGCAGCAGAGACACAAGGAGAAGCGCGAGATGTTGGAGAAGATCAACACCCTCAAGAAGAGTATGTCTCTGCTTTGTTTTACCCCTGATATCTTTCTATGAGTTTCGCGGTCGCTAACCTGATTTTTCCACACAGAGCGCAAGGCTGACAGCTCTGCCCCTACCGATGACGCCAATGATATGTTCGACGTTGCTATTGATGAGGCTACTCAGCCCGAGAAGAAGCGTAGCCGTGGTGATGGCCCCGGTGGCTCGAAGCGCCAGAAGAAGGACGCCAAGTTCGGATTCGGAGGCAAGAAGCGTCATGCTAAGAGCGGTGATGCCATGTCCAGTGGTGATCTGAGCAACTTCTCCGCTAAGAAGATGAAGGCTGGCGCAAAGCGACCCGGCAAGAGCAAGAGAGTCCAAGCCAAGGGACGCAACTAATCGTTTTAACGTGATGGGTTATGTTGTGACATTGCATTTGTATCGTGCATCATGTAATTATTTTTTCTCGCTTGGGTCTGGATAACCAAAAAATGGCAGTTTTGATTTATTATCTCTATAATTTGCGAATGTGAGACTTCGTAGCTATAGCCGAATTATCAAAGCGACACGAGGTGAGCTCTAAGAATGAAAAGGTCCGAGTTGTAGGTATTATATGCCAACTACATACCTAGGTGTTGGACATATAATGCAAGATATGATGATACATAGTACATTGAATTGGGTTGATATTACAGATAGCACGTCTATATACAAATGCTATATCAATTTAGCGACTCTGTAGTAGTCTATTGAGCTGCTTCAGCTTCAGCCTTGGCAGCTCTCTTCTCCTCCCACTCTGTCAGGAACTTCTCCACCTTCGGTCCCCAGACCTCTTCGCCGGCGTCAAGGTCCTTGTACTCCAGAACCTTGTCGGGGGAGAGTTCATAATCACCTTGACGACTGCGCACTAGCTCGCTCATCAGAGCACAGCTACCAACGGCTTTACCCAGATCATGTGCCAGCGAGCGGACATAGAAGCCCGACGTAACAGTCATCTTGATCTTCACCGCCGGAGGCTGGGGCTTAGGCTCCTCTGTAGGAACAACAGGGACCTCTGTGGTAGCGGGTTCAGGGGCAGTAGGCTCAGGTGCAGCAGCAGCAGGTGCCGCCTCGGTCTCGGACACCTTTTGCTTCTTAGTAGCCTCCGCACTATCATCCTTCACCTCGTCCGCCGGGGGTGGCGACTTCCGCTTGGTAGAAGAAGCTTCGGGAACTTGGGTAGTAGCGTCGCCCTCGGCGGCTGGCTCAGGTGCGGAAGCTTCCTGATCAAGAAGCTTCTCAGCGACAGCCTTCTCATCACCAGTCATCTCCTCTTCTGGCCATTTGTACTCATGTGTGCCAGGCTCGTACCACTCCATAATCTCCATGTTCAAGACCTCAACAGGCCGGTGCTTAATCTCAATCGGCGGGACCTTGCCCTCGCGCGCATACTCGTACAACTTCTTTCCATTGACCCGCAAAGCAGAGAAAATGGGCGGCTTCTGCATGATATTCCCACGGAACTGTTCGAGCGCCTTCTCGACTGCCTCGCGCGTGATATGTTCGTAGGGCGCGCGACGCACGATTTTTCCAAGGCGGTCGTAGGTATCCGTCTCGGCGCCGAAGGTCACAATGGTCTCGTAGCTCTTGGTGCAGGCCAGGAAATCCTGGAGGGACTTTGTACCCTTTCCAATTCCGGTGATGAGCACGCCTGTCGCGAGCGGGTCTAGGGTTCCGCCGTGGCCGATCTTCACGTCGAGGCGTTGGTGGCGACGGCGTTTGCGCTGGAATTGGCTCTCACGGTCGCGGCGGGCGCGTTCCTCTTCTAGCCATGGTCTGAATGTGTTAGAGGGGTTGAAGTGTTTTTGCAAAGTGCGGATCACGTCGGCGGAGGTTACGCCTTGCGGTTTGTGGACGGCTGTTGGAGAAGTTAGATCGAGGTCTTTGCTTTAGGAGGAGTCACGCTCACCGAATACGCCTTCGAGGATCTTCTCGCCAGACATTGTGGTGCGAAAAAGGCGAAAACCTGGAGGGAATGGCATCTGGAGAGATTGGGGTCGAACCAAAGTGGAAAAAATGTTATTTTGGTAGAGATCTGGCTCCCGCCTTTACGGCAGTTCTTTGGGATAAGGCGATTGCCCTTTGGTTAAGATATAATCGCTATATAGGGGTTTAGATCGTCAATGGGAATATCTATAGAGATTACAGTACTATACAGAGGAAAGACCTCAGTGTTATGTATTTTAATGTCCTTCTAAATGCCTTTTTTAATGTTCTTTTTGTTTTTTGGTCTTATAGTTGGGATAATAGCCCTACAACATAGCGTGAAAGCCTATATGATAATTAAATTTCCATTTAATAATTAAGGCAATCCAGGACACCATTGTCGTGATAGTCTTCTTTGTACTATGCTAACTACATAGTTAACTATGTATACATATGTAGTAATTGATAGTTCTTACAGGAATAGTTTGATTCTATACAGTTGCCCAGGTGGACCTGGAAGGTTGAATTCCATCTTATATAATCATGCATTCCCGGTAAATCAGGCAGCCACCTGTAATTAATTGCGGGTAACTCGTTGTAACTCATTGTATCTGTAATTTACTGGTCGATGACTTCGACTGTTGACAACTACAAGATTCCATGCCAGTTCACTTTCTTCTCGTTCTTATATCCTCAGTTACTTAACCTCACCTACCTCTTACCACCTCTACATACATTATCCTCAACACCCACCATGCCAATTCCACCATGACCTCCCGCGAAGAAACCGTCCTAGCTCCCACCGATCCCTCTATTACCGATGAGAATGATTGGTGGGAGTTTGGCCTGACCGATGTGAAGGTCCTAAAGCCTGGGAAGATGCTGTATGCAAATCTACTGGATGCCACCGAACAGAACCCAGTGCAAGTTATCGGCTGCTTAGAGCCGCTTCGTGAGGATCAGGAACACTTAAGTGCGTATCGATGCAGTTACGAGCCCGTTATCAATGCACGTTTATCAAGCAGCTTGCTGACCAGTCACTCGCTCAATAGTACTCAACCCGGAAAACCCTCCTAGGCGCATTATTATCGACGAAGTTACACACTATGCCTACGGTCAAACTGAAGATAAGAGCATTGAGCTCTGGGTTGCTGGTAAGGCGGGCTGGTACAACATCATTTCGCCCGCCAAGGGTTTCACACCCACCTACAATCGCATGGTTCAGGCCATCGACATGCTGTATTTCCTAGTTGATAAACATCAGCAAGGAAAGAAACAGATCAATCCCTCTTTTAGGAGTCTCTGTGAACAAGTGAGTCTTTCGATTCTGGGGTACACGCTATACAAACCGAGTCCTAATATGCATCCACCCTTAGTACACTTACCACACATATGGCTCGTGTGAGACTCGAGAACAGTCAGCTGAGGTCTTTGCGACACACGCCCCCTTCTTGCTTCGGTGCATGATCCAAGGGGATGCAGATGTGGAATGGAAGAAAACGAACGTCTTCGTCCACCTGCGTCGCCAATTTCATGTAAGTAAAGAGGCGCCCTCCTTGTGGCATACATGTACTGATAATAAGCCTAGGATGATTATATTAGGCTGATGGAAGAACTTTCGCCCTCCGAGGAAAGCGAAAGCGAGCCCCAAGAAGAACCAGAAGTGACAACTCCTCGACACCAGCCTGTGGCAATCTCAAAATCGCAAGCCGATGCCATTTACCAGTTGCTCAAGGACCTCAGAGAAGAAGGTCACTTGGCAAAGCGTCGCCTGCATATTGACCTCCTGGGAGAACGTTTGGCAGAACGATTCTCTTTCAGCAACGAAGATGCCCAGAAAATCATTGCCATCAGGGCAAACGCCGTGCTGGAAATGATGGACGAAGAAGAATTTAGATGGCCTCGCTATGTAATCCATAGGGAACTCACACATGCATCCACAAAATCCGCTCCTCTGCCAGCCTCACTCCTAACCCCCCTGGATTCGCAGGAGGAATCCAGCGACGATGAACGATACGGCCGGACCCAGAAATCCGTGCTTCGTCCAAAGGTCCACACATTCTCCAACAAAGTGACCGGCAAGCGAAACCGCAATGCCTCCACAAACCAGCAGACAGTGGAATCCAACGACGGGGAAGACCAAGAGGACACCGATGAAATCGACGATATCGAGGAAATCGAAACACCCAGTAAAATCCGTGGCCATGAATTAATCCGAGATCCATTCTCGGCCACGAAGCCTCGGACTCGCTCGTTCTTGTCAGCCTCCGGCGGCGCTGCCTCCTCTCTTATGAAGAGCCTGTTTAAGGACAATATCAAAAAAGACAAACCCCAGACTCCCCCCATATCTTCATCGCCACCACGCCAAAGCCCTCAGACCTCAGAGCGGGATCCAACCCCAGATAAGCCCCAGGAAATTGAAGAATCCATGGACGAGACATCCGATACCTGGACATGTCGCATGCCCGGATGCGAGAAGGTGATTTCGACCACCGACGGCATCGAGCGTAAGAAGCTTATTGGCGACCATGCCGGAGAGCACGAGTGGGAGATGCAGATGAAGGTCGAATTGATGGAATCGGAGAAACGCATGCATTCTTCTTTCCCCGTCAGCAATCTCATGCAATATGTCGTTGATGCGCATGTGTTGCAAATGCGGGCTGCATTCCCGGAGTTTTATTCTACTAAAGAGAATGGCACAGCTCAAAACGGCGAACATCCCCTAGATGGAGAGACATCCATTCCAGAGACCGAGGGGTTAGAGGAGAATGATGAGGATGAAGAGGATGATGAAGATCAGGAGCTTGAGGACCTTGCGAACGGTTACACCTGATCTGATCATCCCGAAATTAACGATCGTTATGTGCCACGATGTTCATCGGAAATCGGAAACACGGGTGAAAAATCAAGACCTTACATTGCTGGACTTTGGTGATTACAAAACACAACAGAGCCAGCGGATGAACACATCGCTACATTTGGAAAGCGCCCCCTCTTGAGTATGTTATGAATTGCTTCTTATTTTGAGCTGCCAAGAATACTGTCTAACGATTTTCTTTGCAGATAGAGAGATACCCACGAATTTCAAGCTTTACCCATCGCCGGTTGAAATAAGGTGTTGGTTGTCAGAAGGGACAGACCGAAGAGGGAACAATGTCTCCTACGAAATGAATTTGCTAGACATGCACAGCCATAGGGGTTTGTTTGATGGACGCTTTGCTTTGATGATTCTTTCGGATTGGGCTTTTATTTCTTCTATGATACCCCCCGCCCAAAGTAGGACAGAGCTTGAAATAGCAAAAATGAAACACGTTTGGATGTCTTTATAGGTGTATACGAAGGCAGTAAAAAAAGGCATACTCTGTGCAGGAGACTTTCCTAGGTATAACCTTTGATATGTTGTCCCCTTTTTGTTTCATCATCTAGTTAGGGAAGAATATGGTAGTATCTCAAGTCTACTTGTCTCCTGTCACACTATCCTGGAAGCCATGTATTACTAGCAGCCAACACAACTCTTGAGCATGTGTCAAACACACATCCCAACTTTAGTATGCACCAAGATAGCAAGCAGAAAACAGATTAGAATAAAAGGTTCTAGAAGTAAGCCAAAAGAAGAAGAGGAAGAAGAGGAAGAAGAGGAAGAGGAAGAGAACAAAGTGTATTGAATAGAACACCAACATTCTATGCAAAGACATAGAATGTGTATGCAAGAGCAAAAAGCCAATTAAGAAAAGGGATCAAAAAGGAGGGGCAAAAGAAGATACTGTCTGTCTGTACATGGCGAAGAACAGTAGATTTGTATTGAGAGAAGTGGGGGAAAAAAGAAGAGAAAGAGAAGCTCTTTTGACTCGGAGGGGTATACCAAGAACACGCCACATATATCACAACACATGCACACCGGATTGAGAGATAAGAGAGAGAGTAAAGATATAGAGATACAGAGAGGATTGTAAGAAGAGAGATAAGAAATAGATGTCGGAGGTTTAGCAAGATGCGTGTGTAGTTGGGAAAGGAAAAAAAGGGTGGGCGACGAAGGGCCCGAAGAGAATGAAAGTATGGAAGACAGGATTATCGGTGTGAGGAGTCCTGTCCTTTGACCAATTGGGAGGATTATTGCTGGTGGGCACTGTGAGCCTCGATGAGAGCTGTATAGATGATTAGTTTGTTTATTTCTCGGAATTTGGAAGAAAATGCGATGGCTTACTCTGAAGAGCAGAAGCTTGTCCCTGTCTGGATTCACAAGCACACTGAAGCGTATTTCCATCTAGGAAGTCGAGCAAGATAGTGTTGGGCAATTCCTGCATGTCTTCATCAGGAAGACACGGAGTGCGGAACTCAGTGAGATGGTAACGTTTAGTCATGTTGCGGGTGGTGGCATCGTTGGTGCCAGGCGTGAGAACAACGTATCCCTGTTCATCGATGCGCATGACCCGACGCTTCCACAGAAGAGTTTCTGGGAACTGGACGTTTACTTCACCAATATCAATTGGTTCTGAAGTACGCGAGCTAGTAGACCCTGGAGCCTTGCTAGACCCATTTGTAGAGGCGGGAACATACTCTTCCTTGACTGGCGAGCTGAGGGCTCCGATAATGCTGCGGCGAGAGTTGGATGTGATCGAGGACATACGGCGCATGAGTCGCGAGGTGCGAGACATCTTCTTATCTTCGGATGTGGAAGAGGCGGATTGGACGCTGTCGTCAGTCCGAGAGCGCGAGGGGAGAGAAGGGCGGCTGCCGGGGCGAGACGTCGCTTGGCGACTAGATGTAGTAGACGACATTGACGGGCTTCGGTCCTGGGGAAGGCTGGCAGGCTCGATGGGAGAGACCTGAGGGAGTGGCGCCTCGGCTGTCTCATGCTCCACAGTCAAAGGACTAGCCTGAAGTTTGACAACATCGGACTCCGAGGGCTCAAGTCCGGAAGACCCGGGTGAGATATCTGCATCGCGCACGATACGGGCTTTCACGGAAACAGAGCTAGTTGGGCGCGTAACATCCACAGACACCTGACGGTTGTGTCGACTCAAGCTCGGCGCACGGGTAAAGTTGTCGGGGACGTGAGCAAAATGCATTGTGTGTGGCGGGGTGCTTTCGTGGTTCCCACTGGGCAACGAGATAGATGCGCGTTTGCGAAGGTTCTCGAAAGACGAGGAGGCTGATGGCACACTTACCGCCGGACTCGCACCCGAGGGAGTGCCTTCGCGGCTCGTGAACTTTTCAAGGGCCTTGATACGACTAGAAATTCCAGAGGAGACGTTGATCTTTTTCGCCATGAGTACCGGCGTAGGCGAGCCATTTTCGGAGTGAGAACTAGAAATGGACCGGCCCACTGCGAGAGCTTGCATACCCGACGGTGATCCCATTGAGAATGGGCTAGAGACGGCGCGTGAATTCCTCCAGGCGTGATCGACGCCGTTGGGAGATTTCACAGATACTGGTCTGGCCTCCTGAACAGTGGCTGAGGTCAATTCCTCCATGAATGAATCGTCGGAAAGGAGGTTGTCGTCGTCCGAGAACTCTAGGGTGGGCACTTGAATAGGCTCCAGGTGGACCCTGCGCCTCTGATCCAGGGTAAGAGGCTCGGCTTTCTCGGAAATTGGGTGATCAGGGGTTGCCTCATCCGCCTCGATTGAGACAAAAACGGGGGCGGTTGGGGTTTCCGTGCCAGTGCTTTCTGGAGGGGTAATGGAGGGGGAGAGGAAGGAGGAACCGCCTCAAGGACCTCTGATGAGATTACCACCTCAGAAGGCTCGTCAGTTGGCGCATCTACAACTGGGGAAATTTCGAGGTGTGTTTCGGGGACGTCCCCTGAATCAGGTCGTTGGGCACCCGAAGGCTCATTTTGGAGGGGAACACCAAGATTAAAGGTAGGTGGGGCGAGACCAGGAATTGCGGAGTCCTGGTGCTCAGTGCGTGTTTCATCCTCAGGGGGTGTCTGCAGCGTTTCTGCCTTAACGGTCTCTACAGGTGTGGACCCATCATCAACGTTAGCAGGAGGTAGATCAGCGATCGGTTCTGATTCAGCCTCAAGAGGCTCCGAGGGCTGCTCTAGTTCAGGCGTCATAGCAGACTCAACAATTGATTCGGTGGATGGTTCGAGGGCAGCGTCGGAATTCGAGTCATCGGGCTTAGGGGCAAGTTCAGAAAGGGGCTCAGCAAATGCCTCGACAGGCTCGGGAGCGGATTCAACAATGGCCTCGGGGACGGGTTCGCGGGAAAATTCAAGACTGGAAGCATCAACAGGCCCAGGAGCGGATTCAACAACGGTCTCGGGAACAGGCGCGGGTGCATTTTCAAGGGTGGAGTCATGAACAGACTCGAAGGCGGGTTCAAGAATAGGTTCAGGAACAAGCTCAGGGGCGAGCTCAAGAGGCACGGGTGACATGGCCGAAGGAAGCTCCCGTTGATCTTGTTGAATTGTCTCCCGCTCCGACTGCAGCATTTCAGAATCGGGATAGTGAATCTGAATGAGATTTTCTTTATCGTCATCCAGATCCTTGACAATATCCTTCACTGGTTTGAGCTCTCCTTGCTCCGAGACTTGCTTCTTTTTTGTTTCCTCCGCACGCTTGGCCATATTCTTTTTCCTTTGCTGCAAAGCCTTCATCAAACGTTCTTTCTCAGGGGTCAATCCCGAGGAGGTCGACAACGCACCAAGAGATTTTGCGCTAGGGGAAAGTTGAGGTCTCGAAATAGGAATGGAGGGGGTGGGACCAGTAAAGGTGGGACTGGCGGGACACGACTGGTGGGCTTAGTTGCGAAAGTGCTCCCCTGAGATCGAGGGCGGGGTGCATCGCCATTTTGCTTCCGCACAGAAGAAGTGCGCATATTTGTCGGCAGGGAGGCCACGGGGCGCTGGTCTACATTTCGAGAACTGCCTGCTGTGCGGGGCCTTCCACTGCTATCCACGGACGGTCGGGGTCCCAACTTAACCTTTGGAGTGTATCCTGCGGCCCGTTCCAAATCTTGGAGTGAGGGGCGGCTGGATTGGGTGGACAACCGGGCCTCTTCTGAAGGACGAGGGAATTCATCCAAGATCGTTCGGTACCTAGAACTGGAGCGAGAGCGATCTGATTTTATGGATCTGGGGGACATTGTTGCTGATTGTGGTTCGATGGGACTTCCTCGAGAGATTGTGGCTCTGGAGCTCGCCCTGGATGGAGGTGGCATGAGATCGACTGATGCCTTTTCGCTTTCTGGTGATATCGGGGGTAGTTCTGGTTCCACGGGGACGGGGGGTTCAATGGGCGACGGCACGAGGGTAGCTTCCGACTTAACGCTCCTTGGTCTGTGTCGGGCCTCGGACTGGGGAGGTGGTATTGGTTTCGGGGTTTCATCTTTTGTGCCATTCTCCTCAGCATCTTCCGTAATTTCCATCAGCCGACGACGGCGAAGAGAGCTCGAAGAAGAGGTAATTGAGGTCGAAGCGGTATGGAGGAGACAGGCAGAGGACAAGGCGCTTTCGGTGAGATCGGAGGCTTTGGATAGAGGCAGTACAGTGTCGTTTGGGGTGAACTTGTCGGTGACGGACTGGAATTGGACATTGCTTCGGGCTGGAACAGATTAGACCAATTTCTATGGGGGAAATAAAAAACCATCCCCCGGTTGGGCATACCTAGTATGAGTCGGGATAACCCCTCCGGCATGTAGCGGATGATCACTTTTCTGCGCCGGTATTGAAGGAAGCCATAGAGCGGCGAGCATTCCTCGTAACCCTCAATGGCATTCCGGATCTCGGGCACCCCGCCGGTGCCTCGTTCGTGAAGGGCAACCTCATCTCTGGCGATGTAGTGTAGTAGAAACCTGAAACGTAGGGGTGTCAGTGACGGGAGTTCATGTATCTGTCGCAAGTTGAAACACCGGGGAAAGGGGGTACTCACCACCCGCCCGCGTCGGCCAAGGCACTTTGGTAGGCTTCAAGGACGGGGGCAGTATCAAGCCCATTCAAAGACATGGCGTGGACCGCATGGATGCCAGAAGAGGCGCAATGCCGAAGGTAATGGATGTGAAGAAGAGAGAATAGGAGGGAAATGTGGCCCCAGAAAGCGGGTAAAGACACTAACAGTTGACTTGGGATCGGATCTTAAAGATCGCGATGTGCCCAATCAAGGCCGAAGTGCCAGATTTGGCTTGTTTCAGAAAACAAAGTTGGTTTAGGCGAACTCTTCTCAGGGGGGGGAACATGTTCTCCTTTGGCTCCACCTTGTGATTATCCCAATTTAAAATTTCTGAGTCTTTTATTTATACCAAAGACCAAAGTACATATGGATGCAGAGGTTGTACGGAGTACATCGAGTATATTTTGTGGAATGCATGAACCTGTTGAGATTGTAAATACCTAGGTATGTATCCCAGAAATCAGTCTATGTTGGATGTAAAAACTAAATATGAAATACATTATAAATATATATACTCTGTAGTTAACTATAACTAATAATAGTACAATATATAAGTATATATAATATATAATAGAACATAAAACATAAAACATGTCAAGCCAATACAATTCCCGCTGTTCTCCGCCTCGGCGTCCTCCGAAAGCGGAACTCAGATATCAATCTACTTTATACGTACAGAGTACAGAGTACTTAAATTGCAATACATTCCCTTTATAAAGTACATTCATATATATTCAATAAACTACAATAAACTACAATAAACTACACTATGGCCAACCTTCCCCCACCATCGACGATCCCTTCCCTACCCCAAGAGACCCAGCTTCGGGTACTCGATACCCTCTTCGAATCCTCCCCAGAGCTCCACCGGCTGATGATCCCTGTGCTGGCCAACCAGACCTTCTCTTCATACACCAGTCTCATCGATGCGGTAGGGGGTCGCATGTCTGCACTCTCAGCTCCGAATTCTCCTACCGATCGGGACGTGCTCTTTGGTATTCTGGGATCGCATCCGCGTCTGGGTCGGGCCCCGGTCAACCCAGAACATCTGAGCGAGCTGAGTAAGAAGGAGCAGGCCCAATTGAATGAAGGTGCAGAGGAACAGGCGGAGAAATTACGAGCATTGAATGCGGAATACGAGGAAAAGTTTCCAGGGTTGCGGTTTGTGTATGTCCACGTCTCTTGCGCCGTTGTGTAGACACATACTGACCTGAGATATTATAGCACATTTGTCAATGGGCGCAGTCGCGACGTGATTATGGTCGAAATGCGCCAGCGCATTGACCGGGCCGATGCGGAGAAAGAGATTGAAGAAACCATTCAGGTAATGTTGTCTTATCATCAAGTTGCTATATATACTGACTATGTGTACTTTGATAGGGAATGTGTGATATTGCAAAGGACCGAGCAAGAAAGCTTCAATCACACATTTAATGTAATTTTATACCTTTATACATTTATACATACTATTGTACCCTGATAGTATAGTCTTATAGTCTTATAGTCTTATACAGCTCTCATAAAATAAGCACTTGGAGGGTCCAAAGTCTCCACCCCCGTCGCCCCCATTTGATGTCATCCATCCGGTCTTTGCCGCTTTACTTCGCTTTTTCTTTTCTTTTTCTAATTCAAGTCTTTTGTCAATAGTGTACATATACATTTTGTATATTACCTCCCATTCATACCACCCCCCATGCGACTGACCACATGGCGGAGGGAAATAATCTCCAACTACGAGTCGCGACGACCCCCGCGATAGCCGATTTGACCCCCTCGGAACCTCGACATTCCCCGGTAAGTTCAGTGTTGGACTTTGGGTTTTCTGGATTTTGAATCTGGAATTTTACAATAAGAACTTCAAAGCTTGAAATTGGAAATTGGTCTGGCCTGGAAAACTCCAATGCGCCACTGCCACTGCCCACTGGCTCTGGGCGATCCTCTTGTCACGCGCCAAAAAAAGAACAAAAGAAAAACGTGTTAATGGAAGATGCTGACAGAACTCTCAGGCTCGGCAACGTCGGATGTCCCTTCAGGCTCAACTCATAGCCTCCAAGATGCCCGAAATCCCAGACGCTCGGTCATTGGTAGCTCTTTTCGAGATTCCGCCTCGCATACCACCCTCGAGAAGACCGAGTCAAGTGCTATAGATCCGTTATCGCAGGTAAGCTCTCAGCAGGCGATCTGCACCGAATAGACCGACACTCCCCTCGGTCCGATCATGTGCTTGTTTGCTCTGTGCGACGCGCATCTGAGATGCAGATACGGAGATGCAGGAGCCAAGCTGACAGGAGGGCCGTGCTCTGTCGCCTTTGTAGCACATTATCCAACGCACCAATACCCAAAAATCCATTCCCCTGAAGTTACTGGGAAGAGCGTCATACGAAGCAGAGGCCGTGGGCTCCGAGTATGGTCAACCAGAGCCAAGCCCGACACGGGGAGATGCATTGCCTACAAAGCCTCTCAAAGAGAAGAAGTGAGTTTTTAGACCTTGTCAGCCTGCATTAGGAACCACAGTCACGCAGACAGTTTTTGTGTCGCCGACACATATATGTCGGGAGTTTCTTTGCGCCTCCCCTGCATGTTCCACTTGAGAAAAATCCATCCCCAGGACTCTCGCAACAATATACATTATATCACCAGCGACTGACCCGTGGTTTGCTCTTCTTCAACTATAGAAAAGGTGTCTCCTTTCTCAGCCGATTCATTGGAAACAAGAAAAAAGAACAATTGTCGGAGGCGGAAGATGAGACTTCGGAATCCGAAGCACACCGCATGTCCGTTGACACTTCGCATCCAGTTGGATTTATACCTCGACACCTTGCTCCGTCCAAATACCTGAAGGTGCGAGCCCATTACAAAAAGGATAAGACATTCAACCGCGTGTTTTTGGCCCAGGAACTGGAGGGCAGCGGCCCACCGCTCAAACCCGCAGATAGACGGATATCTACGTCCTCGGCCTTGCAGAATGGAGATCACACCGGGAAGGCCGTCTGGGCTCTCATGTTTTCCAAAGATGGTAAATATCTCGCCGCCGCTGGCCAGGACCGGAAGGTCCGAGTATGGGCTGTTATCGCTACACCAGAGGAGCGGGAGGATGCAAATGGGGACGAAGAGGCAACGCCTGTAGACGCACAAGATAATTCCGGGTTGAGGGCACCTGTGTTCCAGCCGGAGCCCGTTCAGATTTACGAGGGACACACGGGAAGTATATTGGACCTGAGCTGGAGCAAAGTATGCATGTCCAGGACATTCAGCACGGTGGGAAATGGCTATGCTGACGTGTGACCCAGAACAACTTCCTTCTTTCCTCGTCAATGGACAAAACAGTGCGACTATGGCATATCTCTCGATCGGAATGTCTATGCTGTTTCAAGCACAGTGATTTTGTGACTTCGATCCAATTCCACCCGCGTGACGACCGCTTTTTCCTTGCTGGATCTCTCGATACGAAATTGCGACTCTGGAGTATCCCTGATAAGAGCGTGGCGTTTGTGACTGCTGTGCCCGATATGATTACTGCAGTAGCATTCACCCCAGATGGCCGATACTCCATTGCCGGATGTTTGAATGGCATGCTTAACATCTATGACACCGAAGGCCTGAAAGTATCAGCCCAGATTCATGTCCGATCGGCGCGTGGGCGCAACGCCAAGGGTAGCAAAATCACTGGAATCGATACGATGGTGGTTCCCAAGGACGATGCTAAGGATGGTACCGAGGGTGTTATCAAGTTACTGGTTACTAGCAATGACTCCCGCATCAGGCTGTACGACTTCAATGATCGATCGTTGGAGGCTAAATTCCGCGGTAACGAGAATACCTGCAGCCAAATTAGAGCTACCTTCACCAATGATGCCAAATACATCATATGCGGAAGTGAGGATCGCCGGGCATACGTGTGGCCAATTGGGTCTGTACAACGAGATTCCGAAAAGCAGGCAGTGGAGGTATTTGAGACACAGTCTGCTATGGTGACAGCTGCAATCATGGCACCGACTCAAACCAAGCAGGTCCTGGCGCTATCAGAAGACCCAATTTACGACATCTGCAACCCACCCCCGGTAGCCCTGATGGGTCCGGAATCACCAGACACTTCAAAGAAAACAAGCCCAGACAAAGAAAACGGTAACACCCATAAGCGTTCTGCATCAACACCCCGCCTATCCATCGTCAGCAAAATGGCCCACGAATCACCCTCGTACCTGGCCCGATCCAAGCATCCAGACGGAGAGATAATCGTGATCGCCGACTACTCCGGGAAGATTAAAGTCCTCCGACAAGACTGCGCGTATCAAAAAAGACGCTTCGAGAACTGGGACGCCAACTCCACCATCTCACGTCGGATCCTCAAACGCTCCAACTCCGCACGCCGCAGCATCGCCTCCTCCGGAAAGGATTCCCACAAAACCCCCTCCGAGCGCATCGTCTCATGGCGCAACTCCGTCGTCCGCCACGGCCGCTCCAGCACAGAAGGCACCCGCGCCGGCTTCAGAACCCGCACCCCATCCCCGCAGCACCGCCCAGCGATTTCCAGACTAGCTTCGTCCCGCCCTTCAAGTCTTGGTCCGAACGAATCACTATCCGTCTTCACTACATCACCACCGCCATCACCACCACGCCGACTCCGCTTCGATAGCAACCGCACAAGCGAAGACATGAGCCGGGCAAATGGAGACAATAACGGTCGTGTAAACGCCTCAAACTCGAAGGCCCAGGCTCCTCGAAAAGTCGCTTCGTCCGCAGCAGACCTTCTAGCCGCTAACTCACAAGACAACCCGCTCTGGCTACAGGGTGATCACAGCTACGCGTACTGGAACAAGATCACGCATGATGCGATGGCTATCCAGTCCCGGAATTCGAATGACTTGCTCAGTCCGGATAGGATCCCGTCGCGCGAGCGCAGGTTGAGTACTTCAGTCGGTAGTGTGCTGAGCAGTGACTATACGTCTTCGGTTGGTGATGCAGAGGAAGATGTGCTTAAGTGTGATAACTGTCGTGGGACGAGTTTCCGCAGTGTTAAGGGAAGGGATGGGAAGCATAAGCTTATTTGTTCAGAGTGCCATCGGCCTGTTTCTTGAGTCCTTTGTTCATTTATGGCTGTCTGTGGATGCATATATGATCTACGATCTACGATCTATGATTTCCGGGATGTATGATAGTTTTGGCGTTTTGTTTTAGCATTTCGGGTACATATTGGAGGAGGGCTAGGATGGATGTGTTGGATGTTTACTTATGTAGTTATGATGTCGATATGTTTGTTTAATGTGTACATTTATTTCAGGCCTTAATAACAGGCCATGTACAGTATCAGACAAAATGAGAGATGAGATCAGGTACATTATATAGTAGTCCAAGATTCGAAGTATGGAATATTCTTTCCTAAACTATGGCTCCTCACTCTCCCACGCTGCATTTCCAACTCAGACTTCGAACCAAGCCTTAAGAAAAAAAAAAAAAAAAGCTATAGACATGGCGATCCCTACTATCTAAGATGTCTTAGTCTCCTCAACAACCATAACCTTCATCCTCTCCTGATCCCAAAACCCCGCCTCATCAGCCTCAATCATTGCTTTAGCCTCCGGCGTATTCAACGCAAGACAGAACCTGCCAAAGGCCGCCTCATCCTCAAACGACATGGTCACAACGGCATCGTAGGTCCCATTGACGCTTCCCGCTAGCAACATCGGGGTAGATTCCGCGTCGTGCTTTAGATACGACCGTGTGTGGGAGAGCGGTGCTGCATCGCCGCAGATTTCCGCTACCATGCGCATGTGCTGCTCGTAGCGGGCTTTGAATTCCTCGTGGGTGATGGTAGATTTGCGTGAAGCGAAGACTATAACGCGGTATACCATGGTGTTGGATGTGGGTATGTATTTGTGAGTGTTGATTGTAGGGGATTGTGAGGAGTGGTTATGATGTTGGAGGTATGGTCAAATAAGGCCGGAAACGGAGGTGGTTATATACATAACGCCCTGTGTGGAAAATCCGAGAACATTCTTGTGGTCTCTAAGAGTTACTTGGATCTTCTAGAGTGTTCTTGATTATTTCGAGTGACTTCTTGCTTCTTCTAGGAGGTTCGTGGATAGGCTGACATGTAAGCCCTAACTATATGGATTGCATTTAGGGGGCCGTGTGCATCAGCTTCCATAACCGGTAATGAGGACCGTAGACAACCAACACATCACTTTCGTGTATACTGATATTTGTTTGATTTGTGTTTTTAGTACTGCTTTTATGAATTACCTGAGCGAGTACATCGATTTAGACTCCCGTGAAAGAAGCCCGAATATGTGATTTAGTCCTCTCACTAAATTCCACGTCGGGTCAAACACGGCTGATGCCCAGTCCAAATTATATACCCATATTATTGAACATTCCCTCCTTTTATAGTGTTATGTGGTACACGAATAGTCGGTCGCTTATGTGGCCCGGTATTGTCTTTCTAGATGTTTTCTTGGGTATATACGAAAGCAGTAAAAAAAGCACTTTTCTATGTATAACTTTTCATATTCAAATTACACCTTGGAATACTTTCAACACAGAGAATTTAGTAGAGAAAGATCGTGAATTATATATCTCAAGACTAGGATCCAGAAGTCACTCCCGCTATTACCTTGAATATACTCGTTTCGTATATCGCACACCACTCAAAACCGCTAGGGATATGAGTCATCTGGACACTGCCCCAGCCAATGTTAACTTCCAGTTGATATTTGATAATCTGAATCGTTTACCCCATCACCCTCTGTAGGTTTATTTAGAAGATACCGACCGGGTGACTCTCATTTGTTTGTCACCACAGCAGAAAGATCTACTGGTACTCGACAGTGCCAGTTAGAAAGGCACATGAAGGGGATATTCGCAAACTTGTAATCATGGGGGTAACTCGCTAGTGTAGTTGATAGTCTTCGGCGGGTTTCCTTCCAATAGGCTGACACGCACTGTAGGAGTAACAGGTACAGCCTTCAATATATCGACGAGTCGGTCAGCTTTCTCTCTGAGCAGCCGTATGGTTTGATCGGGATCTTTGTAAGATAGCAGAGCATTGAGGAATATCTCTTTTCCTTTGATTCTGTTATGAGGAAAGTTCTGAAGGTGTTTTCGGACGGCTTTGATGTTCTTTAGTCCCCGGCATTTGGCGGACATTCGGTTAGAGACCAAACGGACATATAGCCACTTTAGGCTGTCGTCAGGACCTGAAATTCGAATATCGTGTCTCATTCCTTTGTAAAGGTGGTCAGATATCTCTTGGTATAGGTAGCGGTTGCATCGTAGAATGGATAAGACGCGAGGAAATGTGTGGATGTCATAGAAGAGGCACTCCCATATCAACAAGCGGATTTCAAGTGGTAGCCTTGAAAAATTTCCTAGTTGGGTAAAGCTGGGGACTTGACGATTTTTTGATTCGTTGCCATGATCCATGGCGTTTTGTTGATCTTGTCGTTGATAAACAGTATGGCGACTGTTGATGAAATGTGATAGATTGTTGACGAGCCGCCTTGGAAAAAGCCTAGCGTTCTACTTAGGTAAACGTCACCGATTGTTAACCTATTAGCCTGGAATGGCCTAGTCAAGCTGTGTAATCGAATTGGTTGCGGCCTTTTAAACCTTGTGAGGGATGAGCTTTTATCTTTGGAGCATACGCTATCCATGTACATAAGAGCTCCGTCATGGGCGTGCTACATGAATTGTAGAAAATCTTTGAGGAACTTTCAATTATCATCTTCTTTATGTAGAATGTTCAGATTGAGCCAATGAAGTAGACGCAGTTGATGGTGGAATTGGGCCCTCGCTCTCTCATTTAGGACCAATGATGGTATCCAGTTAGATCCCAAGTAATGAAATTAGCATAGGAGAACAGATAAATATCATTTAAATTCCTCCCAATCGTTGAATATCTCATTCAATCATGGCTATCTGGAAGTGTACATGTATAAATTGCGGAGTGAACCCATATTGATGCCAAGACATGGAAAAAGCCGCCAGCACACTGATAACACCTCCACACACTCTCTCCATCCACCAACTCCCCAATCAATTCCTCTTTCAAGCCTTGAATCTCAGCGGATATTTCCCGTCGATCCGCGACATTTCATTCTGAGCACTCCCCGCGACACCGAGACACCCACCATCCTGCGCATCCCACCACACCTCTCAACCCCCAAACCGCGAGCTCTACAAACGCTCACCACCACTCCAAAATGCCCTACCTACCCACCTCCCAGGCCTACCTGGAACAGTCCGCGCAGTTATTACAAGCGTACCCAGATACAGTAAGCCACCCGAACCTTCCTCCCACGCCCAACCCGTCATCCAATCTTCCACACCGCGTCCCCCCACAGCGGGCAACAATGAAACACCCCCAATCCCAAATGCAAATCCAGATACACCAAACTAACAACAAACCCCAGACCCGCATAGTAACAAAATACTCATTCCCCACAAACCGACGAGGAAACATAATCCGTGCCCACAAATCCCAAGTCCGAAAAGACGCCGCCAAAGCCACCGATGCTCCATCCACCACACCCGCACAACCACCCACCGCAATCGCAACCCTCACCCTGAAAACATTCAACCCAACCACCGGAATCTGTCTGCACTACCGCACAAACAAGGCGCAGGAAGTCAGTCGCCTGATTACGAGTCTGGGAAAGCTGGCTGCCGGTGCTGATGTAGCGGGGTTGGGCTTATCTGCTGCGGCGCCTGCTGCCGGCGCAGATGTAGAGATGGTTGATGCTCCTGCTCCCGTTGAGGAGATGACGCCGGCTGCTGGTAAAGCGCAGGGTCAGAGTCAGGGACAGAGTGGGAAGGGGAAGAAGAAGGGTGGGAAGGGGAAGCGGTAAATTAATTTGGGTTCTTTTGGAATGAGATTCGTTTGCTATCTTATGCTTGTCTTCGCTTGTTACTTTTTATGATGCATTCATAGATGTGGGAAATCCATGGACGGTCTTGTGGATTAAACGGAGTTTCAAAGAGTTCAAAGCAGGGACGAGACTGGACAATTGACAACGTATATTTAAGAAGGCCATTGGCGTTTTCTAGTATATCTACAAACAAACATATTCAGACATATTGGGGAAGTGATTCGAGGATCTAGATACAGGGAATCCGCCCTTCATCCGTGGACACCCGAGTCCAGGACAAACCAGGAAAAAAGAAAAAAAAACGCCAGTCCCATGCGAGCCTTCAAAACGGAAATTGCGTCAATCAATAAAAGAACAGAATAAGAAAAAGCATAATATCACGTGAAAGGGGAGAGGGTATAAAACAACACAAGAGGGAAGGAGAAGGACGTCGTCTAGAAGTCCTCATCGAAGTTGAGACCGCCGCTTACGACCTTCTCGCCCTCAGCGTTGACCTCCTGCTTAGTGCTGGCCATGACACCAGCCTTCTGGTAGTCACCGACACGCTTCTCGAAGAAGTTGGTCTTGCCAGCCAGGGAGATGGACTCCATGAAGTCGAAGGGGTTGGTAGCGTTGTAGTACTTCTTGTTGCCGAGGGCCACCAGCAGGCGGTCAGCGACGAACTCAATGTACTCGCACATCAGCTTGGAGTTCATGCCGAGCAGAGCGCAGGGAAGAGCGTCAGTCAGGAACTCCTGCTCGATGCCGACGGCCTCAACGATGATAGCCTCAACCACCTTAGGGTCAGGGCGGTGGTTCATGTGGGAGAACAGCAGACAGGCGAAATCTGTGTGGAGACCCTCGTCACGAGAGATCAACTCATTGGAGAAAGTGAGACCAGGCATAAGGCCACGCTTCTTCAGCCAGAAGATGGAGGCGAATGAGCCAGAGAAGAAGATACCCTCGACAGCGGCGAAGGCAACCAGACGCGAAGCGAAGGTTGACTCGCGGTCGTTGATCCACTTGAGGGCCCAGTTAGCCTTCTTGGCAATGCAGGGAACTAAATCTCAAGTTAGACAATTGAACGACATGAAAAGTTAATGGAAGAAGAACATACTGGTATCAATAGCATCGAAGAGGTAGGTACGCTGCTTGGGCTCCTTGATGTAGGTGTCGATAAGCAGGGAGTAGGTCTCGGAGTGGATGTTCTCCATCATGATCTGGAAGCCGTAGAAGCAACGGGCCTCGGGGATCTGGACCTCGGAACTGAAACGCTCGACGAGGTTCTCGTTGACAATGCCGTCGGAGGCGGCGAAGAAGGCCAGGACGTGGGAGATGAAGTAACGCTCATCGTCGTTCAGGCGGTTGTGCCAGTCGTGAAGATCCTTGGAGAGATCAATCTCCTCGGCAGTCCAGAAAGAGGCTTCGGCCTTCTTGTACATTTGCCAGACCTGTTGAATTGAGGGGCATGGTTAGCTTCAATCTTCATGGTGGCAGGACATCCTTGACGATATCCACTTTACGCGTGAAACGCGTCGACGTGACTTACCTCGTGGTACTTGATAGGGAACATAACGAAACGGTGGGGGTTCTCTTGGAGGAGGGGCTCTGTGGCTTCCATCTCTTTGATGGTGAGAGGCTTGGACGCGAGAGCCTTCTCGGTGGGCTTCTCAATGGAGGCGTCGACAGCCTTGAGAGACGCAGGCGCGTCCTCCTTGCCAGCCGACTGGAAGTCGAGCTTCTTGATAGGTGAATCGCTCATCTTGAGGTTCTCGAGGGAGGAAGCAGCCTAAGAAAGAGGAAATGTTAGCTTAAACGAACTTCACGACGCGTCTGACGCGAAGAGGCAAGAGGCGAGAAGCGTGACATCACGTACCTGCTTGGAGGGAGTGACTTGAGCGGCCATTGGAACAAGTATGTGAGGAATATAATATCACAGAACAATTCTTGAGAACAAAGACAGCAAGTAAGAATGAGACAGAAGCTTGGAGAGTGGGATGGGAAATTTGGAGTTGGGCGAGGGAAGAGAAACTCGATTAAGTACTGCCGATTTCTCTTTAGCGCGACGTGCTAAGTCACGTCGCACGTGACTGCGCGCACCGCTTAGGTAATACACGGCGCGTCCACTGGCTTTTTTTTCCCAGCCCTTCTTTCCTATTTGGGCGATGCTTTTCTCATGCCACTTGGATCCCAGCAACATCCGAAAGGATAGTCCTTGGCCGTGCTCCATTCCAGCTCCATTCTTGTGCATCTTAGTATGCATTTCGTACTTTGGATGGCAGATTTGGCAGATTTAGTAGATTCCGATCTTATCTTACTTTGTACATCTGTATATCACTACTTCTCGAAAGAATGCCTCTGACACTTTATTCTGACAATAGTGAATATCAAACATCGCAATATAGCAATTGCCACACCACCACCTCTAGAAGCCTACAACCTAAGACATCAACAACTCCCACGCGTCTCCAATTTTTTCTAGTCCCCACTATTGATCACGATCAGATAAGCCAGAGAATCCACAAAACGCGCGACGCGACTAGGAAAACAATCCGGATTTACGGATTTAATTGGTTTTGTTATTGGTCTAGATCTAGGCGTTAGCATCTCATTCGCCAATTTAGAGCTCATTTTGCATGGCATGGCGTAAGGGTGTGCTCAGCTCCCCCCACACACGCGTTCCATCTGCTGTACTCCGGACGGAGTACTTCCTATTCTAGCACGCTCCAAGGGTTATTCTCATCCATTGATCTCGACATTATACATAGGTACATAGTCTGTAGCATTTCAAATAAGGCCAATAACATGTGGCAGCTCCTGTCACGTCCCAGGAATGAAGGATCTTTTGACCCTTTACCCATCGGGAAGTTTCTGGGAGTGGGCCCGCGAAAGAAAAAAGAAAGCGCCGATCATCTTAGCTGCGTCACGTCTAGGCAGCCAATATGTTAGGGTTAGGGGTCTTTGTTCGACCATTATTCATGTATTCAAGTCGTATTGGGATATATCTATGGAACACAGAGTACAAGGACCCAGGTCTTCCCTACTGTACGGTATATTGACACTATCCCAAGGGTTTGAATGCAATGTGGCGAGTAATCCCTTGCAAGTGCCCATCAAAATATCTCCACCTACCAGGTTTGAGCTCTTGGTGCACCACCCCCACATACTTTTAGTCTAGTAGACTAGTGGGAGTAGCAGGGGAGTGCCTTGCATCACCACGTGCTAGTGCGTTCTCGCGTTTCGTGATTTATGCCAGGGAAACCAACTGTCAGGGGAATCAAATAATGCCAAAGCACATATCCAAAATATTTCCCAAGGCTTATATGTGAATAACAATATGTACAGACTCAAAAGGTTACTCTACCAAACGCCATATATATGCCCAGTCAGAAGCAATTGTGCGGCACAGAACATTCGAAAAGAAACCCCAGCCAGGCAATGCAGATACTGGTAATCAAAATCTATCCCATAGGTTGCTTAGATTCCCTCACGGAAGGAGTCGGGCAGAATCCGGTCCTCGACACGGCGCATCAGCTTGTTAGTCTGCTCGGCCAGACTCAGAGTCAAGATCTAGAGGCGGGGTTAGTTTATGAATGACAAAGCAAGGCTCAACTCTTGTCACTTACAGTGTGGGGAAGGATGCGGGCAAGATGGGCGAAGAAGCCCTTGTAAATGGCAAGGGGACCCTCGGTGCGGATAGTCTTGAGCAAGCAATCAAATACACCACCGTACAGGTTACCTGTCTGGTTGTACATACGAGCCATGATCGTGTCTAGAAGAAAGTCAGCGAAGAACCTATACCCCACATTTGAGATGACATACCAGGGGGGTGCATGAAGCAGCACACAACGAAGCCAGAAGCTGCGCTACTGGCCAGATGCAAAGCAGGACCCTCCTCCATACCCAGGTGGCGGGTCAGACGGCGCTTGGCAAAGAAGTATGTGGGGAGCTGCACGGCACTGCCGAAACTAGTGCGGATCATAGCAGCGCCAACACCACGGTAGATACCCTTGATACCCTCGCCCTTGTAGATTTTGCTAAGGCCATCGAAAGAGTTCTTATAGTTGTGCTGGGTGCCGACAGGGAGGAATGGCGAGTAGGACTGAAGACGGGTCTTGACAAGGAAGAAAGGCGATCCGGCTGCGGCACCAATGACGCCTGAAGCAGCTCCAGCAACGACATTGGCAGCAAGGGATTGGACCTTGGGGTCACTGTATATAGCAGTTGTGAGGTTCGAGCGGATAGGTTCGTAGAAGCCAAGACGGCAGCCGTTAAGCAAGACCTGGTAGATATACTATATGACCTGGATGTTAGCTTGGTGCGCCTTTATATGTAATTGCAAGAGGATATCACATACGGCAGATCCAATACCCCGGAACAGACCCCGAGGTCCTTCATTCTGCAAAATGACCTTGATGCCGTGCAACGGGCCCTTGTACATCTTCACTGCCTGATTTTTGGACTGCAATTCACCCTGCAGTTGAAGCCTTGTAACCAGTCAGTATCATGGCAGCATATTATGAGTATTAGGGAACCAACCGGATCTTCACCGTCTCGAAACTATGGGTGACAGTGACTGCACCGCATGCTGCAATGCCACCTGCAATGAACGCACTATTCCCCCACGACTGCTGTTAGCGCACGCTTTGTACATCTCCCGCGCATAGACATAACATACCCTCCAGTAGTAGACATAGCGCCTTATATGTGATCCTTTGACCGTGTGATGATGTAGTCAGGTTTGTCGGTTAGCGGAGGAAGATCGGACCCGCAGGATGAAATGAATGCGGCCAGTAGCGGGAATTTCGCGGGATATGTGCAAGTTATCGAGGCGGTATAGCCAAGTCGAAATTTGAAGTGTAAGGGAGAAATATGACAGAGTGCACAATAATTTCACTCAGGGTCAGATTTGAACAAAGTTGAGTCAATACGCGCCCTGAGATAACCGTGGACATAAAAGCTTACATGCGGCGAATGGAACTCGGTTAAACGCTCATTGG